CTCCGCAGGTGGGCACAGGGAACAAAATGAGGAGCCGTAACTCAATCTCTGCCATAATATCACTGAAATCAAATTAACTTTGTGAGAAGTTTACACACATACTTTAAAAAAAGGGCAGCTAACGCGACAAGAGTTCTCTATAATAATCGTACTGTGAAGATGCTGACCATGATCCCATTGCCCATGGTGTTCTGAAACGAGTCCAAAGCAGGGTGCCATTTCCTGCTCTCCTTTACATGCAGCTGCTCAGGGTCCAGTGCTCTTGGCCTCTCGCCTCTCAAAAGAGCGAGCAGTCTTCTGAGGATGCTGCCTGCAGGCTGAACTGCAGCAGCAAAGGAAAGGATCTCACTCCGCTGCGGGAGCAGCAACAAAGACCAGGCTCCTCGCACAGCAGAAAAGCCAAGACGTCCCTGGAGTAATTCCAGTGGCTCTAAGGCCAAGGTATTTTTACAACATCACAGAAACATGAGATCTTATTTTTCAAGAGTCCTGACTGTAGGCTAGTGCCTTTTGTGCTTTCTTTTCAGTACAAATTTGTTAAGAAGTGTTGAAACTGACCTCTTACTGAAATTTGTCTGTGCCAATCTACCACTTTTTCTTGGCATATATGTTTAAAGCAGTATTTTCCTCTGCATCGAATTTCATTCATAGATTGCTGAAATAGATTTAGAAGTGTGAGTATTTTTCAAGCAATGTTTAGGATCAAGCATTATTTTTTTGCCATTTAACCATCATAACAAGCATATACTCAGCAGACAGTCTGAATAAAATTCCATTCTGTAGAATTGTCCTCTGCTGTGAATTATATTTTTTATGGCAGATTTACTCCTCTGACAGAGAAAATTCAATAAGTAACTGCATTTCCATTACAGATACAGTCTTCTGCTAGCCAACAGATAAGCTTTTTATCAGCAGCCATGCTTCCGTGGCACTCTTCTGGGCTCCTGCCAAGCTCTGCCTTCGTTCCTTTCATGAACAGATCAATGTGCAAACATTTGAGAACCCTAAATAACATAATGGCTACTTGAATGCACGCTCAAAAAAAAACCAAAACCCCACCAAGCCGATTTCAAACCTGTTACGCCTGCATAATATACCTAATGCAAATCTACAAAACCAAGGAAAGAAGGGAAAGGGGTAGCACATAGCTACCATATCCAAAGCTGCCCTTCCCCACAGACCATATACATCAGCTTTTCCACTAAGCCAGGGTGGAAGCCTTCCCTCCAATGCCTCTTTGCTACATCATCCCTCAAACAACGTGCAACACCAGCATCAACTGGAGCTGGTAATGTTGGGAAGAAGAGTCTGGGTAAAGAAGAAAGTGATGAAGAACAAGCAGAGAGGAGAAATTACAGTGTGGTGTGGTGTCTGTTATGCATAAGAGCAGTACCAAGGTGCGTGTTGGGGGGGGCTGTGTGTACCAAAACACTCGGCCACTGGGTAGTACTCCAGCCTAAAATTCAGAGATGACCAGCAGCTGCAGCTGCGTTGTCCGCAGCAGTTGCTGAGGGCATCCTCTGCTGCTAACTGAGCACCCCGTGTCCCACAGTGAGCCAGCGAGACTCCGCCTTACACCACCACACACACTGCTGGCATTAGCCCAGGTGCATTTTGTCTTCTCTGCTCTTGTGAGCTCTCCCTCTGTTCTCCTTTTGGCAATGGAATAACCACTGTGGAGATAAGATCCCTTTTTTTTTACCTCTGTTCCCTTCAAACGAGAGGATGTGCGCTTGGAGTGATGCCTGTTAGTGACACTGACACTGGAATACTGGAACCAAACAGTTCCCTGTGGGGAAGCAGCAGTGGTAAAAGAAGAAAACTGAAGAAAAGTGAAGTGACTTCAGTGGACAGCTACAGGAATAAAATGAGAAAAGAAAGAGAGAAAACTAATTGGAAAGGGGTTAATGTGTGAGGGTAATATAAAATACAGAAAGGTACAAGAAAAGGAATGGGAAAACAACCAAAAAACCTCCCAAAAAGGAACAATGAGCAGGAGAAGCCATAAGCAATAAAACAAGAGAAGCAAAAAGATGAACCAAATCTCTCTCCTTACTGAGGAGTTGTACTGCAGCCTGCCTTATCTCTTTTTTATATAAATTTATAAATAAACTTCATTAGCTTTTTTTTCCTGTTGGGAGGGATATAAAAGATGTTAATAAGTTCTTACAGAGGGTAAATAGTTTTAGGGGATGATACTAGTGATACTGAAAATAAAGATCAAAGCCAGGACTGCCAGAACAGGGTTTCTAGGTTATCCATACACCGTTACAGCTCTAATAGATTAAAGGCTCATCTGAACATAAAAAGATGAAAAATCATAGGGATCATCTCCACTATGAAACTGGCTTGATTACAAAACATAGTAAAGGCCTGATTCTATCAGGCTCAGACCGAACAGTGCTTTATGAATAGCTTCATGAAAATTAGTGGGATCGACTCGGTGTGATCTGTTCCTCAGCAAGAGTCGGGGTGCCCAAGGTCAGCCAGCTTAAGCTCAGTGGCATTTTTCAGTGCTCAGATCAGCTTCTGTTCTGGCCCCTGAAGCAGTAAGGATGACAGTGGTGTTTTGACTATTCATCTCCATCGTCAAGAGCGCACTCACAGTTATATAGATAAGTATTTGTCATAAGGAGGAAAATCTGTGCTCTGCAACCTAAACCCATCAGAGCATTGAGTACCGTTACAGTAGGTGCTAGTTCTATCAGCAGCCTCTGGTGCCATGGGCATGAAATTTTCTGTATTCAAACTCCACAAGTTCTTGGAAACAGGAGCTGTTCTGTGATCAGCGGGATAGGTAAATGGGTGCACCGGGCCAAGCAGCTCCCCCTTCCCTCAAAGCCATAGCATTCCTGGGCATAAACGCTTCAGACAAACTTCCAAAGTAGGTGGAAAAAGATGTTCAATGAATTACAAGCCACACTACAGTACGGAAAAGACCAGATCATTTTTTCACCGCCACTGCAAATGTCATCTCTTATGGAAATATGCTCTGAGGCCAGATCAGGTTTGTGGAGAGGAAAAGTAAAGTCTAGTTTGAAAGAGAGTGGTTGTACTTCAGAGGTGGTTTCTTTCTTGACATTTCCCTCTGTAGTCAAGCGCAAACAATCCTAGGATTTTCCATAAACTCTAGAGTAATGGTCAAAATGGAAATGTATCAGAACTGTGGAAGTTGTAAGCCCTGGATAAAAAGCAGTTATAAAGGGGAGCTGGTTGGGTTTGGTGTTCAAACCCTTTCATTTTTTCTACCACTTCTTGTCTGTTATGCCCAGTTTTGCTTAGATGTCTCAGACCCAGTACAACCATTACACGTTACAATCACTGTCACCTTACACACAGCACAGGTAAAGAAGGGAAGCAAAAGTCCAGGAAAAAAGCTACTGTGCCTTCCTAATTACCTTTAGGATTATAGCTTCCAGCACAGACTTTAAATCTGTGCCGTGGATTCACCTATAGATCTGCAAGAAATCTTTAGCATCCCTCTACTCCTGCTGCTGACAGATGGTAGAGCAGAGAACAGAGACTAAGCAAATAAAAGCGTTTCACCCACAGCTTTTTTCTTGTGATATAGTAGCATAATGTAGCTGTGAAATCAGTGGTGTTTCAGAACACGCCTTGCACTGCTGAGGTTTCTGGCTGGAGGTAGCCCAAACGCAGTCAGTCAATAAACTCTCAATCTCAGCACAGAGGTCACATGAGAGAAAAAGATATCTAGACAGAAGACAGGCAGGTTTATGTGGGTCAGGGCTCTTTCTTTTATGCGCCAGATGACAAACCTGCCCCTTTCTACCTTGAACTGGGGAATTCCAAATCTTTAAACCCCTTGGGAATTTTTTCTCCCCTCAGCTTGACATGAGAACGGCTAGGCATGACACAAGAAAGAAAATGGCAGAGCAAAGAAAGACTGAAAAAAATGGAACCTTTCCTATATTCATTTTCTCTGTCCCCATTCCTCCCCTTTTATGCATCAACAGTTTTAATAATCTGGCAAAAGCAAAACCCGAAACTAGAAAATCCATTCCTACCCACTGTCACAAAATGAGCATCATTTCCTAAGAAATATTATGATGAGAGGGGATGCATTTAATCCGTTCTCTCTGTTCCTTTTTTCATTTGACACTGGTTAGTGTTGCATTTTATAAACAGCTGCTCCGAAACATCCAGCTCTCATTTTAAAACAAACGAAAAATTAGGATCTGCTTATGGAATGGAAGTTAATACAGATGTGGCTTTTAAACAAGATTGATGAATAATAATAAAAAAGCCGTGAAATCACTCTTACATATAATCTCTTCACTATGAAAATAAACCACTGCTACATCCACGCTAAGCGTATGTAGAGTAAACAAAACAGATGGGGGATTTCCCACTGCTGGTTTCTTTCTTCTAAGGATGGTTATTTTCAGTTCACAAACTCTCAGCTGTCATCCCTGATTTATCTTCGCATCAGATTCCTGTTGGGGCCACACGGCTAGGGGTCTGGCCGAGGCGGCACCTCTCCCCGCGCCCCGCACTCTGCCCTCCCCAGCCACAGCACCTGGAGCCGGGGTTCGCGCTCCTCTTCCAACCCCCTTTTCATTCATCCCTCGAACGGTGCCTGACGTTTTGAGCATCTCGGTCGTGCTCCAGGCCGGTGAGAGCTGTACGCAGGAGAGGCAGGCTCGTAATTTGTTGGGAAGCACCCTCCTTTCCTCGGGGAGGGGAGAAAGGGCTGCTAGGGATAACGGGACCCCGCCTGCGTTCAATCCGCTACCCAAACAATGGCTTTATTTAAACATATAGAGACATCGCTGCACAGAGATCCTTTAAAAACTGTTTTCGCCGTCCCCAGCCGTAGACAGAGCGACCACTTATTTGCTGGAAAGGGCTCCTCCCGCCCCCTCCTACTCCTGCCCTCCCTCCTCCCCCCGCCTCCCTTCCCCATATATTATTACTCTATGCCACTAACGTTAAAACAGCCCCACCGCGCTCCCTGCCCGAGCCGCGGGGCGGGAGGGAGCCTTTCCCTCGCCCCAGGCAGCCTCCAGCCGCCGCCCGGCTCCTCCGGCCAGGGCCCCGCCGCCCGGCGCTGTCTGTCCCCGGCGGGTGCTGAACCGCCGGGGCGGGAGCGGGGCCCGGAGCCCCCCCGGCCTCTCCCCGGCGCCCGGAGGCGAGGTGGGCGGCGAAGGGCGCCGCGGGGGGATGGGGGGAGCGGGCGGCCACCCCGCGCCGCCCGCCTGAGCCCGCCCGAGCCCCGCGCACAAAGCCGCGCCGCGGCCATGGAAGAGGAGCTGAAGTGCCCGGTGTGCGGCTCGCTCTTCCGGGAGCCCATCATCCTGCCCTGCTCGCACAATGTCTGCCTGCCCTGCGCCCGCACCATCGCCGTTCAGACCCCGGAGAGCGAGCAGCACCTGCCGCCCCTGCTCCACCCGCGGGGCCCTGCGCCGCCGCCCGCCGCCGCGGCGCCGGGGCCGGGGCCGGGGGCGACCGCGGGCTCCGCCGCCTGCCTGGACTCGGAGTGCGCGGCGGGCGGCGGCGGCGGCGGCGGCGGCGGCGGCGGCGGCGGCGGCGGCGGCGGCGGCGGCGGCGGCGGCGGCGGGGGGGACCACGCGGACAAGCTGAGCCTGCACAGCGAGACCGACAGCGGCTACGGCTCCTACACGCCCAGCCTGAAGTCCCCCAACGGCGTGCGGGTGCTGCCGCTGGTGCCGGCGCCCCCGGGAGCAGCGGCGGCGGCGGCTCCGCGGGGCACCGGCCCCGCCAGCTCCTCCCTCACCTGCCCGCAGTGCCACCGGAGCGCCTCGCTGGACCAGCGCGGCCTGCGCGGCTTCCAGCGCAACCGGTTGCTGGAGGCCATCGTGCAGCGCTACCAGCAGGGCCGCGCCGCCGCCGCCGCCAAGTGCCAGCTCTGCGACCGCAGCCCGCCCGAGCCGGCCGCGGTGCTGTGCGAGCAGTGCGAGGTGCTGTACTGCAGCGCCTGCCAGCTCCGCTGCCACCCGGCCCGCGGGCCCTTCGCCAAGCACCGCCTGGCGCCGCCGCCCGCACACCCGGGCGCCCCCGACGGCGGCGGCGGCGGCGGCGGGAAGGGGGCGGGCGGCGGCTGCAAGCTGCCGACGTGCGCCGAGCACGACCTGGAGAACTACAGCATGTACTGCGTGAGCTGCCGCAGCCCCGTCTGCTACCAGTGCCTGGAGGAGGGCAAGCACGGCAAGCACGAGGTGAAGGCCCTGGGCGCCATGTGGAAGCAGCACAAGGTGAGTCCCGCCGGCCGGCCGGAGCTGGGGCGATGCTCGGCCCTGGGGACCGTTCGTGCCGATGCCTTGACATCGCCTTGCAGTTTACAGGACGTGAGGCGACTTCACGTCCATCATCCTCCCGGCCTTTCTTCCCCTTGCCACAGAGCTCCCTGGCCCTTCCAGACAGCCCAGCGACGCCGCAGCCTCCGCTCAGGGTTAGAAGATCCACAGACTCCCTTCCACGTTGGCCTCACCTTAGCCAGCAAATCTCAGGCTCAACCAGCCCTCGGGCAGACACCTGGGACTGGCGAGCCCGTCTCACTAACTTGTTTGACTTCCACAGGATCCTTGGCCATCCCGTCCTCTTGTGGGTGGCCGCAGCTGCCTGTGAGGGGATGGGATGGTCAATTCCTTCCTTTCACCGCCTCCCTTTCAGCTGGGACTCAGTGCAAACTGCCACATCCATTTCCCACCGCATGTCAGTGAGGGAGAGTGGCCCAGGGCCACCCGGACGTTTTAGACAGGAAACCGTGATAAGGAGGGTCATGCGACATCACTGTCGTCTCCTGGGCCTCAGAGAGGTCTCCCCTCCCGTTCAGTTCCCAAGATGGCCAGGAGGAATGGCTGGAGGGACCTTCCTGACACAAAGATGATTAAGGAGTCGTAGGACAGATGGGGTCTAGGGACAAGTAAAGCTTTTTCTGATTCGTATAGTGCCACAGTTTGATTCGTGCTTCCCTGCAAGGTGAGCGCCTTAGCCCTCCCTGGAGGCCCCTGGGGAGACATCAGAGCCAGCCGCTTTGCCACACCGGGGGGTTGCTGAGGTCTGGGAGAGCTGCTGGGTCACTTGGCCATGCTGTCCTTGTTAAAAACAAGACTTTGCAACCCTCTGAATAAAGAGCAAGACATGACCTTAGAAGTTGAAAGAATGTATGAAGTTAGCTCTTTCTTGCTAAGACGGCGGACCCCGGAAAAATGATTAGTTAATACATATGAATGTACAGAGGGGACTTTAAATACCTGAGTGCTGAGAGCAGTCCTTTGGAGCTTCTCGCTGTACAGGGGGAAAGGACTTCCCCCACAGCTGTGCAAAGAGCTTTTGGCTAGCTCTGCTGGCCACAGGATTCCCTTCTCGCTCTCTGCTGCAGTCATCAGTAAAGGAAACACAGAGAGATCCTTTCAGACAGTGCAGGAGAAGACAAAATCAAAACTGGTCTCATCATCCCTCAGCCATAATGCGGTTGAGCACAAGCTAGGCTAAGACATTTGCCAAGGCAAAAAATGGACTTTTGATTTTAAGCTTCAGAAAAGATGCCCCTTGGGGTGATTGATCTGCATAGTTTGTCCATCTGAGAAAGACGAAACTTCTTCAGTACGTTTCAGTTTGAAAGCTCTGCCAGGGGCTCAGCCACCTCCTCCCTACCATGACGGGTATTTGTGCAGACTAGAAGTTCTCTTGGCCCAGAAGGAGCAGATTACAAACTTGAAGCTATTGCTGCTGATGTCAACGTCAGAATCCACTTCTGAGCAGAATTATTTTAATGAGCAAGGATGGAGTTCACTGTCCAAGTGTGTCTGAGAGTGAGAGAGACAAGTTTGTGCTGTATTATGGTGTACCTTGAGTTAACACTGTTGCCTTTTTGAACAATGTGATAAACTCTGGTGTAATCAAAGTTCAGTCAGTCATTTTCTCTCTTTCCTACTGTCAAATACTGTCAAAAGAATGAACAACACCCTGGTGGTTTGTATTTTTACTGCATTTTTTTCCCAGGACTAAAGTATCGCAGAATGTGATTTTTCACTTGATTTACAGCCTCAATCAGTGTGAAAATTCTAGTGAAAGAAACAAAATACTCAAATTTAACTAATGTGGGAACTCCAAAATTGTGCTCTTGTGAACATTATTTTTCCCAGAAGAAAGTGCTTGGCAGAAAGTAAATATAAGGGAACCATATAGCCAGACAGGCTAAATCATCAGCTCACATTCATTCAGATAAAATGTTTTGGAATTAGATACTTCTGCTTAGAAATAGTTCTCAGATACAGAAATTGCTACAAGTTTATCACCTGTAGTTACTTTGGCCAAACCGAAGATTACTTACCTTGAGTGGTATGCCAAATGTAATTCAAGTATTATGTGTTCTCTCCAGGTGCTCCAGGCGTAGCTGGTAGACGCAGCTGGAAGGGCTTGTCTGTAAGAGCTGTTAGCCAGTAAATTTGGCAGACGGACAGCTGTTCACCATCAGCTGATAAGCACCTGCTTATCCCCTTCTAAGGCCGGTGGCAGGTATTCTTGACCTAAGAAGGGCCGCCAGAGCCATTTCCCCACCTCTCAGGACCCAGTTTCATCCCGCAACAGTAAACTTCAAACATGTTTTCTACTGACTAGAGAACTGCTTTTCCAGAGGCCCTGCCCACCTTCCGCTTCAGGATCCATTTCCATTCCATTTCTGTATTAGCCTTTTGTTCAAACTGTTTGACTTCTCCTTTGTCTGGGCCTTATATAGTGATCGTGGCAAGTTACAGACTGTATCCATACAGTGCTGCAGACCATGCATTAAAATGTGCATTTACCTGCAGCTGTACTGCTGGGATGAAAGCTGTACTAGGCTGGTTGGCCGCTGTTAATGGTGCAGGTTCCCCATTGTGCTGCCGTATGCAACTTCTCCTATAGAGAAATTGAAAATGGTGTAAATTAACAACAGGGCCCCAGTGGTGTAAATCTGTCAAAATCCACTGACTTAGCTAGACTTTGTTATAGTCACTTGCATGAGAAGTGCATTTGGACCAGCAGTTTAAGGTTATTAAGTAAAACTGTGTGAGTCTTCTGCTGAAGTTAAGTTCTTTTATGTCTTCATAGCAAGAACAGCGACACCATTGTCGGATTTCAGTTGGTAAGCCTATGTCCTACCAATATGAGGAATGATGGTGAACAAATTTCAGCTCTGCCCCTTCTAAATTATTGTATATATGCATATATCTATATATGTCTCTATAAATGTCTATACCAAAACACAGATGGATAGGACTGTGAAGGGCAGGGAGTCAGGCGGTCAAAGGCAAGTGTTGGAGTCCAAATGCCTGCTTTTATTTGCTGGCCGAAAGAGTTGTGTTCCCAAAAACGTGTGGGCTCTTTCAGAATTCAGTGCCAGGACAAGCATATCTAATCAATAGTTAATCTGCTGCTAAAGAGAGTTGGAGGGAAAACAAGTTAAATGAGCATGAACTGTTCGGTTGGAAAAGGACGTGGGCATTATCTGGTTCATTTTCTAAGATCAAAGGAAGCATCGGTCTTCCATGCCTATCTGGGTTTAATTACTCACCCTTGTTATCTCCCTGTTCCTGTATTTGATTGAAGTAGAAACTTGGTATCCATCTCCAGCATCCACATCATTGGTTGCAAGACCAGGTACTAAAGTAAAGATAACTCCAGGTAGAGTATTGTTTGTCAGGAGTTATTAAGTCTTGCAGTCAATGGAGCTTGTAACATTTCTGTTTAACTTCCAGTAAATATTTCTGCATCATGAAGGATTGCTCTGAGTGTACAGGGCATTTTTTATGGCTTGGTTGGTTTACTGAGGGCTTAGTCACGTATCTCCATTTGGTTTTAATGGGAAGTGCATGACTAAACTCCACTGCTTTGTAAGGTATCTTTTACAAATGCTTGGAAAAACAAGGCTATTATCTCTAAGTGGGTTTCACAAACGGAGATCTGGTCTTTTCAGCTTCACGCTGCAGTTGCGTTAATGCAACCACAGGTTTTAATGAATGCAGCAATTCACTTACAAGCCCTCTGAACAACAGTGCTGTTGAGTTTCTGCTGCAGCTCTTCACGATGGGAGTGTGCCGGGAGCCAGGCAGGGCCTGGTGCTAATTGCCATGGGTACATATGCCAGGTTACAATTCGTCTGCAGTGATTAAGTTTTCTGTGGCTGCTATGATGCCTGCATATAGCTTTTGGTTCTTCTTGTCTGGTGAAATGCACTTTGAGATGATTTGAGAGCTAGGTCAGATGTTGGAACAGTGGAAGTTTTACTTTTGTTGGGACCAGACCATTGGTTTTGATTTGAAAGAAAGGAGCCCTTGCCTCCCTGGGACAATTTGATAGGGCAAGTCAGTGGCAGAGGATACCATGCTTTTGCCACCTATTTCTTTCTCGATTCCTCCTCAGCCGCTTGGTCATATATGCTGTTTCCACCTTGTCCTGCATCAGCTTGACAAACCAAAGGCTTGTGGATGGAGCAGAAAGTGCAATCAAAAAGGGTGGGCTTTAAACTGTGTCAGCCATGATCAGCCTGTGGAGAGCTGATCTGACGTCTTGATTGTCTGATCTGGCAGAAAATAGGGACCTTTTCAAGGACCTGGAGTTTGCATCTGTGACCGCAAGTAGCATTCATATCAAACATCATCGCTCTAAATTTTTGTTCAGTGACAAGGTTTTGTGTAAGAAAATACTAAGCATTCAAATATTGAGAAACACACAGAGTAATGTGTCTTCCTGTTACATTTGTTACAAATGAGTTATAGCAAAGCATATTTTATTTTCAAATTTAGCACTAATGTAATACCTACAAGTGGGCTAAAAGGAAAAACTTTGTGTGAACAGGAGGGAAAAAAAGGTAGGATGGCTTCTTTCTCTGAATTCAGTCCCAGCTCCCAGTCAGGGTTTGTATGCGCTTCCTGCAGAGCTGTCCGTGTGGAGTTTGGCAGTGCCTCTGCCTCGGAGCCGGGCTGTGGAGTGCCCACGGGGAGCTGACAGGGTCTGCTCTTTGCTGGCCTGCGCGAATGAGCAAGCGCATGGGGAGGATGAGTAGGAGATACGTAGGCAGGAGGTAAGCTCAAATCCTTGGGCAGCCTGAAGAAGTGAGCTGTGCCCTTTTTTGGGGATGTAGTAATTTACTTCCCTCCAGGAGCAAAAGGGAAGCAGAGAATGGGTGGTGACTTACTGAATTTCAATTAGGTCTGCTCTTAGAGGCTCATAACCTTTGTGCCTCCCAACATACAAGGCTCTGTCTCAAGGCACACTGTAGTCCTAAGGAAATAAGAGACGGCAACCTTCTGAAAGCCTGATGTTAGTGAAGAGACTCAGTCTTCCATTTCCTGATGTCAGTTGTCCTGTCCGTCTGGTGAGGATAATTAACTGGGCATTGGCAATCTGGAAGTTGTCAAGTCCGCCTGAGGAGAGTGACTAACCTGCAGGACACTCACGATGGGACCTGTCTGATCACTCTGTATTATATCTGCACAGAGAAGTAATGCTGGACCTGGGCTTGCCATGGGCTGACAAGCAGAGCAATACACTTTCTGTAATCCCAGCCAGACTTCCAGAGGAGCTGCGCCAGGGCTGCTCCGGTCAGACCACGGTGGTTCCGTGTCTGCCGGGGGCAGAACTGACGTTTCCTTCCCATCCTGGAAGTCCATCAAAAGGCCTCTGGTTTGCTTTAGAGATCTCAGGTGCCAGCTGAGGAAAGGGGAGGTTAAATCTTCAGTGTGATCTTACAACAGACATATTCCATAGGTCTCACCAGTCAAAAGCTAGAGGAAGGGGTTTTTCGAACTTTTCCAGAAATAGTCACTCTTTTATTGGGTTGGAGCATGGGAAACTAGAGCCCCGAAGGGACATTACTATGAAGTCTGAAAATGCAGACTTGTCTTTGAAGTCCTAGTGTATCTCAGGTTTAGTAGGATTTACCACATTTATAAAGAATTCAGGCTTTGATGAAAAAAAAGTGCCATTTTGGAAAGCACTTGGGGATTTTTCAGCATGACAGATGCTACTGTGTAAGTGTAAGACAATTATCTCCTTATATATATGGGTAGCTGTCTTATAAAAAGATATTTTGACTTACCAAGTCACTGCAATGAAGTGGAATGTGCAGACACAATACTTCACTTCCCCCACATGCATATTTCACCTTTATTAAATCTTATTACAATTAAAGTCTTAACTGTTCTTTTCTAGCACAAACACTCTGTACGTGTAAGAATACATGCGACAGCAAGTAAGCCTTTTAGCACATTATTAATCATCAAACCCAAGGATTAGTAAGAAACACATTTGCATTTTATCTCTTAACTTTTCTTTTTTTTTTTTTTTCCTCCGTTTTTTTTCTTGCAGGCACAGCTGTCTCAGGCTTTAAATGGTGTTTCAGATAAAGCAAAGGAAGCTAAAGAATTTTTGGTTCAGCTGAAAAATTTACTGCAGCAGATCCAGGTAACTGTAGAATATTAGCAGTTTTGATAATACAGTAATCAATAGAACTGAGTGAATAATTTATTTGAGGACTTTGTCTCCTGTGCTGTTCTAATCTTTCCTGGAATCATCTAACCTTTCTTGAACGGATTTGCTAGGCAAAATTATTCATCCAATAATGCCTTCAAGCCCCTCTTAGTTTCTAGGTTGTTATCTGTTTATTGCAAGAAGCTGATACTCAACACTGGACATCTGAGCTGTGTTGATTAGTATTTGATTGAATCCATCAGTCATGCTTCTGGGCTCCTTCCTGACTGCAATTGCTTGAATTGGGCATTTAGGATAAGTTCTTATTTTAACACATTCAAAATTTACTATTTGTTTTTCATCTTACATTTTCTAAAAATGTACTCGTTTCTGGATAAAATCCAGTCAACCTGTTTATTAGAGTATTTGTAGGAAGTCAAAAAAAAGAAGCAGCAGCAAATGCTGCTAAATCAATGTGGTCATTTATTGAAGCAGAAGATATTTTCGTGCCTGTAATTGTCTAGCTTTAATAGTCAGAAAAGGGCTCATGGTGAGTCCAGTAATTGAGGGACACAAACCCAAAATGAAACAAGTCCTATTTTCAACCAAATTTAGGCTCGCCAGTGCTGGGGGTCGGGTGATCCTCACGGTCCTTCTTACCCTGCAGAGCGTGGCTGGAAATGTGCCGCGGTACTTTGAGCTGCACAGTGCCCAGGAGGAGACGCTTGTTACCTGCAGCCTGCGGTGCTCTGCGGCGGTGGGTCTTCTGTGGAATATGCATTATCTGCTCCATGGTATGCCCACTCTGCTGCTTGCTGATCTTCCATCAACAATCAAATCCTGTGCCTGTTAGTAACAGAAAGCCAAAGCAGAAGTTCAAAAATCTGTATTTAGTTTAGAATGTAATCATTAAAATATTCCACTTAACACTCCAGATGATGAATTCATACCACAAATGCTGCAAAGCTCTCAGGCAGCATAGCTACCCACCCTCAGTCTTCTGTGGCCATGTGGGGAAGCAAACAAACCGAGACAGAAACTGGTAAAACAAGTCACATCTAAGTGAAAGAAATCAGTGTGAAGGCCCCGACTGGCACCTGTCACATGCCATGTTTTGGACACAGTGTGAGGTTTCTCTCAGCTACCTTTACCTATTTAAAAGTCATGCAGCTCATCTAACCTAGTCATTTAGGCTTCTTTTATTCTTTCTTTCTTTCAAGGAGAAGGACAGGCACCTCTAGAGAGCAGTTCTTCTTACAGGTATGAACAGCTATTTTAGGATGGGATAACTCATCCAAAACAGTAATCTGTCACCAATCTTTTCTTGAGTCACCTAGATCCATTAAAAATGTATTTTTCCCTCCTGAAACGTAAAGGTGGCCTATTACAACTATTTATGACTATGCTGTAAAATCCTTCAATCTGTTTTAATAAAATGACTGACAAATTACTCTGCATAAGGGAGCTGCTACAATTAGATTGCAAGACCAAACCATTTATTTAATGCTGCTCATTGCCTAAAATTCTAGAGGAGAACTCAGAAGAGGAAACTGTATCCAGCAGCTCACCCTCTAACATTTAGGCATATCTGGATCCGACCCTGACGTGTTGAGCCAGTCTCCATTCTGAGTCTGAGTGAAGACATCAAATTTCAGCAAACCAAAACATCAGGGCTAATCAGCTGCGTATGTATTCCTAAGTGAAACAAGGCTGGGGCACAGCTCTGAGACCATCACCCGCACACTTTAACCACTAATGAGCTCCCACGCATGGTTTTCTCCCATTACAAACTGCTCTTCCCGGGTGATGCTCAAGCAGCATTTGATGATAGCACATACCAAGGAATATTCCTGGTAGGCAGGTTTGGTACAGCCATGCTGTTTGAGGGGAAAGGGTTTAGATGTGTCATGAGCTGCTCTGTGCCGTTTGGCAGATGGACCAAAAAAACAGTTCTTGGACTGTTACTTGGGAGGGGAGTAGATGTAGCCTTCATACGTAGATTTACACCCAGAACCATATATCTCTGAGCAGGTTATTTCTAATAGAAGGCTTACGATGGTTGCCACGCACACATGCAGATATTTACCCCTCAGCAAAAATGTCTTTAACATGTATGTTTACACAAAGGAATGAGCAATATGTACATTTTATTATCCTGTCTCAATACACAACAGACCAGACAGCCATTTGCATTCTTCCTCTCCTTTCTGAGTTTGCCAGAGCTACCAGGAGCTATGCTTTTATCTTGCCTGGAGCAGTTTGCAAATTCATAATCTACTTTTCTTTGCTCTGTTTTGCAGATCTGTTGTTTCCCCTAGTTTTTTCCTTCCCTTCTCCTTTCTGAGGTCACTTTTAAATCTCTTGGTCTCTTCTTTTCAGAAACTGCCTGTTCCTCATTGCCCCTGTTGCTTCCTTGCTCCTCCTTGTTGCTGTCATTATCTGATTTTCATATTTTCCCATCTGCTGTATCAATTTCATCCTTTCTCACTTGAAAGAGGCATATCGCCAAACACCCTGTTTGATGTGCGAACAGCAAATGAGGAGATAAACGATGCACTACAGCGATTGACTGATTCAGAATCTGTACACAAACCAGTACTTCAAGAGTAGCTGGATGGAAATGGGCTCAAGGGGGAGTCGGGTGTGATACAAGCCGAGGAGGGAGAGAGGCCAAACAGGAAGAGTCTAAGACAAACCTGTGAACAGTAACTGAGCTGTCTGGTGTCTCCCTCCCGACCCTTCTTGCTGGCAGGTCTAGGACTGCGGCGGGGGCGTCTCAGGGAAGAGTGACCCTGAATCTCTCAGCTGGGGAACGGGATGCATGGATTGCAGTGAGGGAAGGAAATGCAGTGCTGAAAATTTTGCTCTCAAAAGAATGAAGACAAAACAAATGAACAGAAAAGAAGAGAAAAACATAAACAAAAGAGCTAAGGGATAGTAATGAGTTAGGGGTGTGGGATGTCTTACCACAGAGATGCTTCTCCTTCAGCACCTGTTTAAAATCTTTTCACATTTAATGCTGCTTTTTTTTTTTTTTTTTTTTTTTTCATTTGTGTATCTGGGAGGAAAGCTGATAGGACAACGAAAGAGGAGCTTGAAATCTTTCTTCTTCTAGTCTCACGAGCGGAGGAAGCGAGGGACAGCCTCCCTTTGAGTGAGTGCTGCAGCATCAGTTCCATGCCCAGAGAAAGCCATCCCCAGGAGGAGGGGCAGCTCAGGACCTTGTAGTACCATCTACTCAGATTTCTACTGCTGCATGGTACTCTGTGGTAGCATGGTTTGTTCCCCATTGAGAGCACAGGGGTTTATGTAATGGTATGTGATACCAGGCCCTACTCAAGGCTCAGGGTTGTATACCTTAGATGCTGGCCTCTGCGTAGCAGGGAGGTTTATCACAATGTGAATAAAAAACTGTCATGCATTTTTTTGTTGTTGTTTTTTTAAAGCTAATCAAATACCTGTCTCCACTGCCAAGGGCTAGCTATTTTTACAAAAGGACTTGAAGCAATACAGAAATCTCAGGGCTGTGTACCTGATTAATTTCCTTGTAATAAGCCTGTAGACCAGATTCAGGTCCATAATTCTGTTCTAATTGCCATGGTGTAGAGCCAGTGATTTCAAAGTTGCTGCAGTGTGATAATTAAAACAGAATGGGACAGAATCCTCTTATGTATATGTATGCACCATGTATGTTAGGTTTAGCTTTTACATTATGTTGTACTACATCTAGTCGTCTGGAAAGTGCCAGTAAATCAAGGTTTTAAATAAGCCCATTTGTGGCATAGCGTCTTAGTGTTCGTTTTATAGCATGCAGCTATTACTAGTACAGCTATAATGAAATCAGAAAGGCTACAGAAATGCCGAAGTCTTGAAAAGAATTCTTTTCTGAATAGAAAAACAGGTAAGAATGAGCAATAGCTTAACGCGTAAAACATGCTTTCTTTGATGAGTATGACTCTCACCTTCTTCTAGGAGAACGGGTTGGATTACGAAGCCTGTCTTGTCGCTCAGTGTGATGCCTTGGTTGATGCGTTAACGCGACAAAAGGCAAAACTGCTCACAAAGGTGACCAAAGAACGTGAGCACAAGCTGAAGGTGAGCACAACTCTTATCAGCTGAGCATGGCTGCCGATACCTGCTGTTACTGTGCATTTTGTCAAGTCCCCAGCCCTTTACACCATGCAAATTCCTAGTGACCAAATCCTAAAGTCGTTTAGCAGGTTCCAGTTCAGCAGTTTAGTGGAGCTGTGCGTATAGACTTAAAATGAGGCATATACTTCAGCAGTTTGTTGAATGAGGCCATCAGTCTTTCTTTATCTGATGGTTTGAGGCTATCTTTTGAGAGGTGAAACCGGTGTGTGGTTTAGATTCTGGAACCTTCTGTCCAAGTAAAATGTTAGGATTTTGGTGTCTCTTCAAACCTTAGAAATTCAGGCAAGCCACCTCCAGAAATCCATGTACCACTCAAAAGATATTAAAGAAATGCAGTAAAGGAGGGTTGGGAGAAGAAAGCTATAAATGGTTGAACAAAGTGGCAGTCAAGAAATGTTTAAATAGGCACATTTCTTGAAATGTTGAATTGCATATGTGATTGTGAGGTATTATAGTGCCAGTATCATTAATAGTATCTAAGACAAGGAAAAATTGAAGTGAAATATCTAACATGGTAAACAACTAATAAACTCTACCTGAGATCAGCATTTAAAAATCCCCGTAGTTTACCAAGAACCAGCACTTAGGACACACTGCTAACATCACAGCTAATCTGGGAGTTTATTCCTGTTAGGCTGTTGTACTTCAGGAGTTGTGCTATTGAACACCGTGCTATTAGGCCTACTCTACAGCTATGTGGCAGCAGAATTAAGTCCAAAATCTGGAAAAACGAGATGCAGCCTTTTTATTTCTTAATCCCAGCAATATTTTCTTAAGCAGAGCAGGATCCTTGGTGCATTGTGAAGAGAATGGTAGAGCATAATCTGCAGGAAACCACTCCTGCAGTTATCCTCTATATTATTTGCTTTTTAAGTGAACACTTTTTTAAAAGCTCAGTTTTTAGTGAAAGTGTGATTGTAAATGTGAATAGTGCAAATGCAGAAACATATTCTGTGCTCTTTCTGCCTTGAGCAAGCCTGATCTTTGAGCAATTAATCTGCTCTGAAAATTGAGATTCCCTGTGTACATTTTGCCAAGCTAATTATCGGTATTTACAATACAGAGCAAGTGAGTGTAGCTGATGGAGATATGGCAATGGACATATGGCAGCTAAATTAAGCATAGCTTTAACACACTCTTACATTTGTTGTTTCTTCTGAAATAGTTTTGTACAATTCATGGTAAGATGAGGCAGTCACCAGAACTCTATTGATGCTTATTTTCCAGGTTGTTTGGGACCAGATAAATCACTGTACACTGAAGCTACGCCAGTCAACAGGGCTCATGGAGTACTGCCTAGAAGTTATCAAAGAAAATGATCCCTCTGGGTTTTTACAGGTATTTTTCTTTCCAGTGTTCTGGAGAATAAAAAGAAAAGACATTAAAGTTAAATTTTGCCCAATTAGTTCTATGATTTTAAAAAATTATTTTATTTTGCCCTGTTCATTATGTTGTCCTATTAATTGCCTAAGAAGAAAGGCACATCAAACAAAACAATCTGCATATGGCTGTCAGCTGAACAGGGCACACTGCACACATGAATGCATGAGCGTCACAGGGCTGTCGCAGCATCCCTAAAATACAGGATGAGAATTAGCGAACTTAAACCTATTAGCACTTCAGATTGATTGCTACTGTCACGTCTGGTCTCAAGCAAGAGTGGGGAATATGTGGCGTACGTTAATCTCAAGACTACACAGATTTTAGCAGGCTGTGGTTGGATACTGCATGACAAATAAAACCTTTAGGTCTTATCTCCATGCTAGCTAGATACATGCTTTGTTTTCATTTCAGTTTACTTTTCCTGTAACCTTTGTGGCTTCATTCCTTGCAGTCACCTTTTATAAAAACATACTTCTGTTTTTACCTTTTCCTGGTTTATCTCATGGTGCTTTCAAGGCAACCAGCAAACACTGAGGCACTGCGTTACTTAGAGCAACTACTCCTGCAGCCAGGACATTGAAACACAGCTGAGGGATCCAGCATCCCAGTAAGTGACTCTGAGGTTGTAAGAAGGCTATGAGATGCTCCTCCACTTACTGCACAGACTGATTAGGAGCTGTTGATGCAGGGGCTCAGGCAGGAATGTCTTCCAGTAACAGTAATGAGGAAAGGTACCTGAACTCCTGCAATAAAGAAAAACTCTCTTTGAACCATCCAGAAGAAAATTCTGCCCCTTGTGATTTACATGAAGCTTACCGGGAGGGACTCCAGATATCCAAATGGCAGCTTCACTGAACTCTTGGACAGTTGAGTTCATTGATTTTGACAGAGCCAGAATTTCACTTCCAGAAGAGTCCACTGCGGTCATTTTAGTCTGATTTTTGGCCTAATTGTCTGTGGGCTGATCTAGAGCAAAAATTTAAAATTTAAATTAAGTTTTGATGTAATCATAGAAAATCCATCAATACTTCGAAAATCTGACAATTTAGCACCCTCACTGTGAGAAATATACACCTTCCTTCCCATTTGACTTCTTTTATTCTTTTCACCTTGCATCCACTGAATCATCTCTGTTGAAGGGAGAGACCCTCTAACATTTAAGCCTCTCTTTGTGCAACTTTTTTAAACAGGAGAGCAAAACTAGCCTGATGCAGATCAGAGAACAGAGTGCAGAATTATATGTGGCATTCAGAGGCATGATACATAACATAACAGGCTTGCAATTTTTACTTTCCTACCCTGAGATGAGATTTGTTTTGAAAAGACAAGATGAAAGGATACAACGTAAATGGACCTCACCCCAAAATGACCAGATCCCATCTCAGCTGTTGTGCTGTCGCATTCCTGCTTTCTTTGCTGGATCTCACAGGCATTCTGTCATTTTCAGTGTGTGCATCTGCCACTTCATTATAAGCCTGATACTCTCTTTCAGATTTCGGATGCTTTAATCAAGCGTGTTCAGGTATCTCAGGAACAGTGGGTCAAAGGAGCCTTGGAGCCAAAAGTGTCTGCTGAATTTGACTTGACTCTGGATAGTGAACCTTTACTGCAGTCGATTCACCAGCTGGATTTTATTCAGATGAAATGTAGGGGTGAGCTTTTATGATTTTCTTTTTTCTGTTTTTTCATGCATGTGTTGAAACAGCGCTGGGATGGACAGGGGAACGGAGGGAGGAAAGAGGGATGACTTGAAATTGCTGAATAGTTCTAAAAGTTTTTCAGGCAAATTCAGATTACTGGGTGTTTCCTGGAAAAGTGTGATCACCTCACATGCAGTGACCTGAACAAACTCAGGCAGAGATACCAGGTGCAGTTAAATATTTGAAAGGATACATTCTTCAGAGTAGGTCTATCTGTCAGCTTTGAAGATTAAAAATGCATTAGCTGCATGAAACTTTATGCCACTTTATAGCATTCCTAGATTTAACATGGTTAATACAAAATACCAATTACCCCTATCTTGTCAAGAACAGCTGAAGTAGAAAATAAATCTTCCTCCACACACACCTATGCTTCAATAGGGAAAAAACGCACAACCTTTTGACTAATATCTGGACTGTGCTGCGAAGAGTGCCTAGCTTAAAAAAAAATCATGAGGCAGAGATTCACAAGGGGAAAGGAGCTCCACAGCTATACTCTTTCTTGTTCCTGAGTATCTGAATGATTCCGAGGGACACACTAAAGGGAAAGGAGGGTAAAAAAAGTATTTAAAAGGAGAAGCTGATGAACAGTAGTTGCCATTGGCAAAAAAAAATAAATTAGCATCATGCGCTTGTAATGAGCTTGGTTTATATGGAGCAGGATGAGAACTGCATCAGAATTAGATAGATCCATAGACTGGCTAAATTTGAAGGCCATTGTGGTCCCTGGGAATGATGCCATTAGCTTCCCTCCCTTGTGATTCAAGCCTTAATTATACATGTGGGTGACAGGGTAGAGGCTGCCAGAAGTCAGTGAATGAGTTAAGGATAATTGTGTCGTGATGTCGGATGTGCTTTTTTTTTGGACTCCAAGCAAGCATAAAGATTTCTGTTCAGTTTATCTGTTCTTTCTGAGCCTAATTCTGAATCTAAGAGACCCAAGATGAAGTAATTAGGATGGATAATTTGGCAGATAAATGTGTGGAGAAACAATGGATAAACAGTTAAAGGCCAGAGTCAGCTCACTAGGAATGGTTAGCATCTTGGCATAATCGGGCTGTGTTAAAGTCACTGAAAAAACACCTGTGAACTGCTTATTAGAAATGTTGACAGCCAGGAAAGCAGAACCAAGAGAGAAACAGTATCACTGAAAAAACTTCCCCAAATACTGTCTGTACTTGTCTTTTTATATCAGTTGATATTTAATGCTGGCCATATTTATTGTTAAATATATTTAATACTAAACTTCCACCACTCTCCTTCCCAAACATATAAAAAATTTAGTTAAATCATCCACTTAGATTGCTAATTAACCACAGGTCACCTGAGGTGAGAGCAGTTTAGGTGTTTGGCTTTTGAACATCCATCTGGCTTTAAGCTTGAAGACTTACAAGACTTTAATTGAGACAGATTCACTGGAGCTTTATGAAAGATAGTCCTGTGTGCTACACTCTCATCTATCATGCAATCACGGTGAAGCTCTGGTACTGAGCTAGAGCTCACCACAGCCTGAGGAGCAGAGAAAAGGACAGGACCACTTCTGCCCAAACCTGTGCAGAGCGTACAAACACCCTTGGGCTTTGCTCCCCAGAGGCACCTTAACAGTTAGCCCTCAGGAAGGGCTCTTCCTTGAGCTGTCTTAGCCTTGACCGGGGACTGCTTGTTGCATGTCCCATCAGGTTGGCTAGCACAGCTGGCATGACCATGTACACACCATGCGAGGAATGGTGGAAATGGCGTTAACTTGGCCACTGTTCCTGAAGGTGCATAAGGGGTGGCATTATTCCCCCTCGTGCTGCTGTGTGCCCATGCAGAACAAGCCACTAACTGGTCCCAAGCTAATATTCACGAAGAAAAATCTATGTATCTCTTCACATCTGCTCCTCTTTCTCCAGTCCTGCCTACCCCAGTGCACCATCAAGTCATCAATCTTTGCCAAATGTCAGTATTGAGGGGAGTGTTATTAAGTCGCTATACTGGTTGATCTGAGAAGCATAGATGCATTAAAGTCATCAGAGACGATCTTTAAAGAGAGTTTTGGGGAAACCTAGGAGAAAAGGGCCAGCATGACTTTTCCAACTGCAAGTTGTTTTGTTCCAAAAGCTTTGCTATATAAGGGCTGTACTGTTGTTATCGATGCTTAGTGCATGACTGGATTTCTATATTTTTTTTCAAACTCTGGCCTCATTCAACCTTGATGAGCTTGCATGGGTCATTTAGAGTGAAAGCATGCTTGTAAGTAAACATTGATTCACTGTGTTAGACAAAGAAGAATGCAAATGAGAACAAATCACATTATATTTGCTTTGATGACTTGTTCATGTACCCTACTGGTGGACTCTCTATAAGCCCATATCTAAAGCTGATCTCAATAAATAAAGATCAGGGGGTGTTTTTTCTTTTTATTGAAAGAAGAAGCAATTTGGTAAAAAATTAAATGTGCAGAAATGTGATAGGTGCAGAAGTAATGCTTAAGCAGTCATGTTGACCAAAGGGTCTCGCTGATAGCCCTTTGGCAAGAGTCCCACGCTCCCTAGGCTAGCTGAACTGCTGAGACACACACGCTGCTCTAGTAATTGCTGGTGTTTTGAGCTTTTCCAGATCCCTTTCCTCTGTCCATGTTTTCTTCTCTCTATTGCTTTTTCTAAGTCCCTCGGCACAAAATTCCTGTCCTCTTTGATGACTAGCTCAATGCATACATCACATTTCCTCAGTTCAGGCTATGGGCACAGGCAAATATGTGTTCCAGGTTTGTTTTGTACAAACAGCTGGAACTGTCATGCAATCTTGATTTGTTATAAAATGGAGACTAGGTACGAAATAGGAAAAACTATAGCTACTCTCTACTTTTCTGTACCACCTCTGAATACTCACTCATATGCCCCTTCTCCTTGTCAGGAGTGACTCCTTCCCTCTTCTGCAAACCAGTCCATGAAGATTCCTCAGACACATCTTCTGCCACAATTCTCTGCTTTTCCAGCCATGAGCTGCATAGCCCTGATAATGGAAGAGTAACTGTTTCATTAAAGGCTTTATCCCTGGTTCTGTTTGCTCTGTGTCACAGACCCAGGTCTTTGCTTGTGGCCTTTCATTCTCTCTTGATAAGACTGTAGGGCACTTGCTACAGCAGTGACTTGGGCTGTTACAGGGCAATACTGCAGTTTTGGAGGAGGTCAAAGTTTTTATGTTTCTGAGGGTCCCCTTCTTTCAGTGCATTTAGTCCTTTAAAAATTAATCTGGGAAGGTGGAGGGCATCATTGAATAACTTGTTTGTCAAGAGGACAAATAAGAGACAGCATCTTAGAGCAGCCCTAGTGTACCCTGAGAGGAGATCAGCTGTGAGGTGCATTGAGCAAGGTGTTTTTGAAACTGCTGAGTTGACATGAGACATCAGTATCACATTTTTCAGCTAAGTGTGACCTGCATGAAGCACTTTTAAAATAGCGGAACATCATTCAGACTCATTAGTTGGTCTTGCTGTGCTAATGCAGTATAATTTCTCCCTTTATATTTTTAATCTTTTCCTTTAAAAACTCTCTAGAGGACTTTAAGTTGAACAAGAACTGGAACAGCACTTCAATTTAACATCTGAGTCTTCTTTTTTTTTCCTGACACTTTGTCTATATTTTTCTTTTCTTAGTCCTGTCACATTGCTCTTTGCTATGAAGTAATCCCAGTGACCCAATTGTTCAATTCACTTTGCACTTTCCTATGACTTTTACAAGTGTTCACCTTTTCTCCTCCCAGGGGGAATCTGAGATCAAGGCAGATCTCTGCCCATCCGCATCCAGGGCAGGAGGCAGGAGGGCAGGCACAGCGAGCGTCACCCAGCAAAGCTGCACAGCTGCTTGTTGGGAGCCTCTTACTTCTCCTTCAGCTACCGTAGGTTGTGTGGTTCAGGCCACAGGCTGGCCCAAAGGGAGTAGGAGGATGATAAGGATTACTCACAAAAACTTAAATGTCCAGTGACACGGTAAAGAAGCCCAGGCACTTCCTCATAGCATGTGTGAGTCTCACACGTAGCGCCACGATTCACACTGCTCCTGGGAAGTTGGAACAACAGCCCTTTAACGTATGAAAACATATTCTAATCCCAGACAACATTCTTGTCTACATAATTAAAAGGGACTTATAATGTACTTACCCTCCCCCCAGAATTCTGCTCTTTTTTTTCAGCATTGTGCATTATGTGAACAGTCCCTGAAAGCCTCCCATCAGTGTTCCCGGGAGATTTTTGCAGGAGGTTGGAGAGGTTAGTGGCTTATTCAGAGGTGAGGGGATGTTGTCTATTTTCCACTTTATAAACTTCAGGAGTTAGGTTTTCATCCAGTTTTTCAAGGGGGAGTCTCAGAAGCGGGGAGGACCCAGCAAATGCCTCCTGAGAGGGTTAACTGGTTAGCTAAAGTGGCAGGAGTGTGGATGGCTGATACAGCCCTGTCTTCTCCCGGGCTCATCAATCACTAGAAATACACAGCCTAACAAACACAGACAAAACCACTTTAAAAATCCCGTATCTCTGAATTCCTCGTTTTGAGGTTTTTGACTCTTGTCACATTTCTGTTACTTCTCCAGACACAATGTCTCCTAGAGAAAAGTCTGAACTTTCCATGTGAATAAACAACCAAGTTTTTATTTATAATACCCTCTGAATCATCCTTAAATATCAAGGAATAGGAACAAGGCTTCTTCTTCTCTTTTCACAGAAAAACCTTCAAGAGCTAATTTATAAAGCTCTTTTGTTTTAGACCACAGTCATTCTTCTGGGCTACCAACCATCTGTGTTCACTGCAGTGATGGATAATGTCAGCGGAAAGCCATGGTACCTTCTGCACTGTTTATCACAAGTGTGATGTTGACTTCCGTGTCACTTCCAAAGTGGGGGTAAAGCCCTAGCCCCGTCACACAGTAGCGTCCATTTTCCCACAGACTGCTTGGTACACAAAACTCGAACAGTCCTCTTTTATCCGGAGAGGTAAAACAGGACGAAAGGAACAGCTCAAGGGCTTAGCTCTCACGCAGACAGAGGGAGTAAAATAAACTAAAGGCTCAAAGCAGAGTAGATAAAAGAAGAGCAAGCTGACATCGTTAAGAGCTAAGTCAGTGAATAACCGGAGCACTCAGCTCCTTGTAAGACACAGTCAAGCTCTGCAGAAATGATCCTGAATGGTGAAATTCAGCCTTGGGCATAAGACCACACAGGGTTTATTCATCACTTACATCCCACTTAACCTGTATGATTTCAACAGTGTGTAAGATACATGACAGATCTCTCCAGAAGACTGAATTTTCACTTTATAATTGCCAGCAAAGAGCGAATGGTGAGAGTTTAGTTGTGTTTAGCAGAGAAGGTGTGGTGGAAGCCTCTCCCACAGAGGCATGGCTGAATGTTTTACTCTGTTTATTTTTACTTTTAAGATGCTGGTCTGGTCAACAGTCTCTTGGTGTTTCTCCTGAGCGAATCACTAAAAAGGCATGTTGATAGATAACTTTGCACCTGTGATTTCTGGGAGGAGAGAGCCACAAGCAGTCTGCTGTAGTGCAGGAGTTCCTTTTGCTACCCGAACCAAGGGATTTAGATAAAATTTGCAGATGGAACAGTTTTCTTCAACAGTTTCTTTTAAGTATGACTGCCATAAATATAACATAACCAGGGTGGTTTTGATGAAAAAGGGGGGGTGGTGTGTTACATTAGATTTAAAAAAACCTGCACCCTATTGTGAAGAATTGTTTTCCTGCTGTCCGTGGAGTTCAGGCTCTATTTTGCCGCCGTGCTGGGAGGAGTGGCTACTCTGTAGGTTAATAATCCAATTCTTCATCAATGAGCTGGGCTTCCTGGCAGCACTGCGTCTCCCATGCTGCTCCATAGCCCAAGACACCGCCTGCCACCACTGTTCCCTCTCTCATTTTGGGGAGGGCAAAGTGCTTCAGTGTGAGAAAAAAACTCTTCCAGCCAGCGACCCCTGAGAAAGAAACCAAACGTGAGGTACCAAGACTGTAGCTCTTATGAGGCACCAGAAGCATGTCCAGATAGGTTTCTGTTTACATATTTCAGCCAAATGATTTGTCTAACAGAGTAATGACATTTTGTAATATCATTTTTACTGCCTTTTGTTTCAAGGAAGGGAACGGACCCTCTTCCTAACGAATATTGACTCTCCTGTGAGGGGAGGGAAGTGAGTGGTCCCCACACTGCTCACCTCACAGACTAATGGGGTAGGGCAGAGTTACACTAATCTGTACCCAGTTCCTGTTACAGTGCCACCCGTCCCATTACTGCAGCTGGAGAAGTGTTGCACCAGAAACAACAGTGTGACATTGGCCTGGAGGATGCCACCTTTGAGCCACAACCTGGTGGAGGGTTATATCTTGGAACTTGATGATGGAGATGGTGGCCAATTCCGAGTGAGAATTTCATTCAGCATTTATTTGTGTTTCTTTGTATGTGAGTTTCCTCAAGATACGGATTTGTGTCTGTCTGAGGGTGGGGAGAGAGCATAGGGAAGATACAGGTTGTCAAAACATCCTGCTTCCATCGTGTGGATGTAGAAAGTAGTACAGCTGCTGCTTCTTAGAAGGACCTCCAGCTTGGGTAGGAAGTTTGGTTGAGGTTATTCTTGGGACTCTGGCAAAGAGGGCCTGGAGGTCCTCCTGGAGTATACCAGAGCAGAAAATCCCATATTAGCCCACAGGAGCTGAAGGTGGTTCATTCCACAAAACAGAGATTTCTTTGAAGCTCCTGCTCTCATCTGTTCATAGCACCCAGTTTCAACAGCTGAGATTCTTTGTCCGGAAATGCAACTCAATTTTTCCAGTTTTTATGAGTAAAAATGGGATTCTGCATAAAAATATGGGATTTCTAAATCTTTTCTCTGGGAGTGGATGAGACCAGGCTGATGGAAGTTTTCCACAGACACGCTGCGATGGGGTTGGTAAGTATGGGAGGGCATCCCCAGTGCTGTCCTTCTAAACCCGCAGGGTGATGCCACAACTGATTGCTCCTGGATGCAGGTACAGGGTACTTACAAGCTCCCATCCCTCCTTGCCACGTCCCAATAAACAAACTGTAGAAATAAGTCAGTCAGCTTTCTGCCAGCCATGTCCTGCTGGAAGCTGTGGCCCTTCCTCCTTGGGCAGGTTTCATGCTCCTGTTATTTCAGGACCAAGCTGGCCCAGTGCATTCCCTAGGGTCTAGTGCCTTGAAAGCGTCTGGAGATCACTGTGGAATACAGCTGCTGTCTTCACAAATGGGAATTGTTGCCAAAAACAAGTGATGGCATTTCTTCAGGAGCTGCAAACTGGCTTCTTACCGGAAGCCTGAAGGTTTCTCAAGCTGGAAGTGGCCTGGCATTTCCTGGAGGAACTGTGTCCTTGAGCCAAACCGCTATACCCATAGCTGGCAAAGGCACCTGATTTGGGTACCCCTCATTAGAAGAGACAGCAATATTGGTAGGGCATTTTGAAGAGGGCACTGTGTTTCTGGAAGGTCTCCTCAGTTACTGGGTCCAGGTATCATTTTGCATGGGTTTGAAGAGGCTGGTCTCCACTATTGAAAGTGTGAAAAGGTACCTTTGTGAACAGCTTCTGGGAGCTGCCAATATATTTAATATTAGTAGGTAAGAGTGTTGTAAGTGTGTGATGAATGAAGAGTTAGGAACAAGGTGCTTTCATAAAGAATGTGCACATCTAAATAAGTACTTGTGAATAAACAAAATTTCAGGCTGGTATGTGTCCAAGCCCATTTGTGTGAGGGGAGTTGTAACTGGCAAAGGTTTTAGGACTGCCAGCACTGCCATATCAAGATTTTGGATTGAGAAAGGTACAAAACCATCTCAATCCTTAAAAATCTAGGGTGACAACTTCTCAAGGGAACACTTTGCTGTGGTAGAAACACCCTCAGTTTTATTAATTGAAAGATAAACTGCAGTCTTCTCAGGAATGCCATTTCAGTAAGAGTTTGCTGACCCTTTTCATGAAGGATTATGTATCTGAAAGCAGTGACACTCACTGCACTTTATCAGTATCCATTGGGTGGATTTAAAGAATGTTTTTTGTCTCCCATCATAGCAGAGAGCATCAAGCTGAATAAACACAAGCAGTGAACAGTGGTAAAATTATGAAATTGGTTAGAAAATGTGAGAGTTGTCCTACAAATACAATTTTTTTGCACAGACAGCATATGTTATAACATGGAGATAAATTAAAATATTCTATTAAAACTCTTCTTTCTCTCCATGAAAGATCAGCTAACTTAGGACTGAAGAGATTTTGTTATTGTAGCAGCTTCCATGGTAGAAAAGTGGACAAACACAGGACCTGCTGTAAACTTAAGCAATCCCTTTCTTATTCATCACATATTTAATTAATTTCAGGTTCATATCAAAGAGATTTAATCAACAGGACTACTCTTTAGGCATATACTTATGTGTCTTAACTGAACTGGGACCTGAGTGGTCTGCCTAGTCACAGCCTTAAGCTCTTTAGGGCCTTTGCTACCGTAAAACTATGGATTTCACAAAATTGGAGAAATCAGAGGTGGAAAGGAATGTTGGTTTTCAACCTGCTGCCAAGTCAGGATTTTTATCTTTTCTGTCATTTTCTATTCAGTTTTCCAACAAACACGAGGTTTCTAGGCTTCTTTCAGTTCATCATACTGTATAATCTGACTGATCCTCTTCATTAGTCTGCCTAGATGTTCATCCTCCTGAAATATTTCACATTACACAAGTGCTTGCTGTTTAATAAATCTTTGCAGACTTCTATGATGTCTCTGTTGTCTAATTACTGTTTCATCATGTGATGCACGTGATTCTAATCTTTAGGAGATTAGTTTCTTCTGGCTCTATATTTGCAGGTTTCAAAATTATATTTTAACGCAGGCATGAGACAACCTTTCCAACAGAATAAAACTGTGCTTACTTGGTTTTTTTTATTCTTCCACGCCCCCCTTTTTTGGTCCTACATAAATGGCCATCAGGATGGCCACAGTGGGTCAGACACTGGGACTACTATCCAAAATAGTGTTTTGGAGTAGGTGTTTAAGAAAAGAGGATAAAAATTAAGATCTTTCTGTGTTGCTCTTTATGCTGTACCCTTCCAGCTTCATCTTCACTGTAAAGTCTCCACTGCTAACCATCCTTGGTGTCTCCACTGCTGTGGCTGTCCGTGCTATAACAGCATAATTTCTACATCCTGGGAAGCAACGAGAATCTGTTAACTTGTAGCTTACATTTAGAAGTCTTAACGTGATCACAAGGCACAAAGAAACACTTAAACTATGTCCCTTTTTCTCTCTCTCCTTTATTTTTTGGGGGTGGAATGTTTAGGAAGTATATGTTGGCAAGGAGACTCTCTGCACCATCGATGGCCTTCATTTCAACAGTACCTATAATGCAAGGGTCAAAGCTTTCAATGCATCGGGAGTTGGTCCTTACAGCAAGACAGTTATTTTACAGACGTCAGATGGTGAGTTGGGTTTTTGCTGGTTTCTAAGTGAAAAGCTGCAGGTCTCAGTGGCAGGGCACTTGCATCCCTTTATACCCAGTGGTATCTTTGGCACTTGCTGGCATGGAGATTTTGGACCATCTGAGTGCAGAGGCCAGGAACTGAGTGTGCGCAGGGACAGAGCTCTCTTCTTAGCACTTTGGGGGATTTTCCATTATCAGTAGCACTTCAGGTGACAAATCATGCAATTTTATTTGCCTGTAGAAGTCTGGAATCTAACGAAGATTCTTACTTGCTTTAGCATACATAAGCAGTTATGCTACACATGGGATATTTTTGTGCCACTCTGTTGCCACTTCTCCCTGTATCTTTGGCATTTGCCTTTTTCTTCACTACTGTTTAAATTTCACAGAAAGGTTTGATAATACAGACATGGGAATTGATGCTTGTTCCTCTGTAATAATACTTGACATCCATACAGGCATTAAAAGAAGTTCGTCTTTGTTAATGATACTGTAATGAATCGAGAAGTGCATGCTATTATCACTTCCACTTTTATGCTGTGTTGCCAAAATAGGCTAGTATACAATATTTATACTTTAAGAGCTTTTTCTGGGTTTTGTGTGGTTTTGGTGTTTTTTTGTTTGTTTGTTTGTTTTTTTGTTTTGTCTTTTTTTTGTTTATTGTTTTGGTTTGGGTTTTGTTTTTTGTTTTTTTGGGGTTTTTTTTCCATTTCTTTTTTTCCCCTCTGATAAAATAGTGAAGTCAGCCCTAACCAGCATGGGTGCAGTGGAACTCCATTTCCATTAAAGGTGATTCTGAACCAATTCAGCTATGTGAGCAGTTTCCGTATCACGGAGTAGCCTTTGTCTCATCAATGACTTTGTTGTTACTGTGTGGGAACAGAAAGTCACTGCCCTTAGCAGCTTAGGTTCAGAGGAACAAGCACAGATGACATAAGGCACTTCTGAGCTGAAAAGCAGCAGGGTGCTGGCTCAAAGCTATTTCGTGTAGCTGCCTACAGTAACGAGGAAAGATTGTCTTTATTACCTGAAAGTGCAGTAGTCTCTTTAGGAAGGCAGAATGTCATTCTCCTAATTGAAGTAAAGCAGATGACACTTGAACACAGCCTGTTCTGCCGTAATCCTGCTTTCCCTTTTCCCTTCCACAGTGGCCTGGTTCACCTTCGACCCCTCCTCAGCTCACAGAGACATAGTGCTGTCAAATGACAACCAGACTGTCACCTGCAACAGCTACGATGACCGGGTTGTTCTTGGCACAGCAGCCTTCTCCAAGGGCGTGCATTACTGGGAACTGCATGTGGACCGGTATGACAACCATCCAGATCCAGCCTTTGGCATTGCCAGGATTAACGTTGTCAAGGACATGATGCTCGGCAAGGACGACAAGGCATGGGCCATGTACGTTGACAACAACCGCAGCTGGTTCATGCACTGCAATTCTCACACCAATCGGTAAGTGCCTCTTGCATGCTTTTCTCATTACTGATTGTTTTTTCTGCTTTGCATCAGAGCAAGGGGTTTCAGCAAGACACTAATCATGTCCTTGCTAAACATAGTTATTTTATTCCTTCTTAAAAATAACTAGTGGCAGCAACTGTACCTTAGCAATCTGTGTTGGTGTTTGTTATCCTCACTGTTAGCAACTTTTCCCTGAGATCTAGCCTAAATGTCCCCTGCTGTGATTTAAGCCTGTTAATGCACATCCCACCCACAGCATCATCAGAGAGGAGCACAGTGCACTGGGATGCAGGATTTCTCTCTCATTGCTGGAGGAGGGCAAGGAGAAAGGTGGTTGATTCTCTTCCTTAGGAGGAATCTTGGCTACAGGGTTGTACAATAATTAGGCAAAGCACTGGTGATTGCCTGTCCATAATGCAAGTGTTTATTGCCAGTCCTGAAAGCTGATTAAAGGTAATGCTGTAGGTCACACCTCAGGTGATCTGGACACAAGGGGCTGTTTGGCAGTGAGGGCTAAGTGACAGCTTCTGTCCAGCTGAGGCATTGTACTGAAGAGCTTTGAAAAGTGTCTCAGCTAGTACAACCAACTTACAAAAGAGGATTTCAGAATGCCCCTGGCCCGTTGTTACCAAACCCCTCTTTCTCCCACCACTTGGAGGCTCTGTGTGCTCTGTGCAACAGAGAGGTGAGGAGACATGTTCTAACTGAAGCTACCTCCAGAGATGGATCACACAGAGACAACGTCTATCAGCATAGGTCCAGTGTTGTGCTGACACGGTTGAATGGCTTTCAGCGCTCGTGGTAGTTACCTCTCTCTAGTGCTGGCTGCATTTCCTTGGCATTATGCTGGACTGTGTAGGGGAGACGTGGCCAGCTTCTCCTGAAGCTCCCTGGGGTATGGCCAGAGCAGAGCTGCACTGCTCTCTCTCTGTGTCCCGTGAGAGGGTCAGCCCTAGCTGAAGGTCAGCTGGGTACTACAGAAGAAGGTCTCCTCTGAAGAGTGTGATTCAGGATCCTAAGTTCCTTGCTTATTTTGGAAAATGGTGTATTTGCATACCTACTCTGTCATGATGGGAGACTGATGTGAAAATAAAGTGACTGACAAAGGATACGTAGCAGGTCTGTGGCAGAGCGGGAATCAATTTTCATTTAGTTTTCTACTGACTGTCCCAGTGGGTCTTCCACACTCACTAGCTCCGATATTGTTTCAGTTATATCAAATAATTAAAAGAAAGGCTTGCAGTGATTTTTAAAATGCTCAAATGCAGGTATTATCTCCTTAAAGATATAAGTTTATGCCAACATGCACTGTATCCTAAAGCTGGCTGTAATGTCTCCTGCTGAATAATCATTTATAAAGTATACTTGTATTTTAAGTAAGTACACTGCAATTGCTGGGATTTTTTGTTTGAAGCATGGTTTGATTTTGAAGTTCATTACAGACAGGTGGAAGAACCTTGTAGCTAGATCAAAAGCTATCTGAAGTCAACTGGAATATTTTCCATGGACCTTAGATCACGTCCTAAGACATGTAGAGTGAAATAACATCACTATAATAAATATATCCATTCTCTGTCCCTTTAACGTCTTGATTCAATTTAGGACGGAAGTAGTGGTAAGCTGTATTAATTTTAATGCTCTGTGAAACGGCTTATGTTTTCTGGAAAAAAGTTGGCAACCATTCTGCGTACTACTGTCCCAGAAACCTATTTTATGGCAAGCAACACATGAGCTAAGCAAAAGCTCTTTTTCTGGGAAGCACAAACAATGGAAACACTTTGCCTAAACAGGAGAACAAAGTGCATTCTGTTGGTGATAGTTTCCCAGGTTTTACTAGATAAAACACAACGGCTTTCAGATACATCCAAGGCATGGATAGACTCATGGAGTATCTGTTCAAGTGAAATACACTTGTAAAGGGCATGTAGTTATGGAATCATATGCGCTTCAATGAAATTAGGTCTAGGCATTATATTTTTAACCATAACAGTCAAGTGGGTCAGTTTTTTAACTCATTAGCTTTAATAGTCTTGTGGAAACAGTTATTGCTGCCTAGTTGTTTTTCCCCACTGGAAACAAGTGCATGACAGTACAGTATCACAGTCCAAAGGAAATTTATTGTTAGCTTTTAGCCTCTCAGATGTTATTGTGATGGACGTTACATCTTAGTAATCATTTCATGCTTCATAATCTTCATGAGAATAAATTAGGGCAATAAATACATGACTGGCTTCAAGGATAAGCTGAGGTGGAGCTTGAAAAACCTATTCATGGGACCTCTTATGTTTAGAGTACTTTCCTGTTCCTTTCACTCATAGCATACAAAATTGGTCCTGTCTACGTCCTTAAAAACTATCATGACTTCTGTAAAGCTAGAAAAAGAGACATGAACAGAAGACTCTAATGCTATGAAAACCAGAGGGAACCTTTGAGAACAGGTTGAGCAAATGGGTTAAGAAAATACTATAGAGCAGGGATATAGCTTTGTGAGGTACCTTTCAGCCTCGTTGTTCCTAGAAATAATCAGTTCATACGAGAGATGCTGTATGCCCGTTGCTAAGAGGCATTGGCATTTGTTGCAATAGATCTGTTTCTTGGCAAAGTTCCCAAGAACAGGAGTACCTGGTGCTGCAGGCGATACTCTAGCCACTACGTGGTTACATAAAAAAAGAGACTGAAATCACACTGAAGTGTTTTATACTGAAGGACAGTGGGAAGTCAAAATCTAGAGAATTTGGAGTGTAGTCTTATAGCTCCCTGCCATCAAGGGTGTCTCTTCACTGACTTCAGAGATCTTAAGAGCAGGTTTTCATCATACAAAAATGTTACAGTTGACTGAAAAATACTGTCCTTGACAATAGACATGGTAAAGTTGTTAAATTACTGTAAAGCTCGTGACTAAAATACTGTTAATGGAGAGTTAAAATCATCTTTCAGTTTATTAAAGTGTTCATAAAATCTTAAGCTTTAATTTTCAATAATAGTGAAACTTATTATTGTTCTTAATTCCTCAAGCCAATCCATATAGTCCTTTTCTGCACATTGTCCAAGATGCTGCTGAAAGCATCTTAGAATAACAGCCTTTACTGCCACAGGCAGTGGCATTTTTCATGGTAGCCAAATTCCCCTGTCTGTGCTCTGACTTTCCAGGCTTCCTCACAGCAATTCCACACTCAGGACTTACTGCTGTACACAGAAATTAAAAGGTGCAGGACTGTGAGAAAATAAGTGTGTGAAGTGTGATTTAATTGACATAAAGAAGGAGTGGTACATATCTTCAAAACTGGATTATCAGCTAAGTATTTATTGAAGAAGCATTGTAACAAATACTTATATTTTCCTTTTACATGGTCTGCAGATTACTAAGGGCCTATGGTATAAGTGTCGTTAAGTAGTTTTGAAAATACATGATAGTAAAGCAGCAGCTTTTTTACATGCTGCCACAGAAGCGTACCAGGAGAGAGCAACATCAGTTTGAGTCTGTTGAGCTAGCTGGCTTCTGTTATTGCAACTGAGTCATATATTAGAAAAACTATCTTGTAATACTAAGTGATGTACAGAAGAGTGAGGAAATGTCTTGCATAAGTTTGCTCATGAAACTCTGACTCTCCCACCTTTTCTCCTGAAGGAAGTGACCATGACAGTAGTCGAAAAAGCACCAGAGTCCTGAAAGTGCTGTTCCCAAGGAAATCATGGGATGCTCGGGAAGAGCAGTTGTTCAGCCTCAGGAAAAGTCCAGCCTGCCCCTGCTTGCCTTTGCCCCGGCCTCGTCCTGCCAGGGCTGGTTGCTCACTGTGGGGAGGTGGCGGCCAAGGAATGAGGCGATCTACCTGCTGAAGTCCTGCACGACTTGGGGCAGGCAGGGAGGGAGAGGGACCCCATCCCTCTGCTCTGCCCCTGCGGCTCCGGAGGGGCCTCGGGTGGGCTCTGCAGGCAGCACCCCTCTCCTCTTCAGCGGGGCTGTCCCTGGGGGCTGCAGAAAAGTCACTCAATGTCACTGTGCAGCACACAGCTAATTAGCCCACAAGAAGCAAATTAACTTATCACATAGGAAGGCGCATAATAATCTCAAAAAGGCAAAGTTGCTGTTTCTGTTTCCCTGAGAGGATCAGTGTAATTTAAAAGGATGTCATAAAATCTGTTTTAAAACACTGCAGGATATAAATCATGATGCTCCACAATCAAAGCTGTTTCTAAACAGAGGAAAAAAAATAATGTAATCTATTTGTAAATAGTTCTAGATCATAGTACTGTTGCTTCCCACAATCTCATCATGAGTTTTATGATTGAGTGCTTTTAATAAAAGCAGTCTAGATACGGAGATACTGAGGATAGGTAAGCATGTTAACTTTTTTTGGAAAACTGTTTGCTTTATTGTTTTGGAGAATAGCTCAAAGAGAAACCTGTTAATGCTTGCAGGACCAGAAAGCGAATAAAAGGAACGTGAGAACGGTAAAGTTTGAAATCTAACACATCTCAGAACCAATTCATGATTCTCAGCTATACTATTATTGTTTGAAGAGCTTGAAATGGAGAAGTCACAGTAGTATTCTATACTATTATGCCACAGATAAAACTCCCTTTTCCTTCAGAGGAAATGCCATGTGCCACATGTAGTCTAAAGGAAAACAATTTATGACACCTAGTGGACAAGATAAAAATTTCTTACCCTGAACTATATTCTTCCCAATCATGCTTTGATGCTTCCTCCCCGCCTTTTTGATGTTTTGCCTACCCATTGTCGTAAATTTTATGTTAAAATTGCATTAATCTTGTGAATGTTGTGTGCCTGAGGGGAGTGCATGGGACAAAAGACAGCTGCTTCCTTTCCTACTGCAAATTATTTGAAATCTGATTTACCCTGAGCAAATTGTGTCAGGCTGTAAATCCATTGCGGAGTCCCCATGATATTAGCACAGTAGCAGTGCCTGTGGCCAATCTGCATATCTAGTAGGGTTTTTTGCTCAGTGCTCTTTAAAGTAATACAGGGTTTGACTAACCCTCAAATCAAAGTGCATTAATGTCAAATCACTCGAGCGTGTAATGGCTGGCTGAGTCTGTCCTGCCAAGCTCTGATACCACGGTAGCTCTCAGCAGCTGCTCCTGACACAACCAATTATCACTGGTATCAATAACTGCGCCTGCACACTTGAAACAACTCGCAGTCTTATAGCTGAGCACCTTGTCAGACAGGGAGCTATGCTTATCCCTAACCAGCCCCGCCTTCTCTTCCTCCCCCAAACCACTATCTGTTGTACATGTGCAGGTACCCTGATCTCTGGAAAGCTGGGTCCCCTCAGGGGTTGCCAAGGTGAGTGCTCAAACTGGAAGTCTGAGTTTCAGGCTGTTAGCAGGCATAACAATTATAAATGAACGCCAGGGAAACCAGCTTTCTGCTTTTTCATTCTCTGTTATGCATCACTTCACTATAGCAGGGATGCTCTGCAGAGCTGTCTCTCCTGTCCCACACGCTCAGTACTGACCTGACCTGCTCACCCCCCCGTCTCTCATCAGCGGAGGGGACCTGTTAGCTCTGGACCCCATTTTCAGCTCTTAGACTGCAGTTGTAGTGGAGATGGACCTAATTTCTCTTTAGGTTCCCCGCATTAAGCTCCCGTGAATGCAATACAGATGCTTCCAATAAAGGTGTGGATCAGTCATTGCTGAATGCCGTGGGGATAATCATTCCACCGTGCTGCTCCACTCTCCCTTTGCTTAGTAAGACTGCCTTGTCCTAGCGAGAGCAGTGGCAGTGTAGCACTCTGCCTTCGCCAAGTGTGGTCCCTTTGTACCTTAGGACCGAAGGAGGAGTTTCTAAAGGTGCCACTGTCGGTGTTCTCCTGGATCTGAACAAGCACAACCTGACCTTTTACATAAATGGGCAGCAGCAAGGGCCTCCAGCGTTTGAAAATGTCGAGGGTGTCTTCATGCCTGCATTGAGCCTCAATCGAAACGTCCAGGTAAGTCTCCTGCACTTCAAGTGCACTGACGCTTCTCAGCTAAAGGAGAATGTATGCTACCGGCCACTGCTGCTGGGGCTGCTAACATCATCTGTAGGTAGTCACTATGGATAGGGGCTCTTTCCTTCTCAGACTGACACCTAGGCTACTAACGCTTTTTGGAAAACTGCATTTGACCTGCCTTGCCTCACAGATATGAAGAGTAAAGCTGTAAGAACAAGTAGAAGTACCTCTACACACTAATTCCTACACTCACTTTGTTACAGTGCTCCCCTTGCAAAGGTGCTAAGGCTTCCTCTGCCAGTTTGACTAAGCTGAGCCTAAGCTTGTGTTTGCTGTTGAGTGGTGCTCTGGTTCATCTGTGAGGGAGCCCCAACCTTATAGAAATGTCAGGTTATAGAAGGAGCACTCAAATGTCCTGTGCTCTGTTCTGCCAGGACAGCAAAGATAAAAGGATTTGCTTATATTTCAAACATGGGCTCCACTGTGTGATCCCTGTCCTGAAGTACTCGGGGTCCCCCACACAATGACACCATCCACCTTGTGTCTAGCAAGCAGCACTGCTGGACACCTACAACTGGCAGCTGGATTTGGGAAGAGATACAGACACCTGGCATCCAGACTCCAAGGTGTTTGGGAAGGGTAAGGGGGAAGGAGACTTGTTTATTTCAGGGACTCAGTATCATCTCCATTAATATTCCATTGATATTCTTAATGACTTAAACCAGGACCTTAGTTGCACAGTCCTTCCCCTGCCATTTACTTGTTCCTGGCCTTCTGAATTCTTTCTGCTGAGGATGTCCCAGTTTTGAATCTACATGTTATTTCTTCTTTGTGCAGGTGACCCTGCACACAGGACTGGAGGTGCCACAGTGTGTAAAACAGCCCAAGTTGCCCAACAACTGATGAAGCCTCTGCCTGACCCTGTGCTGGATTCTGTAAGCTTTCTCAGTGTGATTTGGCACTTTTCAGTAAGTCAGTGAAAAAGCAGTCTCTTCCCTGACTTAAACCATTGTACAGTATGTTGCTCACTGAATAATCTGCTGGTTACAGCTAGCCCACTCCATTTTTAATTTAACAGCCATAGTGAGCATACCCACTGAACTGACGGTCAATTGCATGTGGGTACCTGAACATATATACACTTCATACATATGTACACACATGTGCACACATACATGTACATTTGTAAAGCAAAAGGTAAAATGAGTGTATTTTCTCTCTCATGGCTAGAATTTCGCTTAAAAGATATTATGGATGATGGAAAAAATGGGTAAGACTAAGACTGGGGGACAACGGCTTTTGGAGCAATTTACCAGTGGGTGAACTAGATTCCCTTGCCACCTGAAGTCCTTAAATCAAGAAAGCATATGTTTTGACAGCTGAAGTGGAGGCTGTGTGCTCAAGAATTCCTGATTGTCCATTACATTCAGGGGCTCAAGTGACCATTAATTATTCCTTCTGGCTTTAGACTGCAGTAAGATGTTCCCCTAGAATTCAGTGGCAGAATTTATCTCATTATCTTCAACGAGAATAAGATTGGTTTCCAGACACTGCCATGTAATAGTTGTGCTCATTTTAGCTAACACCATGATACACACAGAATTCAGATACCAGAAGTAGAGAGAAAAATATCCTTGATACATTTTAGTGTTTGTTACTTAGTTGTCATTGTGGAGACTATCACATACAGAAGATCTGACTGTGATTATCAGCACAACTCTTGAAAAAGGGCACAGGGGAGATCCCTCTGAATTGAACTGAGAAGAGACTTATTTAAATATGGCACATACAAAGTATCCCATGTAGAGAAATGCTGCTTTCCAGCTTTGGTTTGGATAAGCCCTGGGCAGCTGTAGTTCCAATGTAGCTTTGAGATCAGAAGCCTTAATTTTCTATTAGATTAGTGTGAGCTAATTATTGTCTTGATTCTAATGAAGAACTTGAGCGAGAGTGACTCATAGTGTTTTAATGTGAAATCCGTCCCTAAGAATTTTTCTGGATTGGGACATAAATCTTTTGCAAGACTTACCCGTGTTTAGCATCTCCCATGAAAACAAGCAGCCGTTTCAGGTGTTGCCCATGACAACTGGAATCTGACTGACTGGGGACTTTTCCAACAACAGCACGCAGGTGACAGTGCCGTAGCTGTGGGAAAACACATTGATTTGTGTGTGTGCTTCTTTTTCTCTGAACCCAGTTAACGTATGCAAGTGTGTGTGTAGGTAGCAGCAATGTGTAAGGACAAGATGCAGCAGACTCTGTGAGCCCATGACATCTCAGACTCTGTCACTCTAATCCTACGTAAGCGTGGTGTTATCGAACAAGAAAAGCATGAACTCCTAAATCCCATTAATGTACTTTTTCCTTTTTAAAAATCCTGCTGCTAATACAAATTCTCCTCTCCAAGCATACGTATACGCACACGCATATTGTTCTCAGACAGGCAATTATTACACCTGAAAACAAACATTCTGACCAAATTCCAGCTTACTGCCTTGCATTAAGCCGCAGCCGCAGGACAAGCAGCCGGGGCCTGTCCTCGGGCAGCCTGCCAGCCCCCAGGCACCCTGCTGCAGGACCACTTCTGGTCCCTGGCCCAAGCACATTTCTGGGGTGGTGCTGAGCGGTGGCGAGGCTTCCCTGGGGCAGAGCGGCCAGGATCCTCCCTGGGGTCATCCCCCTCGCAGCCTTTGCAGGGACGGGGAGGCAGCCCAGAACGAAACAGTCCGGGCATATTGCACAGACAAAAAGCAGTCTGCCCTCACGCTGCCTGTAACCAGCCAAGCACCCTGTAACACACCTCGCCTGCAGAACAGCAGTGCCCTTTCAGTGATGTCAAGACTGAAATAGGAAATAAAACCAATGATGGGAAAAAATAACATAAGCTTTTAAGTGGAAAAGCAACAGTACTTTCTAATGGAATGGATTGTATTAGTAAACTTATAGACATTGGAATAACTGCTCTACACTCATCTTGGCTTCTTAAAGAATCGCAGAGACCAACTGTCTTAGAATTTTTGGTTTTGTTTAATACCATACAAATTTGTGCAGGATTTTCTAATTAGCAGGTCTGTTTTAACCTACCTCAGCTAGAACGACACCAAACCACAAATTTCCTCTTGAGTGTGCTCTTCTATGAATCTAACAGTTGTAATCGTAGCATTGGCCTTGAGTATTGCCAGTCAGAACAGTGTACAGGAATACTGTACATAAGTTGCATGTAGTTTTTTATATTGGGAAACATCCCATGATAATTTTAATACAGAAGGCACTCCACTTTCACTTGTATTAAAAACAACAGGGCATTTTTTGTTTTGGGACTGAATCTTTGTCTTTACTCCCAACATTTGTGAAGGAAACTCAAATGAATTTGCATCTTTCCAAACTTCAACCATTGCCAGATGTTTAAAATTAATTCTGATTGGGTTTAAGAAGTGTTTGCAGTACTTGGTTTTGGTTTTCATAGTTGCTTTGGTATCAGTTCCTCACGTGTTATACCTTGGGGAGAACACAGTGAGTGATACAGGTTACTCATTTCTAATGGAAATATGGACAGTAGGTAGAGACATGCTTCAGAGCTGTAGAGAAGCTCATTCGTTATCCTCTACACATACACATTCTAGCATTCATAAAAGTATGGGACAGACTAGCTACTGTAACGGTCTCCTTTTAACCTAGCTGAAGTGCAGATAAAAGGAAAACAGTTAGAAATAGGTAACCTGCATTAGTAATACTAATTTAGTATTTAATAATTTACTAATTTAGCCTAGGTCAAAAACTAAACAAAGTGGTTTTATCTGGTGGTTGTGTACACATTCAAGGACTTGGGTTTGGCACGGCCCATAGCAATAAACCAATTACCCCAATAGAGTGTAGCCTCATGCCTTTAGTGGGATACATTTTGTTAGTTTGATTAACAGAAATAATGCTTAAGTAGTCAGAATTACACTAGGAAACTAATTACTCGACATGTGAATATTTATGCAGAGCATCCAGGTGGCAGTGGCCATCTGAACATAGGCAGAGCAGAATTTTCCCTTTGCAGAACAGCATCAGGTGGGGGAGAAGTAGGGCACTTCCACCACTCTCGGGCTGGAGGTAGTTTCCTTCTCTGCAGGTAATTCCCACGTGGTCTGTCTCATTATAAACCCAGCAGTTTGCATGTTCTTCATCTACAGCACCTCTGATGCCAGTTTTTGTTTCCTCCAAATCCCTTCTTTAGGAGGGAGTCAGCCTTTAGTACTACGGTCCTTGCAGAAACTGTCTTGCTGACTGTCCAGGGAGAACCCAGGGGGCTGGAGAGTAGCACAGATACCCAAGGGGACCACTTTGGATGCTTTTGATTGATTCCTTGGGGCATTTGTGCAGCTCTGTGGGACCTGAAGCTGTGCCGGCACCTGGACCCACACAGCGCTGCCTTTCACAGGACTCTTCTGCTCCTGGAGGCCGGGCTGCTCCTTATAGGCAGGAGAGCAGAGCCTTTTGCACTGGGATGAATCCCATCCACTATGGTACAGAGCCCACACAAGATAGCTGTAAATTGATTTAATGTTAAAAAAAAAAAAAAAAAAAAAAGGCAAAACCAACAAAACACACACACCCCCCAAACAAACAAACAAACAAGCCCTTCTCTAATAAACATGACAAAGCTTGACTTCTGCATATACCAATTTGGAACCTCTGCACAGCTGCTAAATAAATACAGCAGGCAAATATTCTGTCCTGCAGAGCAAGAAGGGACTCTTGGTTTTCATCTACTCCTGTAAACCCCAACCTTAGCCTTTGTAAACCTTCCTCCTAGTTCTTTCCTCTGCAGATTTCCCTGTTAAGTTTAGTAGGGCCAAACAGAAGCAGCGTGCCATCAGGAGCATGATCACACTTCCCAAGGTGTGCAATACTACACAATTTCCATTCCCTTTTTTTTCCCACATCAACTCAAGACCTCACAAGAAAATCTCTAAGACTTAATGTCAATATGAGCACAGGCCTAGTTGACAATCCCTTACTACTTCTGCTGTGGAAATGTACGCGCTATAAGTGTCAGTAAAGGCAGTTGCATACAGTGAGTTATCATTAATTTGGAAAGCAATTTGGCTTCTAAAAACATAAAAAAGATAGGCAAACAGCACTGTCACCTCCTATACTTGCCTATTCAGTTAATATACATAGAGGAAAATATATTGGACTGAACAAAAATAAAATTTAAAAAGCATGAGCTTACATATATCAGAGTTTAAGAGGAAAAGTATTAAAATGTAATTTATTATATGCATAATGTTCCACTGTGTTGTAAATAATGCCATGATAGTGTACTGCTGTAGTTTGTTCTTGGCTGGTGATAGAGTTCTGTCATAGCGCTGTGTAAGCTTTTATTTTATTTTATTTTGGTTTTCCCCCCAAAGTGTAGTTACTAAAGATGGCAGAGAGCACCTGATACTCTGGTTTCTGAGTTGTTCTAGAGCAAGAAGAAATGTAAGATGCAGCTTTCCTTTCCTTCTTTCTTACATAATAACATTTCTTAAAAGACATAAGAGAGAGATGAGATCAAGGCTAAGCCACCACTACCACTGTATGAAAAGCACCCTGTTTGTGACTGCCAACAAGAGGTGGTGCATTTTTGGACCACCATTCAGTTACCCATTCCTGTGAGAAGGGATGCAAAGTACAACCTAGTAACAGCAGCTTTCTGGTGCCATCTAGTGCATCCTTTGCTCACAAACAGAAGGATGAGGAAAAGAGTTGTTAGATGTCACCTCAGGCCTTACCACCTTTGCAGCATTCTGCTTAAATGACAAAGTCGAGAATTCAACTTTAAACCAGGCAAGCTAATATGAAAGTCCCAAGCATCTTGGCTAGATCGACTTTGGAAGGGAGATTACAGTTTCAGGTCCTTCAGCAGGTTATGGTAACAAATCAACCACATTGGAAACACAAAGGGCACTTGTCACTAAAAAATATCAATTACCAAACAAAGGTGGAAGTCTCTCTTTTTTTTTTATTTATTACTATTTTTAATAAAACCCCTGAGCTGCTTCTGGTTTTTACTGACAACATTTCTGGCGATTCCTCTGCCCAGCACTACTGAATGCTGCACAAACACAATCGCCTGGAGTGGCAGCCTGAAGCACAAATCCATCAAAAATAAGACGCACTCGGTCTTCTTACGTGCAGAAGCCCACATGCAAGCCACACAGACGAGATGTGCAGGGCTCCTGCATCTTTGCACAATACAGGAGACAGACGTGTGTTTTACTGACAGAGGCACTCAGCAGCATCTTCCCCTTCTGTTAAGTGATCTTTTGGTTACATTTGTTATTGCAGACACATCCAAGCAGAATTAATTACAAAATTACTTTTTATGCTAACTGGAGGATTTCTAACATTTTATTGTGAAACAGTGCATAGAATATTCTTGGATCCCAACTGCATTCCTTCATTCTCCATTTCCCTTAAATGTTGTCAGTAAAAACACTAACCTTTCTAGGTAGCATGGTGAGAAGACATTATGTGATGAATATTAAAAATAAATGCATGAGGTAAACCTGCTATCGTTTCTGATTATTATACGAAGCATGAGTAACACTAATTTAAATGTTGGCAATCAAAAATGTGGAAAGGAATAAGGTAACGGTGTTCACTTCTGGTTAAATAGAGAGACGAGACATTTGTTTTTTTCTTCTTAACCACGACATTTTTTTCTTTATTACCATTTACCATAGCTTATATGAATTTGGAGCTGGTGAAATATACATCTCTGCTGTATGTGTCTGTCACCAGATCAAGAGGAAAATACAAACTTTTTATAATTTTGTACCTGTAGCAAATGTTTGTATTTTTTGAATTGGAAACAAACTGCTTTTTGTCTTTTGGTCTGACTAAAACTTTGTGTATTATTATTACCCTTTTGGAAAACCCAACATATGAGTTTATGCTGTTCTACAGTTTCTAAATAAATTCTTAAAACATTGCCAACACATTCAGCATCAGTACCCTACTTATTACAAAAAAATATTATGTCATAATGTAGATGAGGCACTCGTGCAGGATGCATGCCTATCTGTTGATACCTGCTTTGCTACCACAGTCAAGAATAATCCAGCAGCTGGAGCCAGCCAAGAGTCCTCCCTCGAAGCAACCATCTGTGCCTCAACCCCAGACATACCCTGGCTTCAGTGGCATGAAACACCTCTCTCTCCGCACCATTCCATTTGCTCTGGCTCGGGTCGGTTATAGAGTAGCTGGGGCTGTGCCATTTAGCTCCAACACATCTTGGACACCTTGGGCGATTTCCCAGGCTCCGGAAGATTCTGACAGTTAAGTAAGCAGAGCCTGGAAGTAATTGTGACACCAGTAGGATCTGATTGGAAAGGCCTTTGGGTAAGTGTAAAAGTCAGAGTGGGCAGAAAGAGTGTCAGGGCAGGAAAGATAAAACTTTGTGTTTTAAATTTACATTTAAATTATATTTAAAATATCATATTGGAGCCACAGACCTCTATAAAGAGGGTGCCTTGCGAGGGACTGAGCAGTGCTACAGAAGCAGCACAAGCGGCCTCGTCAAAAAGGCACTCAAAGCTATGCGACCTTCATAAATGCCTGTTAATAAAGCAGAATAAAGCATGCCGACACAGTAACAGTAGCGCCAGGGTAAGAAACAGAAACGTGGCCAATCAGGAAACGATCGGGAGTACGTACAGACAAGAGTACGGAGACACCATCCATCATGGCCTTTTCTTTTTTTCAACTGCAAGAGGCAACAACTTGGCATCAACTCCTTCATGGCAAAGGGTTTGACTGGGAGGAAAGATATTCACAACTGTTTTAGCATATGGGGAAAGAGGACTAAAGCTAACTGTTGCATGAAAAGGCATGCAAAAGAGAGCAGATACAGAGAAATCCTTGCATTCTTCCTTTATCCCTCACTCTTCTATTCAGCTGCAGGCACAGAGCAAAGATGGTCCCTGCTCTCCCTTTCCAATAATCAAACTGTTACTCAGTCAACACTGGCTTTTGTGTATCAGTACACGCTCCAAAAGCAACACAGCTTGCTGCCTGAACATACACCCACATACCCTGTTAATGACTGTCAACAACACACACCAGTCGAGAGAAACACTAGGTGCATAACAGGTTCTCAGCCTTTTTGTTTGCCAAATGTCAGGTGTTACCGTTTTTGTTAATGCAACTAGTAACACCATAGGACTGAAGGTGCCATGTTTACCTGGGAACAGCATCCTACAAGGATGTAGCATGGCCAGCTCAAATCACCTTGGGGATTTGATATAAAAAAACAACCTATCACCATATAACAGAAACCTTTCATAATGCATACACACCGATATTAAATGAGTGCAAAGGTGCAAAAATTTGAGTAAACATTTATTTATTTATTTTCCCCCCCAGCCTTTCATATTCCACTGTCAGCTCGGCATTTCAGTTTTCAACTTTTTAAGAACTGAATTCTTTTCAACTCTTCTGTAACAGAACTTACAAGCATGAAACCAGGAATGCAAAAATTAGACACTCCATTCTGACTGTGTTTCACTCCTAAATAGCTTTTGGGAGCTGTGGAGGTGGAAGGTGAACCCTCTAAATTACCAAAGCTGATTGAAGACAAACTCCCACAACACAGCTGAACAAAACTTTATGTAGAAGTAAGCAGTGAAAAACCAAGCTCAAGGATTAATCAGGAATTACAAGATACAGGTTATCCCACAACATCCAAAATCCATCTGTTGCCTCAACAAGTCTTGATGCTCTGTACTCAATTCTGCTTAGTGATTACACCATCACATGCAATTGTAATTTGACATTTCTCTGAGTCTGTAACCAGATAGGATTGTCAGTTCCAGTGTGAATCTGCAACCTATACTGAATAAGAAGAAATTGAATTATGCAGTTATGAAATGTAGTAACAGTATTTAGCAACACAACTCTGCACACCCCTCTTCCCAGATGGCTTCAGAAACACCCCCTTCTGCTTTTTACCCACCTCTCATTCCCTCCAGGCCCCCGCCCTCCCCTTAGTCCTCTGTGTGGTGGCAGGGCACTTCTCCAGGACCTGAAAGTAAGGTGGAAGGTGTGGGGGAAGGAGCACACCAGAAAGCACCCATTTCTGTGGTGTGGCTCTCCCTACCCCAGAAGACATTTATCCTGTGAATGGGGCAGCCTCTGGTGCTGCTGTTTGGGGAGAGGCCTGTGCTGGTCTTCTCCTTGCTAGCTTCAAGCGGACACAGAGCTTGCTGCTGGCTCAGGGTTACTGATTCCCCTTACGCAGGCTCCCAGGCGGCGGTCAGGAAGCGTGCTCCGCTTCCTGCCGGGCTGGGCGAGCCGAGGACGCAGGCCAAGGAGGAAGAACGCAGCCGACTCAGTATGAGTGATAAAGCATGCTTCAATTTATTGATTTCCATTACAGCCTTTCATAATCCTTCTGCTTAATTATGCCTACTAGTCAATCATTGATTGGATAAAATACAAGCAAGCCGTGCCAGGGCTTGTTGGCCCAAGCCCTGGGAAAGACCCAGATAAGTTAGTTTAGGAGAAACAAAAAATGCTCATTTCTCCATCCTCCCCTGATTAAAGAAGAAGAAGGAATGCTTCCCAACCTTGACGAGATAGAGAATGTTTCATCTCAGAACCTTAGTCAGTACTTTCCCACGGGACTCACTCTCGCTGTTGTTCACTCTTGCTGACTGAGGCCTACTCATGCTAACTTAAAAGAGACTCTCGTCGCAAAGAGGATCTCTAGATCCATGTCCCTTTTCCCTTAGCCATTCTCCAACAGCTTCCCCAGCCCACAGGGGAACGCTGAATCTCACCAACACACCTAAAAGAACTTTCTCCAGTAAGGGCTGTGTTCCATCTTATACACACCTGCTTCACTGCCAGAGCTGTTCAAACAAGCTCCAGATAACCTTATCTGGAAACAACACAGCGTGAACTTTTTTTGTATGTCATTTAGCAGCTAACCTTACTTTTGCCTCCCCCTAAAATATTCATTTCTTAAGCTTGACGTAGAATGGAGAGGACACTTTGAAAGGTTACTAACACAACCTTAAAAACAAAAATATTCAGATGCAGAGGACAAAACTATTCTTTCAGAAACACCAAATTACTGAAATCTAAATAGCACTAAAACTTCAGTTTTGACAAAGAATTCACAGAAAAGCCTTATGAGGCATGGGAACACTGATTAAAATAAACATGAGTTAACCATGAACAACCAGTAGCTATCAAGTGTCTATGCCTCATTTGGCTCAGTCTTACATGGGTTTATTTTTAAAAACAAGCCACCAAGCCACCATCTGAAACAGTGCTTATTTGGAAATCTTTGCAGAGTTATATAAATTGAGTCCGTAACTCAATTTGGGACAAAAATTCAGAAAATCTTGGTTTTATTCCAAAGCAGATAATTTTGAAACTGTGAGAGGTTTTGCCGAACAGGAAAACTGTTGTGCAGTTCCACAATCCACTAACAATTCATAAAGTCACAGAAACAGATGTACGCCCAATAAATGTTTGAGAGTAACAACTTCAGCTTCAGAGCAAGTAAGGTATTGTTTTTTCCATATTCCTTCCAGATGAAAGTGAAGAGCTATATATTTTAATCCATTAATTACTGGATTAAGTGGACATTTTACTTTTGGCCAAGAAGCTGACTCCAGAAAGTTACATGCTTTCTTTAGCGTGTATTGACTAATAAAAATAGCCTGTGTAAAGTTCTTAATATAAAGTCTTATTTTTATTTATAAAACAGTAAATTTTCATATTCTTCCCAAGTCAGAATGGAATGTAGAAAATCCTGCAACAACAAATAAGGTAAAAAAATTAGGACATGGCAGAAAGGCGACAGGCTCTGTAAATCTGTGTTGGTAGCAATGTGAATTCTATCTTATGTATATTGTCCATTTTGCTCTGTATCATAGGTTCATTTGATAACTTTAGATGATTTAATTTTCTTTATGTCATGGCTTTGCAGAATCAAGGTCCCATCCCTGAATTTTCCAACTTGTCCTGCAGGCCAAATGCTAGGCACTGATTTCTTCCTTTTGGCCTTCCTGAAATAGGAAGAGAAAAAAATAATTAAGAGAAACAACAGAAACTCATGAAAAAGCTTAATATGGTAAAAAATGTCACCTATTTATGAAATAGGTGTTTGGTATTATGGAATATTAAATCATAGCAGGTAATGACCCCAGAATATTTATTACCTGCATAGCCATTCAAAATTTGCAGCACATTACAGAATGATTTACATTTCAGAAAGTTTAGAAACATAAAGACACTTGGCTAGAAGAAGAAGATATAGAGCACATTTCAGTGAACCTGCTATACTGTGACTAAGAATGCCACTTCATCTTTCAAGCCTCTGTATACTGTATCTCGTGTTTTGCATTAATTACATCTCAGGGCAAGTGCTCCGAGTACGTGGCACATCCTGGGTCCGCACATCCATCTCACCTCCAGCTGCGTTCTTAGACATGTCGGGGCAGAACTGACATATTTTCAGTTAAGCTGCGTAACTAAAGCCTCTGAAACTGCTAGACACAGAGCAACATCATCATTTTGTGACCAAGTTCTTCTGCAGCTGGAGAAGTTCCTTCCACAGTGACTGCACGCCTTCTGGTATAAGACTGTGCATAGTTACACGGGGGGAAATATGCTGGAGAGGCTATACAAAGCAAGTTCATTTTAACCATGTTCAAAACAGCTCACCTCTCCTTCTGTTCTTTCTTCTTCTTCTTGAGAGAATCACCTTTATGTTCCTGCTTTTAAAGATACATATTTGAATGAAAAGAGATCTGAGCATCTTGGCTAAACAACCGTCTGCACTCAAAACACGTGGTACCCTTTGCTTCACGGAGCAGCAGGCATTTAAAGCAGGTTGGGAGACCTTCTGACAGGCCAAGTGATGCAATGCGTTATGGAGGCACTGCTAGGAGTGCCCAGAGCCCTTCCTGTCACCTTACGGGAATTACAGCCCTCTCATGACCAACAGGCTGCCCCTGCCACGTGGGGAGGCACAAACCCCACCGCAGGAGGACAGGCTTGCTTCTTGGGCATGTGACAGATCCTTGGGTCAAAAGACTTGCTCCCAGGCAGGTGTGCCTAGTTGCCTGATTGAGCATACCTGTCAAATAACAGGGTTCAACCACTTCTGGCCATGCCCTGGATGTGCTTTGAGCCATGTGACAGAGAAATAGGTCCCCTGGGAAAGAGGGTGGCAGGAAACAGGCTGACAGAGCAATTACCCGCCTTGCTCCCACCTACATGAGAAGACTCCATGGGGAGGCAGGGAGTAGGCTTGGAGCCAGATGGGCTGTGCTACAGGATGGATGCAAGAGAAACCTCACCCTTGCTTTAAACAATGAGCAAGATCCTAGATGGAACTGTGCTGATATAAAACCAGCTGAAGATCTGGCTCTCTGTGGTTAGACAACATGCAACAAACTTTAATTGAAGGCCATTTTTTTTCTCTTAGGAGGCACGGAAAAAAAAAAAAAAAAAAAAGAACAAAACCAACTGCTGATTTTGTGTCATCAATCTATCAGCCATAAAGGATGAGGCAGTGAAACCCACTACAACATGATGAGTCCTACTCATCAGGAACCCACTCCATGGGGAGCAGCAGGTGTCAAGCTCAGGCACTCCTCCTGCGCCTGAGGCGTTATCTGTCAGGTTTGTGGGCTAGCTCTTACATGTTGCCTTTTTATACAGAAAATTTTACACAAACCTTTCCCTTATCATACTCCTTTGCCATTTTCTTCTCTTTCATTTTCTCCTGGTAAGTCCTGTAGTTCACATGTTCTTTTTTGGGGGGCTGAAATAAAGATTGGGAGGGATACCACTGATTGAAAATTTCAAGTAGGTTAAAAAATATTCACACACTTGCATGGACAATATTTTTCAGATGGTGGTAGGGGAACATCAGAAATTGTTTATTTCCTCTTGGGTGAGAGGAAGGGACTGAAGGGATGTAAGGTAGACACATCGAAACCACATCTTTCATGCCGGAGACAGTAAGGAGGGATGTTTATGCTCTACATCAAACCTACAGGATTTCCACATATACACTGAGCTAGAAAGAAAACCCACACTCCTCCACACCCACCAAAAAAGACCTACAAAATTCTTTTTCTCTTTTGTATTACTGATGATGAATCAAACTGAAAAGTTTTCGCCATCTTTAACTCACCGGGACAGCGAAGCTTTAAAAAGCAAGCCCTTCCCTTCAACATTTTAGTTTTGAATGGCCTGATTAAAAATTGGTAAGTGTTGTCTTCCACCCCAATCAGCTGTATTTCATCTGTACAACATCTCTGATAACACAACCAGACTAATTTTACAAACATCAACAGAAAATAGACAAGACAGAATAGAATATGTAAAAGTAAGGATGAAGTGGGTCAGGGTAAGGGATCTTGTGTTTTAAAAAGGTGGTGCCAAAACCCCCCAGAGTTTTTTACTGCTTTCCTGCACTGTAACAGCTGGGTGACTGCTCAGCACAAACCAAGTGACAATTACCTTGGCTCCCAGCATGATAGCACGCTCCTGTTCCCATATACGTTGTTCCTGCTTCTTGTAGCCAGTGATTCCAAACTTGTGTACTTCCAGACGAGCCTAGAACATTACAGAAAATTGCAAGCATTTCATAATTTGCCCAGCCTCTTGTAAAATAGCTCTTGACAGACTACAACAAAGTCATACTCCCAAAGAAACCCTGGATAATACCTGAAATCAACATACTATAAAATAAAACTAACTGAGTTTGGAGCCATACTGCAGAACAGTTAACCACTGTCCATCTAATCTCTGGATGGTGAAGACTGTCAGGGGGACAATTTTTGAACCTCCTCATTTCACATAAAACAACACAATGGAATGGATCTCCTCCATATAAAAAGGAATCATGTTGTGCTGCACAAAGAAGAACAATGAAATGTGCTACCCACAGCACCCAACATTTACAGACTGTTCTCATTTCTTGGCTGCAGCGCACTTAACCAGTGAGAAACACAGCCGGGCATTGATGAAGTTGGTTTGACTACACACACATGCATAGCTGACACTATACAAGAATACCCTGGCAAAACCTGTGGTGAATTCATACTATTTTTAAAGTCAGTGGTTAAATCCCCATTGTGCTCAGCAGTACAAAGCTCCATGCAGAATTTCCAGTGAAACATTTCACTGGATCACAGCACATCCCTGAGCAGAGATCAGGCATATAAAACCACTTGCACAGATCTGTAAACAAATCAGTACCTAAGAAGGTCAATGCTAGTTATGCTCATATAAGAACAAGTGAGAATAAGAAGACAAATGGAAAGAAGTAATCTGCTGTTTCAAAAGTAGATGCCAATACACTTTTTTTCCCATCCCACCTGAGATCAGAAATCCAAGATTAACAATATGGGCCTGAAAGAGCTATGTTAAACATTATGGGTACTCACATAGCTTTACAAAGGTAACATACAGTGATCCTCCTCAAATTCTCTCTGACAGATTTGAAAGAAAGGCCACAGAGTTGCAACATGCCTCTCTTCACACAAAGCAGTTGACAAGAGCCAGCATGCTTCTCCTTTGACACGGCATACGGCCAAAATTACCTATTGGGAAATCCTCACCAAGATAACCTTTTCTGGAAGTGCTTCCCATTGGTCCCACCGTAGCTTTCACAAGGATATAGATACACATACCTGCACACTAAAATAGTGAGGTTAGATAGGCCCTGCTGACTTACTTTTTCAAAGTTAAATTCTTGTTCGTTCACATTTTTATCTTCATCCACTCTTTTGGTCTACAAACAAAACATTTGGAATTAATATAACAAGTAACACCGGTTTAAATGTCCACTGTGATAGTTTTTTGGAAAGCAGTGAAATGTAGAAAGAGTTGTTGGGAAGAGTATACAGCTTTCCAGCACTATTTTTTCCAGCTTTGTTACCCGGATTTATGAAAAGAGACAGCCTCAGTGACATTTTTAATATTCAGATATTACAGGATCTTACTGGAATGACCTTGCACAATTTATAGGGTACCATTATAGCACAGTGCATACAGCTTTGTCCTTCATTTTCTTGCCTGGATCATCTCCTAACACTTACAAAGGGTTTCATAATTCAGAAAGATATTAATAGCTGCAATTAATTTTTATCCTTTCAAGAATAAATTACATTTTATAAAATAAAAACTGCCACATGTGAGCTATACGTCACGCATAATTCCATTTCCAAATCCATACCAAACTGCTGATGCAGGATAGGACACAAACCTTAAGTCATTTTGTTTGAGACAGAGAGTGCAGTGGTAATAGCACATATACTGACAGCCGGTGGCAACACGCAGAGGCTTAATTTGCAACTGTGTGGACATATATTAGAGCACATATCCAGCTTAACTAATGCAAGAGAAACGGCTCCAAAGGATGACACTGTCAGGAGATGGCGGACCCCACTTAAGCTGTTTAAAGAAACTACTTGCTCAAAATGAGATCAGTGAAAACTCCATCTTCTCTATTCCGTGATTTACGTGGAGACCTTTCAACAGCAGTTCTCAGTTTGGAGGGGAACTCTCCAAGGGGGGACAGATTGTATCCTAGGAAGAAAAAGAAGTGCAAAATCCCCAGGGAGAGCTCCACACCTGCTAGTGTCCCACATGGGACAGTAACAAATCTCCCAGGTTTGTTTTAGATTGTGTCTGACTCCTGATTTTGGAGAGGACGTGCTGAACAACCTCTCTGAGTGGATGCTCTGCCTCTGGTGCAGGCAGCATGGGCAGGGAAACTGCAGTCTGTTCAAGAGTATCCGCTTGCTTGTCTTTCCCTGTTTGCTCTCAAGAGCACTATCCCCTCCAAGGAAGCAGGAGTACTACATATATATTACAACTGAACCTGAATGCTTTTAACGCATTTCGGTTTCACTCTCCAGGACTTTAAGTCATACTTAGTCACAGGTTCAGGTTCCAGGGTTACGTCAGGGCTTCCCTCTGCATTCAGCGGAGCCAAACCCAAACTTCTCCCAACTCTGCAAAAAGCTTCTATATAAAACTGTCCACTTCAATGACAAATAAACATGGTTATTTTCAGACCATTTTACTAACATGCTTAACACCAGTCTTTTCAGGAAGAAAAATTTAAGTTATAATAAAGCATAAGAAAATAATTATCTAGGGCAATTTTTAGAGGAAAACATTCCAGAAAAAGCACAAAAGTTTATGGATTCAACCAACTGCTTGGTCAGTCTCTTGAACTTCCTAATTCCAAGCAGTCAAACCCCAGATACCAGTAAATCTTCCTGAATTTGAGACAGTCATGTGCTTGTCCATCAGACCTTATTTTAGAATTGGGCTTCTGATGTTATGGCCATAAACATGGCTCAAAGAAAACAACCAGAGAAGCTATAAAATCTGGAGACCAATCAATTAGCAATGGACCCTCTGCTTGGCATGGGACGCAGCTCAGCTTCCAGTCAAGCCTATCCAGGCCTCTCTGTTGTAGCAACTCAGCTACAGTTTTTGGTAGCACGAATAAATTCAGTACCAACAAACCATATCAGAGGACTGAGATCTAATGCTGTCATGCCTTCCCCCATTGCTGGTGAACAGCCAAGTGCTGCTGTGATGCCAGAGAAGAAAGCTTTCGCACCTCACATCCACTCCTGTTAACGAGAACGGAGCAGCACACACAACACTTAGGCACAGAAGTAAAGAGGCTTTGCTTCCCATTTCATTCACTTCTTGCTGTATCAGCAGTCCTATCTGCAGATCAATTTATTTTGTTGGGATACATCTAGTTCAAATATAGGATAGTTATCCAGAGATCTCTGGAAATTGGGAAAAAAAGTCTTCGAGTCCTGCTCCCACCCCTACCAGCAGCCCTGTTGGAAATCAGCAGGACTGGATGCCATCAAGCTGAGCACACAGATCACCAAAGGATCCCAGATTTCCAGGCAGCTGTATTAGCAAGAGGGAAGAAACTAGACACTGGAGGGGGCATTATGGAAGACATCTCACAATTTATGGTGGCAGACTAAGGAGACAGGAAAAAGCAAAACCAACAGACACGCAGAGGATTTTATTTGGTTTTAACTGTCACCAGGAAAGGGCATCCCAGTCCAGTACCTGCTCAGCAGCAACTCTCTGGTGCGGCTTCACAAAAACCCATCTATCTGTGCTTTAAAGAAGCAGCAAGATATTCACCGGTACGGGCACCGTGCCCAGGGTGCGCACCCCGTTAGAAGGCCGCTCCTACTCGGGGACAGCAGCACCCACGCCTGCAGGCGTGGGCGTGCCTGGGGCAGGGGGGCCCACCCGCTCCCCGGTCCTACCTGGGCACCTCCGGTGGGTGCTACCGAGGGGCTGGGCCGCCCCTTCCTCTTCCTCCCGCGAAACACCACGACCTCCACGGCCGGCGGCGTGGCGGGGGGCGGCGGGCCGGCGGCGGCCAGCTCAGCCCGCAGCTCCCCAAAAAAGTCGCGGGCTCCCCGCCGCCCGCCCGCCGCCGGCTGCGGTCCTCGGTTCTCCTCCTCCTCCTTCTCCTTCTTCTTCTTCTTCGCCGCCGCCGCCGCCCCTACGCTCGCCTCGCTGTCCTTCGCCGCGCCCCGAGCACCGCGCTCCTCACCTGCGTGCCGAACGCATGCCCCGAGTCAGCCGTGTGCGGCCGCCGTCGCTCCGCTTCAGAGTGAACACGCCCGACCCCCAGGGAAGGCCGCGGTGCTGCCGGCCACGGCGCAGCGCCCGGCCCGGCCCCATTCCCCACGACCGGCAGCCCACGGCGCGGCCCCGCTCACCCACCCAGGTCGTAGAGGGCGCCGAGCACCGCTTCCAGCCGGCGGCAGGGCTCCCGCGACCCCATGGCGGCGGGCGGAAGGACGTTTGGTCCCGAGCGGCTCCCGTCGCCCCCAAGATGGCGCCGCCCATCGCGCGTTCCCCCCGCCCTCCGCCGCGCGCTGGGCAGCCGGGCCGGGCCCCCGCCGGGCTCGGGAGGGGACGAGGCCTGTCCTGGGTCCCGGCGGCGGCAAGTCTCGGCCAAGCGGGAGCCGGACGTTTCCCCTCACACGCTCACCTTCCCCAGGCGCTGCGGGCCCCGAGCCCGCCGCTCCGCCACGGTGCCTGTCGCGTCAAGTCGCGACAGTCGGAGCTCCCGATCCCGAGCGCCGCTTCTCCCCTCAGGTAGGCTGTCAAACGCCAGCCGGCTTAAGAAGGGTCGGAGGCGTCTGGGACTCTTCTCCAGAGAGGTTTTGTCCAGCAGCCCAGGGACCGGGCCTGGCGGCAAGGCTGGCGGGGGCGGTGGGCGTCTGAGGGGCTTCGCGGGGAGCCCTCGGCGGCGACAGAAACTTGCCAGCGACGACCAATTCAGCCCTAGAAAATGTCACAGCGATGGAGTGGCCGAAGCAGGTTTTCCTGTGTTACGTGGTGGAAATTACTTCATTGACCTTATTTTTTCCCTGTGGCTCCTATGCCAGCCTCAGATAAGGACATTTGGGTGTGGGGTGGTAACCCCCTCCCTCCCCGCACCCCCCAGTTACATTTGGAGGAGGTGACTGGGGAGAGAGGGAAACAGCTCCTGGTTTTGGCAGAGATTCCCACAGCCCTCTTCTGTGTCTCCCTGGCTGTATGCTGGTATCCCAAGCGCATCATGAGCATCCTCATTTTGTTGCTTTCAAAGGTTATAGGGAAGCAGAGGAGTTCCAGGATCCTGCTGTTTTGCTTTTGTACTTCACCAGTGTCACAGTAACAGTGCACGTAACTGAATTTTCTGATGTCAAGGTTTCCAACGGCATATTTTATAAATGTACTCTCTACCAGTTGGCAACCAAAGCTAGAAGAACAGCTTGGCCATAGGGTGCAAAAGCAGTGTTATTCTTCTTAAGTGGTTGGTAAAGTGTGTGTTTTGGCTTCCTCTGCGCTGCTTCAAGAGGGCATGAAAATAACTATTGCCATGGAGAGGAATCGGTTGCACTTCAAATCTGGAAGCATCAAATGGGGAGCTGTGGCAGAGAGGTGACTTAAATTGGCCGTGGCCTTTGCAAAACTCCTGTCACCAGAGCCACGCTGGGGAACAGCTGTAGCAGCGTGGTGACTGCTGATGTGGCTGATGATACCGGAGCTGAGTGCTGGGTTTCTTTGTCTGGGTTTTGTGCAGTTGCACACTGCAGGATTTAAACTTTGGTAATTGACATAAATGTTGCTTATATTTTCTGAGCAATGACTTGTCCAGTACTGATCTAAGTAGGTGTATACTTAGAGCCAACTAATATCTTCCGATGCTATTCTGATCTATCTTTTTTGCTATTACAGACCCTAAGGGATTTTTTTTTCCTGTTTTATTTTTAATCAAGTGGATTGATATAAGGTGTCAGTGGCAACAGATGGCTAATACAAACTATTTCCATTCTTCTTAACAGTTCTTAGCTTACTTGGCTCTTGCAAAACACCAACTAGCTGAAAGCTGGAAGAAGAAAGTTTGAAAACTAATGCTAGACTATACAGGAAAAAAACACATAAAGTTCAAAATTAATATGGGCTTGAGTTTGATACATTGTATAGGATTAGTTTTAACAGTCCCTGGAGAGTTTGTACTGCAGTTATTGTGGGACAATTCTCTAAACTACAGTAGTGAAAAGAAAAGTTAGACTATCTACCAAATGTTACTGTTGTAGAAGGATGGTATCCAAATTTGACTCTTATGTGTGGGAAAAAGAATGTGAGAAGGTCAAACATTACAGTTGGATTTGTGTTCTCTGATAAAACGAAACTGGCTTTTGATACAGTTGAGGCTTGGAAGGATTTTTTGTGGTTCTTAAGTGGAGATATTCCTGATTTTGTGTTTTTGTTTTGTTTTGCCAAATTCTTGTCTCGATGAATGGACAGGAACTAAATGTTTGCTCTTATTTTAAATGTCAGCTGCTTTGATAGTGTTGCTGGAGTGGCTGTGGTCCACTGGCAGTGAAACCTGACTCCCGCTCGCAAGGTTGAAAACCCAGCTGCTACTGCTGGGTGTTTTGCTTATCTGTTCCTGGTGTTCTGTGCATTTGCTGGCCAAACTTTCCTCTCAATACCAGAAAAGGTCACTGTAAGAGACCATGAAACAACATGTTTTATCCTTCATTATCAGACTGGTTCTGCACAGGTTGTTTATAGGGAGAGGAGGCAGAATGAAGGAAAGGGATGCCTGCGTTACCCTTCAAGTGGTGCTGTAGAGGAAGTCATAAGTGTTTTTATTTTTAGCATCTTCTTCTAATAAATAAGCTTGATCATAACCAATACTTTCATATTTGTGTTTCACGGAGGCTTGCTCCAGTTGCCTTGCTTGTCTGGTGGCTATTGCTGTTTTGAAGTTGAGAGAAATACGATTTCAGTTTGGAAAGACTGAGGGGTCATTCGTATAAACTGTGGTGTTATAGGAGATAATAGGAGACTCTCTCCAGCTCAGGGGATGCCTCCTGACTCAAGGGGAAGCATTTTGTCACTGAGATTTCTGCAGCAGGATGGATCCCCAATTAGTTCTTGATGTACCTGTTTGTTTTCCTGCCTAGCAGTGGTGTTGGTTACTCAGAGGCTGTGCTCTCTTTTTACCTACGTGTGCAGCATATAACATTTTTATCTTCACATGGCTGATAATTGTTTTGTTTTTGTTTTTTGTTCCTGTCTGACTGTGGTTTATGTACCTTATGTCCAAGCCTGGTGAAAGCCAGCACAAATCACTACAGTGCCGGATGCAACTGGAAGTAACAGGGATTATTTTTTTGTGTTGATGATTGTGTTTTTATAATGTCATTATGGCGTTGTCTTCATGCAGCTATGAGAGTTGGAATCAAAGGTGGTTTAGTTAATACCTATTAATCATAGAGAGGCTTGAGGCAAGGCACTTTAGCTTTCAAAGCCCAGGTGTTCTCTCAACTTCTTCCTCTTGGGCAGAATTAAGTAACGTGGCATAGGGTGATTTGGGGATCTTTGTGATTTCGAAAGGGTTGGGGTTTTTTGTTGTTTTGTTTTGTTTTGTTTTGTTTTTTTCCTTTTCTTTTTAGTTTCTTTCTGTAGCATTGTTCTACACAGGTAATATTTTGTTCATGCATTCAGGGTGTGGAATGCAGACACTATAGAAAGCTAAAAAAAAACCCCCAAACATTGCAAAACTATTGCATGCCGTTATTTTGGTACTGTAGCCAAGCAGACCACTGAATGGCTCGAGACAGTGTCTCATTCTTTATTTGTGTGTTCCCAGCAGAAGGAGCTCATGTCAAAGAAAAGAGATGAGTTTGAAGATATCTTGGAGGAAAGGCGATTGTCCAGCGACTTGAGATACGCAATGAAATGTTACACTCCTGTGATCTACAAGGGACTTTCACCTTGCAAGCCAAATGCTATTAAAAATGCTGTTCTCCAGTCAGAGCAAGTTCAATATGTTATCAAGCAGGTGAGTCTGGACATTGAGCTGTAAGATGAGGTACTTTGAACACAGCCAAGCTTTGTGTGACAGCAGGGAAAAAAAGATTATTGCTGACCTTGTCAAACATGATAGCTGAAGTTTAGAAAGATGGTCCAATAAATCAGTAAGTCGAGAGCCATACTCTTTTGGCAGCAAAAACAGATAAACAGATACTGATTTACCATGGAGTTACCACTAAAGCTGTTAGATAGCTCATTCATTAAATCATGTTTTGATTTTGCATATATGACACTTCACCATCTAACTTACTTAATGTGCATATGTGTTTGACTGTTTTTTTTTTTCCCTCTCCTCCATAGTCCTCACTACAGATCAGGATTGTGAAAGATGGAAGCACTCTCCTTCTTAGTAGACTTTTTGTGCTTTGAAGATGTCTTGTAGGAATTTTATAGGCTAATGATGTATTTATGAATCAGTCATAAATGCTACTTTCTCTAAAATGAGCATTAAATTTCACAGAGAATTCTTTGAGTTAGAAACAATGTCTAAGATGTAACCGTATTTTGCTTTAAAATGAAGGGCAGCTACTACTTTGTAATGAATAAAATACTTTATAGTCAAACTGGCTCATATTTTACATTGTGTTGAAATAAGAGTGTGTGTTAGTTATCAGAGTAACTATTTTCAGTATTCATGAAAAATAATTCCAGGTCAGTAGAACTATATAAGATGTCTTGATTAGTCCTGAGTGAGTGGCTACCATAACATTTTTCTCTTTTTTTTTTTTAATGGTCAATGTTACCCATGATATATCAAAACCTGTTACGATGTGACAAATTAAACCATGTCCTACCAAGTAGTGCTGTTGCCATCATGAATTGCAAAGTAATATGAAATTTAAAAAAATGAATCTTTCAACTTCAGAAACACTAAAACATTTACTGAAAATAAGTATTTTACATAGGATTTGACAGAAAGAAATTGGTGTGATGTTTTTTTCTGAACTGCTGTTTTTTTTTTTCTTCTGCCATTCCTCCTCTTTCCTCTTCTGTGTTCAGTACAAGGCATGTTAGTCATTTTGTAACAGTTAACTTTTCAATTAAGTATTTCTAGCTTCAATGGATCAAATAGGAATGATGACCATTGTTTAAATCTGTTTTTTAAGAAACATCTAAAGCGAATGCGCATAGCAACAGGAAAAAGATCATTGAGATGCAAAGTTGGTAGAAACAGTGCTTTGCATGCGTTTCAGCTAGCCATTGCCAAAGTAATACATTACAAAGAAATTGAAGCATGATAGGGCTAAGGTTCTTCAGCCAAATCTTAAAATCTAATGCAAGTGCACTTCAGAGATTTATTGTGAATATCTCTGCAAACGTAAGTTTCATTTTACTAGTCAAAATTGCAGACGGCCTTCTTCAGATCAATGATATAGGAAATGTTATTTGAACTTAAATCTCCTCTGAAGATGTTACAAGGGAAAACATTCAGATAGTGTTTTCGGGCGGGGGGGGGCGGTGGGGGGGGGCGGATTGTTGCACACTCTCTCCCCTGCCATTGGCACCTAAGCTCATTCTTGATTTTGAACAGCTCTAGCTTGTCTTTCTCTTGTTGTCTGAAACTGAAGAGATTCTCTATGATTAGATACATACCTATCACATAAAGTAAAATCTTGCTGACTATTGCAATAGCTCTGCCTTAATTGTTATGGCACATAGAATGGTGTGCATGGTAAAGAGAAGGGAAAACCATCTGACTGCTATTTTGTTTTGTTTCTCTATAGTTAGCAAGAGAGATGGGAGAATCACCCGATATTATTCAAGAAGAAGCCATGGAAATCTTGGATGAGATGGGCCACAGTATGCAATTAGGAGCTGTCAGTTTTTTTGCGTTTACGTTGAGCAAAATATTTAAACAGCTTTTCCAGAGAGTTTGTGTGAATGAAGAAGGAATGCAGAGAGTGAGTACTGGTGGGGAAAAAAAAAGTTATATTTTCATACCAGTCACTTGGCCAATGACTCTAATCTTCACTCCAGGTAACAAATATGAAAAATATCTTTTGAAAAAAAAGACTGCACTTCTGTTTATTATTGCATTTCTTAATAAGTGTAGGAGAAAAAATTATACATAAGTATTTTAGAGGCAAACAGTCAGCAGGACTTTGTACATTTTCCAAATGCTTCCTATGGTGAGGAATACCGTGTGTCAGCAATTCTGTTAGATCAGCCACTGAGAGTTTTTCTATCTGACACTATACATTTAATAATGCATTTAGCTGAATTGGAGGTGAAAACCTAATGTTATGTGACTGACTGGGTTGGTTGTTCTGCAAAACATTCATACAGCTAAGAGTGGTGAAACATTGTGCACCTCTGAGGCAGGAGATGCTTTAAGTTTGCCTCAGTTTGCTAGGGAGCTGTTGTCTCCCTGTTTCACTGTAGAATGCAGCTGTTCTGACGGGTGCAGCACATTCCCTGGAAGACAGCAAAGTCAGCCCTGAGAGCCTTTATTGGGTTTCCCATCCCCATCAAAAGGGATTTGAGTTAGACTATCATGTAATGGGGTGGCCCTGGCTTTTGAGTCCTGTGATGCTTGTGAACCACAAGTTGCTAGTCTGGAAACAACTGCTGCAAATTTCCTATGGTTCCATTTTGAAAAAGGTATGGAGTATGTGGTCAGAGAAACCACCCCTGAACAAATCAGCTTCTGTTTGCCTTAAGCCCTGTGAAGTTCTGTATTTGCAAATTTCAACAGTCAGTCTGTAAATATTGGAACAATATTGTTCTTGCTGTTTGTTTTTTGTTTTTTCAGTTGCAACACGCCATTCAGGAGCATCCAGTTGTTCTACTGCCCAGTCACCGAAGCTATGTAGACTTTTTGATGCTGTCTTATTTGCTATATACGTATGACTTGGTGTTGCCTGTCATTGCTGCAGGAATAGGCAAGTATGTTCTTTTAACAATGTTTTCAGGATTCAGAGAATCAGCAAGGAGTCAAGGAGCTGCTACTATAAGCAGTTGTGTTTAACTTCTGTTCCAAATATGTCCTGTTAATACCTCCCGGGGTGAGATGCTTACAGCATCTGAAAGCTTCTCATCGGTGCTGAGTCCAATCAAAGGTGAATTTTTTCATAGCAAGTTTGCCCACAAGTACCCCATCTGTAGACCCAAGGCTGGGGCAAAGATAGCTGTTGTGAAAAAGATTTCTATATTGCTGTTTTTGGCCTGGGAACAGGCAAAAATGTGCCCAGAAGCTACTGTGTATGCGGAACCTTTTGTGATACTTCATACTGTTTTAAGTGCAGTCGTAGCCAGATACAAAGTGCCAGCCACCTCGTGCTTGTTGCTGATGCAACTGATTCCCTTGGATGATTGTGTTATAAATTGAGACCACAATGGATCATAATCCAATTATAATTTTATTAATTATAGCAAGTAGAATATGAGCAAAGACAGCGCTGGACGGCAGGGGAGTCTGCGCTCCGCCAACTGCCGCACTGATCAGTTCAAACAGTTCCTTTTTATACATTTTTACATCCGTGGTTGTCTTTGATCAGTACCCCTTCTGCTTGCACAAGTATCTGGTTTGTGTAAGCAATTGCGGTTATCTTATCTCACGCGGTCATCTTGTCTCACAGGTTATCTTGTCTCACACAAGCGGTGTCTGGCAGCTGTTTGCATAAGCAGTTTTTCTGTCTTTTGCCGCCTAACCTTTACATTGAGCTTAACATAAATTTCAATAAACAATACCCTTAGTTCATAGTTTCTTACAATCCCCCCTTTTTCTTTTATCCTATTATTGTTTATTAGATGCTACTTTCATTTTCGTCACTGCAAACAAACCTTTTTCCACAATTCCAACATTTATCATAACACTCTCAAGATAATACCTTACAATTACAATCATAGTTTTCACGTGGCATAACACATTCACAACAATCTTTTCCACCAGGAAGCTCCTAATAGATCATCCCACCATTCTGAGTCTAACATTGAGGGTGTTTTCAGAGCACCATAGGTAAAACAGCTCTTATTCTATCTGCTATGTGCAGTTGTCGCCTTAATGTTTTTGCCGTGTGTTATTTATTCCTTGCTTTGTTCAGTTAATCCAACAAGTTGTGACCAACATGCAATTTGCTACTACTGTTTCACCTGTTGGTGTTAAGCAAATTCGAGCTGTGTGCCGAACTGCACAGTCAACCGTACTATCAGACACTCTGTAAACAATAATCAACAATTTATTAGCAAACAAGAACCTGAAATAATTAACTGTATAACAATCCAGCAAAGTCCCACGCGACACAATCAGAAAGAGAAAAAGTAAGAACCAAAGATATCAGCACTGTCCTTTGGATGTTGTCCTTCGATGTCTTGTTACCCTTACTCACGGGGCGATAGCGATAGAAAGACAGAAAGAGTCCAAGAACAACAGTCCAGTCACACGCCGCGCGGTAACTCCTCTGATCAACAACATTTTCTTCTTTGAACTATAAGTCTGTTTCCATCACCTCATCAAGGTTTCGAGGGCGTCTTAGTTGTCTTCGTGATCTTGGAGGATTGGGGGGAGGAGGTGATCTCCGACACCAGCCACGAGACATTCCCTCGCATACCGCGATGGCAACGACAGTCACCACCAATATAATGAAAAATCCCAACAGCAGGCCGGCGCACACGGGATCGTCCCCTACTCCCATCTTCCCAAGATTGCAATCCAGCGGGATCAGTAAGATTAGTGGGATAGTCCAGCCCCAGGCTAGCGGCTTGACCGAGGAAGGTCCAAGTGCGCAATGAGCGGAAGTTTCTCTTCCACCCAGAATGCCTGTGCTGCCTAGATCTGGGCGGGCCTGGCAGGTGTTTTTGCCATCCGGGTATAGCCGAACTTTCGAGACCCTCCAGCAACACATGCGCTTTGGGCTGGGGGCGTGGAAATCCATTTTCCTGCTGCGTATGTGGACCCTGACTCCTGATCCCTACAGACCAGGCAGGTTCGCCACTCGCGCTCTCACTCTTGTACCTCCGATACTGCGAAAACAATGGAGCGTGCTTATGCATGGGCAGCAATTTATTGTGCAGCCTCGATGTTGGTAGCCCTCACTTTGTTTGCCTTTTTACTACATATCTTTTGCCCTTGTAAATGTTCCTCTTTCAAGTGCCCATGTAGTTGTATCTGCTTATGTAAACCACCATCTCCTTTGGTTAACCATGTTGAAAATTCTGTTATAGGTCTTTTCGGCGGTTTTGGTACTGGCTGTTTTACTTCTGTCACATCTTTTACTTGGATTCTCTTCTTCCCACTAAAATATCTCCATCCACCCTTCTGTCTTTGGGAAAGCAAAGCCACTCTGATGTTGGACATAACAGTAAAGCACTTGCTGCACAAATTTGCCACTATTAAAGCAAACCATACCAGGATGATTAGCAGAGGTCCGGTATAACATATACTCCCACCTCTCATGCCTATGGGGTTGCAGCCCACAGCTGAGAAAAAGGTCTTCTTGGTGGCGAGCACAGAGGTTAACCCGGTCTTGCCCTCTACTGTTTAACAAATCCGTGTGTTAAGAGTTAGTCAATTCAAGTGCAGCTCCTTTGTAGCCACTTCCTTTGTTTCTAAGCAAAGCAAAATTTTGGCACTTTCCGATAGTGTCCTCCCATCAACTCTCAGGGACATCACAAATTCTGGGGACTAACCTCTTTTTCCCCGTAAATCAAGGTTACAGTTCATGCCCCTTCCCTATACAGTTATAAGACAATTTTCTCCATCTGCAAGAAATACCACATCCGGTAACACATCACACATTCACACAAAACCCACGCTTCATGACATCCATACATACACTCGAGACAAGGTATTACCCAATTAGGTTGATTTTCTAGCAATGCCTAATTGACTCCAAAATGCTCATAATCTCACATGTCTGTCAGTTAATGCTCGGTAAACGCCAGCTTTTCCCTGACAGTTTTTTTGTTTGGTTTTGTCTGTTTTTTTGTTTTTGTTTCCTTATACAGCAAGTAAGTAAATGAATAAGTAAATTTTCACAGTGTTACCTCTGAACCCAGTCAAAAACCCAGTCAAACCACTGGTTAAGAGTCATTCAATCCCCTCCTGATGAATTTACTTAGTCCTTTGAGGGTGACTTGTAGTTGCTCAGTTGATGGTACCACAGTCCACTCCTGAGGCTTTTCCACCGGCCCTTTTCCTCAGGAGGCAAGAGTCCACCCCTTTTCTTTTGTTCGGATCGCTGTCTCGGTGGTCAGCAGCACCTGAAATGGACCTTCCCACTCGGGAGTTAATGATTAATCTTTCCACACTTTTATCAATACCCAATCACCTGGTTTTACATTGTGGATATTAAAAGCCAATGGTGGTATTTGAGGCAGAAGTCCTTTCTTTCTTAGTTTCATTAAAGTGTTACCAATTCTTATTACATACTTTCTTACATACTGATCTCCTACTTCAGGGATGACAATATCCCTGTCATTACTCATACATGGTAATCCAAACATCATTTCATAGGGAGAAATTCCCAGGTCTGTTCGTGGCTGAGTATTGATCCTTAATAAGGCCAACGGCAGGCATTTAATCCAAGACATCTGAGTCTCAATCATTAACTTAGTCAAGGTTTGTTTTGAAGTTTGATTCATTCTTTCTCCTCTTCCAGAACTCCGAGGATGCCATGGGGTGTGCCATGCCCATTCGATCCCTAAGGCTTCAGATAGCTGTTGTATAATTTTTAAAATTAAATGTGTTCCTCCGCCCAAGTCTATTCTTTCTATTAATCCATATCTGGGGATAATGTTTTCCAGTAACACCTTGGATACCATGCTTGCCATTGCCCTCGGTGTGGGGGATTGCTTCCACCCAATGAGTTAAGTGAGCCACTAATACCAACAAATACTTTCACCCTTGTATTTGAGGTAGCTCTGTTAAGTCTACCTGGAGGCTTTGTATGGCTAGCTCCTGTTCCCCAGCCACCTTTTTTTTTTTTTTTTTTTTTTTTTTTCCGTTACCTTTTTGTTCACTTTTTAACAAATTAAACATCGATCAACTAGTTGTTTAGCTACCGTATATATTCCTATACACCCATATTGTCTAAGAAAATGATCACAAAGTGATTGCGTTCCCCAATGTATTTTCTAATGTATTAATGACAGAATTTCTCATGATCTTGTTTTGTTTAACATCTGCCTTCCATCCGCTAAAGTCCATTTTCCTTCTGAATCTTTCCCCCCCTTATTTTTAAGTATATCCTTTTCTTGTTCTGTGAAATTTGGGGCTAAATTCTCATAATCCCCTGGTATTATTACCAATAAAACTACCAATGATGATTCTGTAGCTGCTTCTCTGGCTACTTAATCTGCTAAATTATTCCCCCTTATTTCCATTGATGCTCCCCTCTGATGTCCTTTCACATGCACAATTGCAGTTTCTGTGGGGAGCTTCAGGGCTTCTAAAACTTCTCTGATCAGCCGCTCGTGTACTAGCTCCTTCCCTTTTGTATTTATAAGCCCTCTTTCTTCCCATATTTTTCCAAATGTGTGGACCACTCCAAATGCATACTTTGAGTCTGTGTACACTGTCCCTTCCTTATCTCTCAAATATACCAATGTCTGTTTTAGGGCATAGAGTTCACAGACTTGTGCTGACCACCCAGCAGGTAATTTCCCCTTTTCAAACACTTCCATCTTCTGCCTCTCGATAATTACATAACCCAATATTTTTCCTTCTAGGCATCGAGAGGACCCATCAATAAATAGTTTTTCTCTATAGGGCAAAGGTTTATTTAACAGATCTTCTCTTATTTTCGTTTGATAATTTATAAAATCCATACAGTCACGCTCTGGTTCCTAAATATCCTCCCCGATTCTCCTCCCATAATTCTAGTAATTTAACCACTAGTTTTCCTTCACCCAGCACCACACCTATTCCTAATTGCACTTGTAAATCTCTACCTAGCAAATTACATCCTACCCCTGGCATTAACAACAAATCATTAACAGCATATTGATCTTCCCCTTGTATTAACACATTCTTTATAACTGGGACCGAAAACCCCTTCACCTTTAGCCCCTACAGCCCAAGTTGTATCTTTTACATAATCTTCCTCCTGGGGTCTTAATTTCAAATTTATCAAGGGCTCTTCTGTTGGTATATCCCCCAGGAGGTAGAGTCCCTGACACCCCTAGTGATTACCACCCTCATCCTGTTGGGTTACTTCAAACACCAACAGGTCCCGTATTCTCTGGGGGCATTCTTGTTTATAATGCCCCCCCTTCCCACAATGAAAACATTCCCTTGTGATTTCCCTGGCCAGTGGTGCCTCTTGGTTCCGCCTTCCCTTTCATTCCCTTGCCTGTTTCAAATTTGTGATTTCCTGTCTGAGATTCCTTGTGTTTGTTTCTAACAGCTTCTTGTGCAGTTATCATAGTTTTAGCTTTAGTTTTAGCCTCTTCTTCATCCTTCCTAATCTCTACTTTCTGTGCTTCTCTCAGGAGTTCCTCCAGACTCTTATTATAATGACCTAGAGTCACTCATATCTCTCCTCCGCTCTTGTTCATTCTGATTCCACTGCAGAGGGGTTACAGGGAGTTTCCTTTCCCCGGGTATCCCCTGCTGATTTTCTCTCTCCCATATCCACATTCCAACCGTTCTGATCATCTGTCTTTCTTCAGGAGAGAAAAAAATTCCCCTAATCGACTGCATCTCCTCCCATGTATATATATACTGGGTCCCAAAAATTGATCAGTCTTCTCTGACAGCCCCACAGGATCCTCTAATAACCTCCTAAATTCATTCTTATACGCCCTCACTTCTACATTAGTGAGCGGCACATCCACAAATCCCATCCCCCCTTGAATTCCTGCCGCTGGGACTTCCCCGCAAGGGATTAACCCTAGCCGCCCCGTGCTCCCTTAAACGATTTCCCTTAAATCATGTACGAGCCGGTATTTCCCATTTGGTTTCTTTACAGGCAGAATGGGGGTGTTAAAGGGTGACATACAAGGCTCTAAGATTCCTTGTGCTAATAATCGATCAATTTCTGGTTTTAATCCTCTCCGTCCGTCTAGGGAAATGGGATATTGCTTTACCCTCACAGGTATGTGGGGTTCAGAAACTTGGATTTTAATCGGTGGGATTTCCAGTCTACTAATTGTGTCCGGAGAGTACCAGACATCGGGGTTAATTTGTTTTTGCTCATCCACGGTCAAAGGATAAGTAGACGCTGTTAGCTCTTGATTTTTCACTTTAATTTCTAATTGTAATTCAACAATTAAATCTCGTCCTAGCAGATTAAATTCTGCTTCAGGGACGAGCAAGAGTTCACCCATTCCAAATTTATTTTCAGTTTCGAATACCACATTTTTGATTTTGTTTACTTTAAATGGTTCTCCTTTTGCCCCAATTACTTGTACTTTTTCCGGGGAAATTTTACATCCCTCAGGTATTTGTTTAATAGTCGATTTTTTCAGCCCCAGTGTCTACAAAAAAGGTGAACTCTTGTTTATGGGGACCTATTTTTAATTTTATCAAGGGCTCATGATGACTCCGGTCCCCTAAGATACAGAGCCCCTGGCTCTCCTATTCCGTTTTCAATATTTCCTCATCCCTGATCCTTTCTCTGCAATTCTTCTTTATATGTCCCTTCTTTCCACAGTAAAAACAACATCTCTGTTCCTTCTTTACTACTACGTTCCCTGTTTCGTTCCAGCAGATCTGTGTTCACCAGTTCGTCCTTTACGATCCTCTCTGACCGCTGCTACCATCATTTTTACTTGTCGCTTGCTGTTCTCTTTCTCTCGCCTTACATAGACTTTCTGAGCTTCTCTCAATAATTCATCCAACCCTCTATTCTGCCAGTCTTCTAACTTTTCAATCTTCTTTCTGATATCTTCCCATGATTTTGCCACAAACTGAGTTTTGAGGAGTGCTTGCCCTAAAGGGTCGTCTGGATTTATCCCAGAATACAGCTGAAGGGCTTTCCTCAGTCGTTCCAGCCACTCAGTAGGGCTCTCATCTTTCTTTTGCATTTCATTAAATGCTTTATTAATATTCTGGCCACAGGGTACTGCTTCTCTAATTCCCTGAATTACTATAGTTCTCAGGTCCTGCATATGAGTTCTATGCACCGGATCCTGATTATCCCTATTAGGTCTTTTTTGTCTTTTGCCGCCTAACCTTTACATTGAGCTTAACATAAATTTCAATAAACAATACCCTTAGTTCATAGTTTCTTACATCCTCCTCCTCCTTCTCCTTCTCCTCCTCCTCCCGCCGCCGCTCGGGTGGCCCCGCGGCCCCGCCGCTGCGCGGAAGCGCTCGGACGGCTGCGCGCCGGCCGGCGCCGCCGCGTCCCGCTCCCGCCGGTACGGCCGGGCGAAGGCGGAGCGCGGCCCTCCCCGGCAGGAGAGACCCTCGTCCCGCCGCCGCCGGGGCCGGGGCGGCGCGCGCGCCCGCCCGCGCGCCGCCGCGCCGGGGAACAAAGCGCGAAGGCGCGCGCGCGCCCCCACGGGCCGCCCGGCCGCCGCCCCCACGGCGCGCCCGCGCCCCCCCCCCCCCCGACAGGCCGCGGGGAGCGGGCAAACAGCACCCACCCCCGCCGCCCCCCACCTCTGCTTCCAGCTCTTAGCAATACAACCGACGCGGAAAAGCCATCAGCGTGCCCGTTCTGCGCGCGGCAGCTCCCACAGCAGATGCCCACGCGCCTCAGATCTGCCAGAGCCTCATCACTCAAAACAGCCGCTGCTGCCCTCCCCAACTACGGACCAGTTACCAATAGCCCCATTACTGGTCCCATCGAGCCTCCACTGCTGCCGGCAGGCCCCACTCGAGGAAAATGCTCCCACTCGCCCACAGTGGTGCTTAGCCACCAGCCAGAACGCAGCTGACATTTCGGGTAAGTTTAAGGCCCGGGGCAGGTAATGACATAACTCGCGCTTCCATCAAGGGAAACGACTGGAAATTTGCACCAATATCTACGTGTGCAAAACACGGCTTCCCTCCCGGCCACGCTTCTCCACAGATTGGCATTTCATCCAAGATGCAACCGGGAAAAAAGGATAGCTGCCTTTTCTCACAAAAAGTGGGCTTTTAAGACCACCAATACCTGCAATTTATTGTAAACGTTCGTTAACAACTCTAGGCATGCAACAGACAAGATCATTCAAAATTTTGCAAAGTTTGGCCTTACACCAGCTGCTTCAACTTCCACAGCAGAGCATTACGACAGATGAAGCCCATATGTACTCAACCATACACATTTCAAAAGCTTTTCTTGTTTTTTTTTTTTGAACAGAGAAAAATGAGCAAAGTAATCTCAACTATATGGGCCAACAGCACTAGGACAAAAATTGGTACTAAAATAATGACATTCTGAAATTTTTCAAATATGGCAGGTACTGTGATACACAAAACCAGGTGTGGCTTTTAGAGTATTAATCGTAGTAACAAGCCATTACCACAGCCAGTGCAATAAATGTTTCAGTTTCACATTTTGCTGAAACCCAAGTGTCTCTCTGATCATCCCAGACACATCTGCTGGCAACCTAAAGGAAAGAAAAGAAAAAGCCCTTTGTGAATCTATAAACAGCCTAGGTTTTATATTTTTCTTAAAAGAACACACAGCATTATATAAATACTGTTATAATTGCATTATCGGATTTAAAAGTAGTAACAACTGCAAAAAAAGTAGTGTGAACATTAGCAAGTCCTGTTTGATGACAAAATACATGCTTTTGCTTCACCGTGAAGATCCCACACCCTATTAGATCCAAAAATCTCTACACCAAAACCTCGATTCTCTCTCACGATCACTTGTTAGCACTTTAGCGTACTGTAACAGCACCCCTTCAAGAGCAACACAAATAGACATTAGTTTTGTGAACGTAGACAACTAAGAAGTCACATCCTCTGCTCCTCTACTTCCAGCTTACTCCAGTCGACTTGTGACCATTTACGGAGCTCTCGGCTTTTTTGACAAGACTGTTTTCAAAGCTAAAAGCTGTGAATTGACTGCTGAAATAAACGTTATTCACTCAGACAATTTCAGTAATCCGTTTTAGCCTACAGCTCCTCAGCCAAAGTACAACTTCAGAGGCAGCGTAGACAGCACCTGAAAAGTAGGCGGGTGCAGGCCCCTCACAGACTGGCTTTATTGCTGAAGCTGACCACCTTTCAAACGTTGTTTTGCGTAACCCACTAAATACAGGTATGGTTTCATCAGGTTTTAAGAGGTGATGATGAACACTCCTAAACAGAAGTGCTCTGACACTCAGCAAGATACCTAAAAGCGTTCTGAACGCCAATGGGAGCTTGTATTACATGTAAATTTATATACAACATGGGAAAGTCTGGAATACTTTTCTTTTGGGTGTGACAAGTTTGGATCACTAATGTTAACGTGTAGTCCCAGGAGCATGTTTGGTGGCAGCTACAGTTTAAACAGTTTCCATTCCTTTCCATGCCACCCCACACTTTAACTACATGGTATTTAGCGCCAAATGCGACAACCCAACTGGAGGCCAAAATATGTTGGAAAAAGAAAATTCACTTCAGTCACGCAATTGTACTGGCACAGCATGCAGCAGAAGTAACTGGTTGACAGGGAAGAGCAGCACAGGCAGCTTACCACCATTACTGAAATCAAAAAGACAACCACCTTCTTCGCAGGGTGAGGTAGAATCACAGCAGTACCTCAAATTGTGACCCGGCATACTACTCCCCATAAAGAACCTAAAGGTTTGAAGATCACCTCAAAGTAGTTAAGCTGCTGAATGCGGATTAATGCCTTGGAGATAACATACAGTTCTAAAAATTAGTTTCAATTTGCAAAAGATACAAATAATTTGTTGACTCACATTTATTGCCTGACCTGTCTTTTCCACAATCTGTACTAATACCACGTACTTATAACGGTCAAAGTTGAATTCCTTCACAGCCTTTAATATTTCATCTGAGAGTGAAACACACAAGGAGGGACTAGAATCTCCATCATATTTGGCTTGCTGGAGTTTATTCTATCAAAAACAATTTTGAAAGATCTTAATTTTCATCCTGGTAGTCTATCCCAAAAATGTTTTACAGTCATTTTTATTACAAGAACATTAGAAGAACTAATGAGTAGAACAGTCAATATAGATGATGCTCTCAAACAGCAAAGGCTGCACTACTTTTACTCTAAAATGTGTTATCTTTTTTTTGAAAGTGACAAATACATCCAGCCAATCTCCATTTAACAAACAAGAGTGTATTCCTCTCCATCATTTGGGCTCAGTTCATTGGAAAATAGTGCTACAAATACCTGCTCCAAATATCCAGGGCATGGCTTCCAGATGGCAGAATTACAAGAGTTGGTTATAATTATTCAAGGTATCACTAACAGCTACATATTATCTCGAACAGCTTGTTCTTCATTTTTGCTTATTTTTTCTGTGTGGGAGTCAGATTGACAAGGACACCAAGTATATTTTATACAGGTCCTGTGATACTGGAATAACTAATTGAAGGTATAGAATTCTACAAATTCAGTACTGCCATAGCTCAATTTGATTTAGAAATGGTAACAGTTTAGAAAGTTTCAGCTCCACATTAACAGCACACAGTGTTGACCCTGCAGAGGGCCTTCTGCACTTTGCGTTGCAAAACAGAGCACACTCACTTTACATTTGTGTGCAAAAACTTGGAAGACTGCAAAGGTTTATGTAAATGTTTAGTTTATGCAACTCACACTGTGCCATTAACATAATCTTTGCAAGACAAGCTACTTTTGCAATAAAATTAGACAATTAAAAAAATACTATACCGTTAGTATCTCTTGAACTTTGTCTCTTACTAAATAATCTCGAAATTTATTATGTGACTCCAGTCTGTATGTATTAGCATATCTTATCTTCGCCCTGTTATCTTTGGATGCCAATTGCTTAGCTTCCACTGAGTCAGTAAAACACTCTTCTTCAATTGGAGCCATACCTGAAGCTTCGTAATTTGATTGTGTCCTTTTCCCCTCCATCTGTGCAAAATAATAAAAAAGTCCACCTCACATGTCAGTATTTTAGCATTTAACAATCTCTAAGTAATACTTTATGGTGTACAGTTAAGAGGAAAAAAAAAAAAAACAATTAGTCTGGGAATATGTTACAAAAAAAAGCAGAAAAGCTAGAAAATGGGTAACTTTCCTTCTGGCTGCTTCGACACACAAAAAAAAAAAAAAAAAAAAAAAGAGAGAGAACAGTGGTTAACTTCCATTCAATTTTAATTTATTTTCCACCAGAATCTAAAGTGATTCTGTGATGATTCTAAGTTTGCATTGAAACTCAGTCAGACACACCATACCAGCACTCTGAATCCACTCCATTTTCCAAGTAAAAATACACCGATATTAACTCATGTCCAAGATTGTTAACTGCAACTTCAAGCTTTTCGTTCAAACAGCCTACACAAACCCAAAATATATGCTTGGTTCATTTACTACATAACTTTCCTCATCCCCATTTCTTGTGAAGCTACTAAACAAATGCCTTATGTATTAATGACTTAATTTGCTCTGATCTGTAAGCTTTGTAATTTTGCTTGGAACTTAAGAGTAGTGATACTTTTTATTTGTCAACAGAACTCTGAAGATCCAAGTTTTCTCCCCATCCAGCTTCTGTACCATCATTCTCTTCAACACACGTCACAAAATTTGGCCCTCTATAAATGCAAGCTGCAAGTCTGATGATGCACACAAAAGTTGACACCTGCTGTCCTCCATGGATGGCTTACAACAAAACTGTAAAATTATAACAAAACAAGACAGAAAAAGCACATGAAACCAATGAGATCAAAACAAATGCTACAGACAGTGGTCTTCCATACCAGCTACCTCCTAACTAATCACTTTCAAGTCTTGCTGATTCTTCAGTCCCTTGCTCCTCTTCCTGACTACAGCTAGAAATTAGGTGAGAGAAGATCATCAGTGCCCTCTCAGAAGAGCAGAAAAGAGCACAAAGGTGATATAACACCACAGCGCAAGGCTTACATGAAGAAGTATAGAAAAAAAAACAGACATCTATGGATAATATTAATAAATAATTTTCCAGTGAAAGTTATCTGGAAAGATGCGCTACTCAGAGGCTCATCAATCAGTTGGAGGAATTTGAGAATAAGGGAAGGAATGCAGTTTCTTCTCTATGAAATCACTTACATGTCAGCGCTGTCAACACTGTGGACATTACCTACATCTCTCCTCTGGTTCCTTACTGTTAGATAATTCTGTTAAAAACCAGGGATTTTGGCAGTCCTAGTGAAAATTGGCTGCAGGTGTTTGTTGATTCCACGCTAACAATGCAAACTCTGAATAGTACTTACACTATACTAAAAATGCAAGGAGCAAACTTATTCAAATTTAGGCTGTGAACACTCATTATCTTCTAACTGAAACTCAGATCTATAGACTATAGCCCCTACTCGCTCATCTCAGGTCTCCTAACAGGATAAAATGCACCTCAAGTCTGCCAGCTGAGCTGCTCAAATGAGCATCCCAATCCATGTCAGTGGAAATAAATCTGTGATAAGGGTCACAATCCAAAGAGTAATTCTTTGCTAGCATGGTTCACCATGAGTCACAACAACGTCAGCCTGTACCATTACAGATGGAAGACAATTCATGTCTATCACACATGACTTCTAACAATGGTGCTACTAACAAGTTTAATTACCATAATTAGTGACAGAATTTTTTGTAACCATTTCCTCATGTGCAAGAAGCCATTTACTAACAAGGCAACCAAAAACCCTACTGATATCTCTATACAAACAGCTAACAAATAAACCTAATTCTGTACTTCACAATACAAATACTGTGACTCCAAGTTTTAGCACAATGCTGCAATTACATTTCTGTACAATATTTGCACCCTTTGTGAAAGAATCTCTCAAAAATTCAAGAGCTGACTTTGCATTTGACTATACAAAAGCCTGTTCTTACGTTACTGGACTGTCCTAAACTGGCTTCACTTTAGGCATATGGAAGTAGGATGAGAGAAGGAAGCTTTTGTTACTTGATAGAAACACTGTTTGTTAATAAGCCCGTTTAACAGGCGATAGTTGCTTTAAAGAAACAGTTCATGCTTATTTAATCAGAAGAGGGCACACCCTCCTAAATTAAGAGACTTTACAGCAGCACCCCAAATTGGAAAGACTGCACCACCGAAGGGGGAGTCCACCCTCGCCTTCTTTTTACCTTCCCAAAGCTTTCACAACCTTGCCTCCCCGCGCCTGAGGCGGCTCCCCGGCTGCAAGGCAGATGCGAGCGGGACACCCGACCGAGCAGCGAGGGGACGAGCCATCCCAAACCGGAGGTAAGCCAGGCGGGAACGGCGTTTCCGATACAGGCGCACACAGGATCACGCTCACCGCCGGCGCCGCTGCCCCACCCCGCCGCCCGCGCTCAGGGCACGCGGCGCGGCCGTTACCACCGCCGCCGCCCTCCTCCCGCCCGTTCCCACACCGCTGGAGGGGCGCCGCCGAACCCCAGCCTCCAGTAACTGAGGGGCCCCCCAGCCTCCAGTAACTGAGGGGCCCCCCAGCCTCCAGTAACTGAGGGGCCCCCCAGCCTCCAGTAACTGAGGGGCCCCCCAGCCTCCAGTAACTGAGGGGCCCCCCAGCCTCCAGTAACTGAGGGGCCCCCCAGCCTCCAGTAACTGAGGGGCCCCCCAGCCTCCAGTAACTGAGGGGCCCCCCAGCCTCCAGTAACTGAGGGGCCCCCCAGCCTCCAGTAACTGAGGGCCGCCGCCCCCCCCCCCCCGGGCTGCCGCCCCGCCCAGGAGGCCGCTCACGCTCTCTTCATCACGCTTCCCTTCCCCGGGGGGGGATGCGGCAGAATTCGACATGGTGCAGCGCCGCTTTCCCGCAGGGCAGGGGCGGGCGGGCACAGCCACCTCTCCCCGTCCCGCTTCCAACGGCGGGGCACGAGCCGCCTTCGCGCTTCTGCCAGGCCGGGGCTCTTCCCGCGCGAGCCGGGCGTGACGCTACGCGCTAGCGTAGCGTCGTGACGCAGGAGGGGGCGGGGTCCAGCAGTAACGGAGGTAATGGCAGCGGGCCGGCATGGCGGGGTGGCGGATTCCGGGAATGAGATGGGGGTGGGAATGACAAGACAACGGGGGGTCGCGGCCGCCCTCGCTGCCCGGGGGAGCGCGGTAGCTGCGGGTTCGGCTCGACTCGGTTCGGCTCGACTCGGTTCGGCTCGACTCGGTTCGGCTCGACTCGGTTCGGCTCGTCTCAGTTCGGTTCTGTTCGGTTCGGCTCGGCTCGGCTCGGCTCGGCTCTGCCACCCGGGGACAGCCGGGGCTCGGTCACGGACTGTTCCTGAAAATGGCCGCCACCCGCTCCTGGTCTGCCCCGCTCTGCGGGGCGACTGCGGTAGTGCGCGCTTGCGATAGCCTCCCGTCTCTGGCGGCGGAATGTGGGGGGCCTCAAAATAACGTGAAGGACCGAATTACCTGTTTAATGAGCATTTTTTTTAAAATTTTTAATAGCTAAGATACTCCTTATAGGAAGTGTTATACTTGTTCTGTGTTGTTACCCGTATGAATACGTAGTCTCTCCTCAAATCCCTGAACTCAGCAAGTCTGTACTGTGAGGGTCAATTCCACTACCTAATTAAGATGCAAAAATGGTTTTAACGTTAATGAAATCTTTTTCCGTTTGTTGTGATACTTCATTTTCAAACGAACTCTTGTCAGTCTTTTGTTTGATTAATGAGGAAGCATGGCTATTTCCTAAATCAGAAGCATTTCACTCTTTGTTATCATGAGCAGTTCTATCTTTGCAAATTATTTAAGTTAAATGTGTGCTTTTGAATCAATCCATCCTTCCCTTTAGACTAATGTTCAGATAACACTTATGCTTAGATTGTTCTACCGTTACTACTAGTTCATACAGAATTTATGTACGTTACCTCCTCCCCCACCCCAGTGATTTGCTGGTCATAAGGACTGAAGCTCTTGGTTTTACTTGAAGTAGCACCAGTTTCCCTGTAAACTCAGAGATTAGACAGAACAGTTATTTATAAACTGGGATCTTTTGCTTCAATCTATCTTGGCATCAGTTCAGTAGATATAACCATTCAGAAATATACCATCCTGGCATTATGCAACTAGAGCAATTCCTCCTCTCAGTTTCCACAAGGTGGTTCTGCTCAGAGCGTTCCTTTCATCATATACATAGATAGAAGTTGCATGACAAACCTTAACAACTTGTTTCAGATGCTGCATTACTATCTGTATATCTGTGCTTATGGGTTTACTTCAGTATTATTTTTGTTTGTTCTCATGTACTTTCTTAATGCAGGGACTTTTTGTGTGTGTGTTCTAGATGGCCTTGCCACATTCGGTCACTACTTGTCTTTCTCCACCTGTGCATTATGTGATTTGCAGACTTGGATTTGAGAAGAAAGACAGCTATGATATTAATACTATTTTATCTGAAAATGGTGAAGTATGTTGGCAAGCTGTTACAGAGCATGTGTGCTACCTTGAATCAGGTTGGTGTTTACCTGCTGTAGTAGTGATATATTTAAGACTGATGCAGAATCTCAGTACAGTTCATAGCAATCATAGTTTAGTTATAACATTTTATTACAGTACAGCGTTAGCTTTGCTGCAGATTAGAGTACATACAGTTGATATCTGCAAGGAGCTTTAAATTTTTTCATCCACGTTTGGTATTTGGTTATTGTTGGCTCATGTAATCTGTGCTACTTCAGTAGCTGCTCCTTTGCTTCCTCATTCATCTTGGTTTTCACCTTCATGTGCCTGTACATAAAGGGTTCAATTTGTTCCTCTTCTGCCTCATAATTTCTTTATTCTGTGTTGTTTATATCCCTTTTTCAGTAAATTTAAAACATTCTAGGGCCATCAGTATTCCTACTGTTGCTTCTGGTTTTGATTTCCCCAACTTTAGCTGGTACAGAAGTACTGTTTGGTTTCCCTTCTGTATGTAGAACAGTTTATAGCTGTTTTTTAACCAAAACAAAGTATGCCCTGATGAACTTGTTGAATTTTAAATTGCTAAATTGCATCATGCAAGCTCTGTCATTAATTTCCAGAGATGGCAAAAAGATGGTACATGTTTCTGCCTCAAGCAGTATATTTCAGTACATGAGAAGAATTTATTCTCCTATAAAAATGTCCCACCAAAGAGGAGCAGTGATCCCGCTCTGTAAGGTACTTCTGCCTTCTTTAAAAGGTGTAAGTGGTACAGGTTGACTGATCCTTCTGAACCTGCACCATCTTTCAACTTGGTTATGTGGAATTTTTGTACTCTAGCAGGTAGTAGGTTCTTCCCATTTCAACAAAACCAAAGCATAATAATCCTATTTATTTCCATATTTTCTTGCATTAAGGTTGTGTTAGGTTTTGGGTTTGGCTTTTGGTTTGGTTTGGTTTTTTGTTTGTTTTTTTTTTTTTTTTTTAACTTGGAGAAGGTACTTGATAGTATCTGGGTTCACACTGCACTTTTAATTTCTATATCATATCTGTGTGGTCTTTTGGTCAGTAAACTGTTGTATATTAGGTGTGCTAAAAAGTCTGAATAAAATTCTCTGTGCCAAATACGTACACAAGCTGTAGCAGGTTTTACTCTTTGTGAGTTTTAAAATATTGGATCTTCAGGAAGTTTGGGCCTCTAATCACCTTTTGTTTTTCAATTTAAGATCAAAGTGTGGATTATATCAAAAGCATACGATCATTAGGACCTGTATGTGAATCTGTTAATTTGCACTTCAAATCTCTGACCAAGGAGCAATTTGTAATTCAGTACGCATTATGGTTCCGCTGGACAAACTGCACAGAGGTATGGAAATGTCTGTTGACAATTTGTATTTTGGCACATTAACCTTCTGTGGAAATTTAATGTAAGAACACACAAGAGATATCAATGAACCAAAATACTTAGAATTTGTAACTAATTGTCCCTCTCTGATACATAGTTGCTTCTAGTATTCCTGACTTTGTAAGTAGATTTTATATAAGTTATCACAAAGAGAACATGAGGTGCTTTGGGCCTGTTCTAACCTAAATTGGTAGGATTTTGGTTTTCTATTACTGTGTGCTTAATACCAAATTTTACTGTGTAAAGTTATTGTTGATAATTTTTATAGATGCAAGGCACTAGATGCATTGCAACTAAAAATACAGGAGGTGGTCTAGGGCAATTACTTTAGAGACATCTGGAAAGATGCATGCTTTTCTTTCTACATTTGCATAGCAACTATCACAGAGGAATATTTAGGTTTCTGTGCTTCTGACAATTTTATTTTTCCTTCTGAATATTTAACACAACATTCTTCCTCTTCCCCATCATACAGTTATTTCTTGAAGTATTTGATGTTCTACAATATACACAAAATACAGAAGTTGCTCTTGGCTTAATGAAACTAACATCGTGCTTGGAGCGAGCCTTGGGTGATGTAAGTGCCGGCATGAGGAGTCTATTGCAGATTTGGTTTTATAAGATGGGAATGAGCTCCTGGATTTAATTGAATATTGAAAAAGTGAGATTACCCTGTACTGTAGTAGTACACTAGTAGCCCAGCTTCATTTTGAGTTGGATAGATGTTCTTTTCTGGATCCGGTTGTGCTAATGGGAACATATTGTGGGGTTCCTTCACCTGTGCTGGTAGAGTTGCTTGTGTGAGTGCTGTTACTAACCAGTTTCATTAAAAAAGACCAAAGTTTGCTTAATCAGTGTACATATAGTAGGCCATTGTTACTCTGATTTATTTAATTGAAACATGGAGCAGCATACCTTCCACAGAAGTTCTGATGATGTAGCTTCTGTGAGGAGAGGCAGGAGCACACTGCTAGATAACTTATTTCCTCAGAGCTCTGTTTGCAGAGTCTACATCTGTTTAAATGCTTTCACACAAGTCTTGTGCCACAAAAGCATCTAGAAGTCAGATAACAACTTAAATTCTTGACCTAACTGATCAGCTGGATAGATTTAGGATCCATCTTGTTCTCCTGAATGTTTGTCTTGTTAACACATTCCTTCTTTCATTTACCCTGTAGTAGTTAGTAAAAGTATGCACTCTTGTTAAGCTTAAAGAGTAATACTGCAGGAGTTCCATGACCAGCATGAGGCGAGGATATGAGATATGACTTAGACTTAGGAATTCTGACTGCTATTAGGAAACTTGTATTGTGAATCTTTATTGATGGAACGTGAATTAAGCTATAGTTCAACGTTTGGTGGTGGCACTGCTAAAGTTTGTTCAATCACTCTTCACAGTCATCTGCTTTGTTTGCTGGTATGTTATGTGAATGCAAATATTTTAAGGCCTAGTAGCAAACTAGATTGCTGAATTGATCCAGGTACCTTTTGACCTTTTTCCCCTACCCCCGTTTTTGTTTTTCATCTGCATCGATGCCTTGATCTGCTTCACTGCCTGACCACAGAAACAGATGTCACCACTACTTATGGGTGTGCAGGTTAGGGAGGAGGGAGCAATGGCTGTTTTCAGAGGCTTTGCTGCTGGAGTGTATTGCTCACACATAAGATAAAATAGCTGGTTGTTTAATCTATATGAGGAGCTTTGGAGAAGGAAATGCTAGAGAAGGACAATGGGCTAATTCACACCTAGAGAAACCCAGTTTGCCAAAACATGGGGAGTGGTAAATTCTGAAGTAATGAAAAATTACTAAAGATTACGAAAAACTGTCAGGGAGGATACAAAGAATGGAAGGCTTCATAGTGGTTGAAACTAAAGATGCTGAGGTTGCCCAGCTAGCATAAAATCTAGTTTAAGGAACAGCCAGAATCAGAAGATCAGTCACAAGTCTCCTTCTTTAACAATTACAGACTCAGAGATTTCTAGGGTAAGAATGAGGTATGGTGTCCTGGATTCCCTTAATTATGTATTCTTATTGTGCTTTACTTTTTTGTTTTGTTTTTACCTTTTTTTTTTTTTGGGGGGGGGCGGGGTGGGGGAAAGAGGAGCAGTAAGTGTGCAGACACTGTGAAAAGCCTAACTATGGAACATTAAGTAGGATATCCACTCTTTCCTGATATGTTTGTAAATTTTGTCATGAAATTACAGAATTTAAACCCTTTTTAATGATTTGGTTGATAATGTTTGATTAGTGTTTTTACAATAATGAAAATGGTTACTGGGTGAAATAGTCAAGTTGTATGTTTGAAATAAAAGTATACTGAATTACTTACGTTATCTGTTTTGCTTTTTTTAATAGGTATATTTACTGATTGGTAAAGATTGCCCTTTCCTTCTAAGAGACTTGCTTGCTTCTAAGCAGCTTGCAGTTGTCTTTGGACAACCTGTAGTAAGTGCATAATTTTGAAATGAGTAATAAAAACTGAGCTGGTTTTCTTCTTGACAAATGGCAGGTTTACAATCATAGCCTTTGCTTGCACTGAAGAAGAGTTTGCAAATTCTGTAGTATATTAGAAAAACTTTAATTTTATACATGTTACAGTCTGGGGGATATATGGCAAAAATAGTGAATATTGTAAATGGAAATATATTTAAAGGCGAGCTCATAAGTTCTTATTTGATTTTCTACATAAAAAACCTACATGTGTAAAATTCCACATATCCATCAAGGGGGTGAGCAAGCTGCAGAGTTGCCCGCCTCTTTCTGAATTGCAACACTTGAAAATACACATACTGCGCTGGCTGTTTCTGATAAACTGTGTTCCCCTTCACCACCACTGTAGTAAGATGCTTTATAATGTTTACCACACCAGAATTTTTCAAAATAGAGGAAACTAATTTATTCCCCATGTCAAAAAAACCCAAAACAAAACAAAAAAAAACAAACAAACAAACAAACAAAAAAACAATAAAAAGAAAATTCTGATGGCATTTATACTCTTGTATAAACAGAATAGGTGGTCTTTCTCATACAGTTTTACAAATGTAAATTCTTTGTTAGGACAAAATATTGGATGTGAACTGTAGAAGCTTATATTGTTAGTCAGCCTAGTAGTGTTATAAGGATTATTTATTGAATTTTGATGGCATGTGGAATAGTTCAATTCTTACAGTTACAAAATTAAAAAAATTAAAATTTCCCTTTTGTGGGATAGTGATCTGTGAATACAGCTTTGAATACAGATTCTGTGTTTGAAATTAATTTGTATTAAATTATGGTGAATTTATACTACAAGAAGTAAGAGCTAAACTTGATCTCATTTGTTTTTCTGTCATAACTGTTTGGAATGTCTAATGATGAGTTTTGTTCTTCACATATTATATTATATTATATAGCATGTATAAATAAGCTGAAAGATTTCCTTTCAGAGAATACTGGGAATTGCACACAATGAGTTACTGTTACTGTGACAAGCTATGGCCAGTCATCTTGATGGTAGACATTGCAGTTTCTCAATAACTTCTGAAACTTTCTGTCAGGGAAAGATTCAATGTAATAAATAATAGATTTTTTCATGCAGTAATCACTTTGTTTATTAATTAGATGAATGTACTGAGGGTATTCATTGGATCTCCATATGGTCTGAATCTTCGTAATGTTTTGTGGCATGGGTTTGCATCCCCACAAGAAATTCCTGCAAAGTAAGTTACCAAAAAGAATCTCATTTTCTTACCAGTCAGACTTGAGAGCGCTTGAGAAGCTGTTAGTAAAACTACTCTTACTGAAAAAAATTTAAAAATTTAAAAAGAAAAAAAAGGTCCAAAGGCCTCTGGCAATATCCTGACCATTTTCCTCTGCTGCTGCTGCTTCTTTTGGAAAGGGATTTCCATAGAATACTTCCGCCACTATAAAGCTGGTCAGTTTTAGGACCAGTGGGTTTTTTAATAGCAAGAAAAGTAAGAAAGCTTAAGGTCTTTTTTTTTTTGAAACCTGGTTCCTTGTCTGTCAGGGCAGTCAGGAGTAACTCATAACAAAAGGCAGAGGAATGGGGTAAGAGGATGGGAATCAGCAGCCAATAGAATACACTGATGCTTGTTTCCTAATTCTGCATTGTTCTTCATGCTTGTGAATGTAATTAATTAAGTGCCCCTACTTAAAAGAGATGGGGAGCATAGGTTTTAGATGTTCTTTACAAGAGCAAAAAGCCCTTTGTCCTCAACCCACAGATGTTGATTCTTTGCAAAATATTTAGTTGTGTAAGTGTTTCTAATCTATTATGATATTCTCCCTAGATATTGTGCTATGCCTGCTTTTTTTAACTGCAATTGGGTCAGTTGTTACAGACATATCTTCTGCAAACTAAATGCATCTTAGTACATCGACCTTATGTGATCTTCCTTAACTTAGAGGAGCTTGATGTATTTCCAGGCAAGTATTTGACCATTAGCAAGTTTTATTATGCTATATTTGATATTGTTTCATTGTCCAAAATTGCTGTTGAAAATAATGCATTTTCCACAGTTCTGGGATTCATCTTAAGTAAGCTACAAGTATACACTGTCATTAGATGAATCAATCATGCTTGTAGGGCAACTTTTTAATATGTAGGCAGTTCCACTGGCTATTGAATCAAAAAATACTGCATTCTAATATAATTGTAACACATTGAAATGTGTAATGTTACTGCTTCTGAAAGACTTCAATTGTATGTTTCAGTTTTTTGATGATGAGAGTTCATTTCATGTGACAGTTATCTAGTTTGCCTTTACAAGATCTAATTCTTTCCAGAATCAGTGAGTTCCAGCTGCAAGTGTCCCAGCAGGAGTGCCCTACATCTTACAGGGAAGGTAGTGTTGAAACACAGTAAAGAATGGTGACACATCTTCAGTACACTGGTGCTTTTCTCAGGGAAGGATCTGAAGTGTCAGATAAAAATCTTCGCATCTCCCTGGCTGTAGACCTTATTTGGTTTATTCCTACTATTTTTGAAGCAAAAACAGCATATGCAGAATCTTGGTGTCAGTGGTGGTCATAGTCAGTTTGTGCTACATAATCAGTTTACCAGTGGAACTTCTGTTCATGGAACTGAGACAGGGCTTTTAGGAAAAAAGTGAAACTGATAGCGTTCCAATCATCATGTAGTACAAATCCTGTAGCTGTTGATTTGCTTCATAAAACACCTACTGCAATTAAGTTGCGCTTGCCATTTTAAGCTTTCTCTTGATATTTATAATGTAAATTCATAAGTGTGAGTTTCATTATTGACATATGACGTGTTAATTTATTATACTAAATAATGACTTTTTAACTAGTCTTACTCTGTAATTTTATATTATCACTAAAAATGCAATCTTACAAGTTCAATTTCTGAATTTATATATGACTACCATTGTACTTGCGTAATTAAAATAATTTGGATAACTTAAATCTCCCTTTACAAATGCTGAAATAATCTTATATTTTCAGTGAAACATTAAGAATTCAGGAAACGATAGATTGTATTTAGTGTATAAATTTTTTTTTGCTAACTTGCAGATCTTAATCATGAAACACTTTCTGTAGCTGAAGAGCTAGTAAAACTGTCCAGTTTTGTATTAAAAACAATGTTGCCATTTTGGATGGCTGCTTTAACAGCTTTCAAGCAAAGCAGGTAACCACTGATTTTTTTTTTTTTTTAATTATTTTTTAAAATGGAATGTAAAAATAATCTATGCTTATAGAATAATAGCAGCATTTATAGATTACATATATATAGATTATTTAGCTTTTTGCTTAGCAACATACACTTATGTATTGTTATGGTGGTCTCTCAGTAAGTTTGTGGACTTACTACTTTATTTAGTGCCAACCAGGATTATAAACTATTTGAAACCTAAAAGAACTATTGCAGATGTAGCCAAAAAGGAGAGTTTTACAAAGCAAGTGGAAACAAATTTTCAGCTATTAACATTTTGAGTTAAAAAAAAAAAATTGTTTTCCTCTCCCATGCTTCACCTTTTGTAAGTTATTGTCAGCTCTGAGCTGGTTGAATTCCGTGGTCAGCTTCTGTTGGGCACAGGTAGTCATTTATTGTTTGTTTACAAAGTGCATTACAAAGGAATTTTGATCTGGGTTGTTTAGCCTGAAAGTGTAACTCTGAGATGGCTGTAATTTCCATTTGGATTATATTTACAAGGAGGGAAAACTCCTTTGCATACGTCTGTTATTTTTTCCAGGTATGCTGACTCTGTGATTCTCTTACTTCCTCAGCTGGAAGTTGGACTTAGATTGCTCTTCACTACAACTAATAAATGTCCAAATCGATTGCTAACAGCTGAGGTAAAATTTCTGTCTAGAGTCATTATGATTTAGTGCTAACAATATTTGCAGAGTAGTAATTCTAGAAGCATAGTGTCTAAACATTTACCAATTTTCACTCAAAGTTTCTTGATCAATTGTGAAACAATGTTTATAAATTTCCAGTAGAGTTTCATGAATGCCTCTTATTTTTTTGTAAAGATGTCTGCCAGTAAAAGAGGTCTGAAAAAGTTCTTGAACATTAGTGTTCAGAAACAGTAGTTTAGGTTGGAAAGTAGATCATGTTATATTTATTTTTAAAAACTTGACACAAAATTCAAAAGTCTCTTTTTTTTTTTTTAAGGGTTTGGGGTTTTTTTGCTATTCATGCACCTCTGGTATCTCATGTAAATGAATAAATAGTTTGGTATACATATACAATTAATTGTTTTCATCTGACAATCAAATAATACTGTCTTTTGTTCCAGCCTTCTGCTCTCTACACCACTTTCGATGAGGTACTTGTGATCTTTTTTTTTTAAAATATATCAATGTCATAATTTAAGCACATGAATGTTTTCCACTACTAGAGATCAGAAAGCACTTTCCTGTGTTGGATAAGACATTATTTATAATTTTTTTCCAAATAGCTGATGGACAGTGAACATTTAAAATTTGGAATCCGTCAAAAAATGTCAGACTTTAATTTCTTCAAAGTGTTTCTATCTTGAAATTCTTCATCTCATGGAAATAAACATTCTGTCCTTTTTCCTAGATTCAGTTGTTCAAAATAAATACAAATAAACATTATAAGCAGATATCCTCAATTTTACAACTCTCTTGAATTATCTGGTCTGTCAGTAATAATTAGGCACCTTGATTCTTGAGTGGCAGAAATAATTGCTTAAAGTTAGAGAAACAATTACTTTAGTTGGTGTTTTTTCTTTGATGGTGTGACTTTCGATAATAAGTTTCTAATCAAATTACTTTTTTCTAGATTCTAGCAAAGCATTTGGATAATGAAGAAGTCAATCAGCTTCCTGCAGTTCTTGAGGAACCTACAATGGCAAGTTATTTGAAAGTTTTGTGTTTTTTTCCTTGTTGTGTTTTTTTGTTTTGTTTGTTTCTAAATTTAATTATATATTTATGATCATGCCTAATACTCATTTATTTCACATAGCTTATCTCCAGCAGTTTAGAACCAGAAGCTTGTTACCCTTTTTCATTGTGAAGGATACAAAGTAGTACCTGACAAGCTATATTGGATTAGCATATAAGACTATCTTTCTGAAATATAGAATCCTCAGAGATATTGATCTTTAGACTTCTGAAGATCAGCTGAGTGGAGCAGAAGAAAAACTGAAGCTTCATACAGGGAGAATTAAAACTTATTTCTGATTGCTTCTGGGATGCATCTTATTCTACCTGGTAGATGGCACAAAACATAGATGCAAACCTACCAGAGTACATCCTGCATCTACCACCCAAACAGATAGTGAAGGTGAAAACTAGGGGTGTTGTATTTAGAGGCCCTTTGAGGCTGTAGGGCACACCTGAGTTTATTGTCCTGTTGCCAGAGGCAATGGGGCTGTGGAGGACTTGGGAGACAAAAATGAAGGAATTCTGCTGTTATCTCTCACAAAACAGCATGTATGTTAGTTTTGAATCTCCTCAGAAGCTACCAAGATGGATAAGTTGCCCGTTTTTCTTGCTATGAACATAATTTGCTTTTTTTTTTCTGAGCATCTAAATGCCCCTTTTGTATATAGACATGATCACATACTTATCTTTCAGAGGTATTCTATACACAGAATATATTCTATTATATGTGAATACAGATTGCTTCTATTCTATGTGAGTACACATAGAATAGAATTCTATATGCTTGGTGTATGTTTCCACAGGAATTTCTTTGGGATTTCTTGAACCACCAGGAGGGTCCACGTTTAAGAGATCGTTTAAGCCATGGAGAGATCAATCTAGAAGCATTTCCCAGAGAAGTAGCTAATCAGATAGTTGCATTTGCAATTACTCTTCTCTGCAGATTCTCAGATGTGGACATGCTTGCTTTTAAGGTAAGGATCAATATTACCCTCAGAAGATTTTTTTCAGTTATTTTGGATGCCTAATCTGATTTTAGACAGTCTTATGACTGAATCGTTCTTGACAGCAGCTTTTTGTGGAAATGAAGTATTCCTCCAAGTAAAAAATCGTGAAAGTATGTTTTTTTCTAGATTTGTAGTGAAATAAGTGAAATTAATTTTATTTGTCAAATTTTGTTGATACCTAGCGTTGGTATCTGTTGAATTATCTGAAAGGTATGTAAAACAACTGTAGCTCAGCCACTGAGTGATGTAATATTTGAGATTTTCTTTCTCTAAGACACTGTAAATAATGGTGGCTCGCTGATGGAAGTGTGATTTGTATCCACACTTTATACTGTAAATTTGTGAACACTTTTTGTCCATCAGTACATGTTTATGAACATTAGCAATTATTATACTTGCTCCCCTCAATTTCCTGTTGATATTTGGGATTACTTCTTCCAATATCATAGAGCAACCTGTGAGATAAATCTTCCATTAATTAGTTGTACCTCTTTTTAGTTTTTTCAAGATATATTGCATGCTGCTTCATTAAGAGAATACTTGGTTCTTTTCTGTTAGCTGCTGTCAGGTTTCATAGTTAAAATGTGTCAAAGAAATTAAGCTTTAAACACTCACTGTGCTGATTACTGCTTTCAGCCCTCAGACGTTTGGAAGTCTTTATTGACTTCAGTACTATAGGTGGCTTGCATAAAATTAAGTCTAGGTCTGCATATGATTAGGACAGTTTAAAGAAACTGTTTTGTATCATCTATGATTTTGTAAATCAGGAACACATGATTATAAAACTGCTGATGAACTGTGCAAGTTGCTACCGTTCTCGATTTCATCCAGTTTCCCGACTCAAGAAACAGGTAGGTACTTCCAACTGTGAAAGCATTTCAGTCATTAAAGTTGTGAAACCTTAAATTGGTCTGTTATCTTCATGCTTTGATCGTCCTAAAAACTTACAATCTTACATATTTTTTAAATAGGCTTTTTAGTTTTATCTTTCAGAATTTACTGGAATTTACAGTTTCTAAAATGGGATGTAATTAAGCATGCTTCTGTGATGCAATTAGTGCTGTGTTTCTGCTCCAGATCACGGAATTACTTTATTGTTACATTGTGTTTGGTGTTCTGTAGTTTTCTTAATCTCCTTGTACTTTCTTATGTCAAGAACACTGGCCATATCTAGGAATCTTGGATTAGGCTATAACTGAGGTTTTTATTGAAAGCCATATGGCTAAGATTCAGTCACTGTAGGAAAATCTGCTTTCAAGTTGTGGTAGTGTTCAGCTGATCAGTTTATGAATTCCTGAACTGCTTGAAGATGTTCCTCTTGACTTGAGATTGCAGTAGACATACTTAGTACTTTTCATTTTCAACAGCATTCAAACCATATGTTAGAAAATTCATGTTAGTTAATTTTTTATATTTAAAAAAAATGGAAGAAAGAATAGTAAATTAGCTTATTCAGATGTTGTTTTAGCATGAAAGTGTACATCAAGTCTTTTTGCCCTAACATAAACCTTAACAACTGATGTCAGCTTACACATTATGACTACTGAACAAGTAACTTACTACCTGTTGCAGTTTTTTCTAAAATAGCTGCTAGGAAGAGTAAAATATGTTGTTCTGTCTGTTAAAGGCTACGCTTTACATAACATTTTTCATGGTTAATTTCTGAGGTGCTGGAATGCATGAAGAGCATTCACTTATGGCCTGAATTGCCAATAGTGCCTGAGGAACACGTTCAAATGATTAAAGGGTATGTATATGCTGTTAAAAAAATATAGTTCTCAAAATACTTAAGAATGGGATTTGAAATGGTGAAATGTCTCTTCAAATACTTTACTAGGAAGATGATAGATACCAGAGGGGTTGTACATTTGTTCTTTTTAGCTTATTCTGTGCTATACACATCAGTTACAGATACTATAAAAGCTATAAACAGTACACTAACTTGAAGGAAATGAGAAGACATCTGAAACCTACAATGGTGTTGGTGACTCCATATTCTATTTCTAAAGAGATGCTGAAGGGTCTGTTAGGAAGTTAAACTAGAGCTTGAGTCCATTACAGTTAAAAAAAAAAAAAAAAAAAAAAGGTGGCTCACCACATGTAAAACAGAATAATTGCTTATTCTGAAAAGAGCTTGGTGACGAAATCAGTGGAAGACATAAGATATTACTTAGAAAAACAAGGTAACATTCTCTTGTTATTTGAAAAGGAGGAAGTCATTATTAATATCACTTGAGGAAATTGTGCTTGTTTAGAGCTGAGAGGTGAAAATGCAATGCATCTAGCATATACTCAATGTACTCAATGTTATGTGGGATCTTGATGAACGGAGGATTAAGAGGGGTTCAGAAGTCTGTTGAGACTGAGAAAAGGTTGGGTTTAGTTGGAGGAAGAAAATCACAAGGTAAAGAACCGTAGTGTCAGAGAGTGAGAGCAGACATTGAATACACTGCTATCCAAAAAATCTGCATCTCAATCTATGCCATTTGAGAAATAATAGGTGCTACACAGTTTTACCATCTCAAATCTTATTTTTTTTCTTTTGTTTTTAAGGTTGGAAGGAAATGCTGGAGCTAGTACTTTAATTTTTATGATATCTGAACTTATATCTCAGTTGCAGCAATATATGCCCCAGAATTGCTATAGATCAGATGATCTAATCAATAGTGTCCTAACAGAGAGGTGAGTTTGATGTTCTCCCAGTTCCTGCCGTCAGCTTCTATGTGCAGCCCAGCACAAGAACTCGCAAACCTAAGTTACTCATTTCCCTGTTTTTAGAACAATACTTGAAATGTTTAATGAACTTTTCTAATGATGCTGTTTGTTCAATCTAAAAATCTTAAGGATGTAGCTGAACATCATCTTCAAAATGAAGATGGGACATTATTATGGAGATTTTACTTGGAAATTAGCATTAAAAAAATAACCATTTTTCTTTCAGACTGGGGAAGCAAAATGTTTTAAGTATTTATGTACTGATTAGATTAAGTTGATTTTAATCTGTTTTGTGTGCTAAAACTGCCTCAGAAATTTATTTTAATGTGCTTGGTGTCACAACTGTTCATAGCATTTAAAATAGTAATATGCTGCTACATAATTCTATTTTGGAATCTTGATGCTAAAGCATGTAAGAATAGAAGATACGTTGTTGTGCTTGTCAGACTTGGAGGTATGTTAGTTCCAATTATACCTGACTTGGAATAATGATCAAAATAATTTTGCTTTTAATCGGCACTCTTATAGCAGTTTCAAGAGTCCCATGACTGAATGAACACATTGGAACAAAACTCTTCTAATCAAACACATGAGGCATGGTCAAGGTAGTACAAAGAGGATTTTACCTGATGCTTTACTTATGTAGGCTGTGTGCCTTCTGTTTCCTACCTACCTATCTGCACTTTTCTATTTATGAGAAAGAAGCCTAATTACTAAAATGTTAAAGCATTTTTAGTTTTCTGCCTTTATCACTTTTAGTCATTAATGTTTTGCCAACTCAGAGATAATTTGAGCATAAGGGAGATTAGGAAACATTTTTATAAGAACAGAGTGTTTAAAGTGATGTGTGACACATTAGGTTAACAGATTAGAATATGCCAGGGAGTACAGTGATAGGATGGAGGGTAACGGTTTTCAACTGAAAGAGGGTAGATTTACATTATATGTAAGGAAGAAATTCTTCACTGTGAGGGTAGTGAGGCGCTGGAACAGGTTGCCCAGAGAGGTGGTAGATGCCCCCCCCTGGAAGGGTTCAAGGCCAGGCTGGACGGGGCTTTGAGCAACCTGGGCTGGTGGAAGGTGTCCCTGCCTGTGGCAGCAGGTTAGAACTGGATGATCTTTAATGTCCCTTCCAACCTAAAACATTCTGTGGTTCTATGACAGTAGAAAGCTATTTGGGTGCTTTAACAAATCATTATCTGGTGTGGTGTTGATTAAAACAACGGCCTCACCACCTGCATTTTACAAAATGTTAAGTCTGTCTGTTGTTCTGCCCGGAAGAGAGACCACACACTAATGGGAGTTCTAATTGATACCATTTGTTTGAGTGAGTTTTATTATGGTGGATGTTAATTCATTGTGAATTGAACTATGGTGGGAAGACTTCAACCACAGCCCTGCTGTGATTTGATGTGTTCAGTGTATCATTTCAGCCAGGCAGTTTTGTTTATTGTGGTTTTATTTCTTTGATCTCAAATGAGAAACACATTCATCACCAGCAGTTTTGCATTTAAATTCAATAAAATGATAGAGAACACAATCACTACCCCTACTACATAGATCCTTGCTTTTCTTCAGTTATGAGGTAAGGGTAGTCTGTTTCCAGGTTTTCTGAGTTAAAACATTATGAATCAAACCACACCAAATATGAAATGTATCTCATGTTAAATCCAGATGTCAAAAGGTTGAAATTAACAGTTCCTTCCTGTCTTGCAGATTCTTAATTGAACTTTGTGATACACGTATTTGCACACTTTATTCACCGCGACCTGTTCTGGAAATGGTGGTGGTACTCCGTAAAATAAGCACACAGTGCCATCAAGTGTCTGAGCAAGTTATTGCCAGCACCGAGTTGAGATATGAACAGTGGATGAACAAGACTCTACGTTCTCGCCAGAGGCATAACTATCTACGAATGTTGAACAGGTTGGCTGATGGCTTTTCTTTACTTTGTGGTTAGGCTTATGAGAAAGTGGCTATATGCTGTTGTTACCAGCTTTCAGTGTTTTGTCTTAGAAGTTTAAAGTTAACAGTGTGGATGTGTTCTTGTCAACCATTTCAGAGTTATCAACCCAGATTTCTATTGTGTAGTAATATTGAAATAACAAGAAAATTTCAAATTGGTGAGTAATGTAACGGCTATTTTTAGCATTGCTAGATTAATTCACTGTAAATTATAAGCTTTCAAATAAAAGTATAATTTAAACGTTAGATTGCATTTTTTAGTTGGTAGCTTTTTCTATATAAGCATATAAATACCATTCCAGTTTTATCTGAATGCACTAGGTTAAACTGATTTCAAGACTCTATCTACTTTAATTCTGTTGCTTTTTATCATTATACTGAGTCAGCATCTTTATAGGTAGAAGAGAGATTGTTTAGTATTCTATTATTTTTGTTCCTATTCAGAAGTGCTTTCCAGGGATTTATGAAAAAACCTAGGAAAACTGTAAATATTGTATTCTTGGCCAGGTTATGTTCCCAAAAATGTTAACCATATTATTTGAGAAACATAGCTTAAACTGATAGCTGACAATACATATTTGCAATTCAGTTGAATGGTACTTTACTACTCTATGAAGTAATGGGTGCTGGTGAGGTTTCCTTTGGAATCTTAACTATATCTGTTTCTCTTTTTTCCTCTTTTTGGGGTTTCATAAATGATGGACTTCATTTATAGCTTAGATATTTGCTCAGCTCTTTGCTGAAGGACTTTTCATGGTCTTCCTCCCCCAGCCCTCAATATGCAATATCCAGCTATTTAGAATGGATGCAGATGTTTGAAGAATTGGTTTCTATTAATGATTCCTATTTAAATTTGGTTTACTTTGTTTATTTTAAAATATTTTTTCTTATTTCTAGCATTAAATTTTTGTCTCCAGTGTTGCGGCTCATCTTGATGTTGATTACTCTGGAACTAGTCAATGTTCATTTGGTTTGTAAGAAGAATCCTTTTGATTATCAGCAGTATCTAAAGTGAGTAGATAAGATTTATTTGATGAAAATAGGAAGTTGTACACATTCCTTTTTGATCTGTAATATAAATCCTGTAGAGAAAAAAATAAAAAGGAACAGCATGACTTTTAGTACGTTGTCATCCTTCTTTCTATCATTTTAATCATAATTATATCTCAGACAACGTTCATTCAAGAACTAAAATAACTTAGTTGAAAATGTATTGTCCAGTAATTCACAATTTTAGTTTTGATTAGACTCTTCCTTAGTATAAATAAAGAATGATCACACACTCAAGAAATATTAACATGTTGGTAATTTTACTCCTTGTATGTCACTTAGCAGCTGGCTAGATATCATAGGCATTGTGAAACATTTGACTGAGGAAGAAGAGAAAGCCATTTGGGGAAAATTCTATCACATTTTATCACCGTATTCTGTCTATGGCAGTGCTTTAATTGCAGTTCTTAAAATCATCGCTTCTTACTATGAAAATGACAGAGTGGTTCTCTTCCAAAAGTAGACGAAACCTTAATGCATTGATCATCCTGAGAGAGATTTGAAAATTTAGAGACATTAGCAGCTGTACATCAAGCATTGAGATATTTTTCGTTAATTCTTTTTTTCTATTTAAATCCTTTATTGAGTTTTTCTTCTTTGGTTTTATTTCTTTCAGGTTTTTGAAGTCAATCTTGCAGTATACTGAGAACTTGGTGACATACACAAGCCCTGAGAAAAACAAGTGGGATGAAACCATGGAGCTTACAAACAAGGCTTTGATAAAAATAAGGAAAATCGGTGACAGAAAGCTAATGTTAATGCAGCTAGCTACATAAATTAAATGGGTTTAAGATTATTTGGACATTGCTATATCTTAAGAGTTCTGGAGTCTTCAAATTTGCCAAATCTAATACAAAGACAAACTTCATCAGTCATTGTCAAATTTTACATGAAAAATTTAGTCTTTTTATTAGAAAATGGCTTTGAGACTAGAGTCGAATGATTAAGCTTCCAAAGAATGGACTGGTTACCAAACCCAGTGAAAAAGATTTATTGTGAGCTAAATGTTGAGGATGCAAGTTCTACTTTAAGTGTATTATGTGTTTTGTAGCTTAATTTTTTTTTTTTTTTTTTTTTTTTTTTTTTTTTTTAGTTTTCTATTATGCTGAAAATACCAAAGAAAAGATTGTGAATAAAAGCTTTGGAAAATTTTAAATCCAAAAAGTCATTTTTTACTTTAAAATATACTGGAAATAATGTCAGGCACTGTAATCAACAGGTTAAGAAGAATAAAGGTTGTCCACTGTGGTTCTTTGTTATTAGTTCAAAACAGCCAGGTCTTGCACTGAGGTAGAGCTGGTAACAGAGTAACCAGTTGTTTGTATACCAGGATTTAAAGGAGGCAGTGTGAAATAACTTTTGCACAGTACCTGCTTCTTTTGTTTAATTTCACCTGCTCATTCCCAGTACGTACCTAGTTAGTTAGTGAGTTAATTTCATGCAGATTAAATATGAACACTCAGGTGCACACGCTTACAGACACACATGTATTGTGGTTCAAAAAGTTATTCTCTTGTTACACACAACATTAATTTGAATAATTTATTTTTTCAAAACAAGTTCTCCTCCTTTCCCTTCCCCAAAAAGTAGAATTTCAAAGGAATGCATTAGTTGAAGAACAGATTCACAAAAGACTGCAAATCTCTATCCATTTGCTTTTTCCTATGGAGAGTAAAACCAGAGGGTAATGTCTGGAGAATGTTAGGCTCTACAAAGGATTAGAGATTCAAATTACATTTTAAAAAGATTCTTTGCAATGTTTCTTGACTGGAAATCACAGTGAGAGCGCAACTAGTTTGGTTTATTCAGTGTGGAGGATGGATATAAACTAAGATCATATTGCTTCCTTTATGCTACTCTTGCAACATAGTGTGTGTGTTTGAAATTTAACTATGTTGCTTTTCAAGGTTTTTTTATTACTATGGAACTAAATGATATGATGAAGTGTGAACTAGATAAAAAAGATTAAAACTAGAAATAGAGAATAATGTATCAAATGCAGTATAAGAGCCACATTCTGAAATTTTAGGTTTTTTTAACACCTGAGTTGGCAAATGCTAATCATATTTTTGAAGGCTTATTTGGTGCCCATTGAGTTTACTCAGATGTGTTAACTTCTGCTAAATGTAGCTTGGTAGTGACATTTGTGATGACTCTTGATTTGATGGTGATAAATATAGTAAGGGGGTGGATGATAAGTATTGTAAGGAAAAAAAATATTTAGGCTTTATATATTTATTGTAGGAAAGAGAACAAGAAATTAAAACACAGAGTCATGGTTTAAAAGTACATAAACAGCTGACATGCTTTCTTCTTTTGAAAGTATGTTCATGTACTGAAAAGTAACCTTATAGACCATAAACTTATGTTTTCAACATAAGTTTTCTTTCATGTATTTAAACTTTGCTAAAATGATCTTGCATACGATTCTCTTCATATGCTGCTACCTAAGATGGAGCACATTGACAGTGTCTCCTGTACTAATTAGTGCCATAGATGTCACTTGCTGCTTTAAGTCTGCAATAAGAAGCACGATGGACTTCTCGCAATTTTGTCGAAGATGCTTTTCCAGTTTGCTTTCCTACCTCTGAAGCTTTCTGGTGGGAACAGTGCTATGCTCTATTGTTAAACAAATCTGGAACAGACTGGGACAATCCAATTCATTCTGACTTAATGCTGTCATTTGCCAGTAGAGCTGCACGCGGGGCTTATGGTTTCTTCCTGCTGTTAAAAGACTTGCAGAATAGAGCCGCAGAATAAGTGCATATTTTACAATGCACATTGAAAAACAAATGGCAAGAGACATCGTAAAGATCATGGGGCTTGTCCTTTATCAGTTACTTGAAATGACTTCTCCAGTTATTCATCTTTGCCATCTGTTTGGAGTCACTTTGAGTTTTAAGATATTAGAAAGAATCTTGACTCTGAACACTCAGTATTCCTGAGAGCAAAAGAAGCTTGGAATAACCAAAGACACCCAGTGGGTACAACTAGCATGAGTAATGGCTGACAAAACACATCATGTTTAAATGCAAGTGTCCTCATTTTTGTTGTCCTAAAGGGAATTAGTTCTGGAGCTGAGCTGTCCAAAACTGCATAGTCATCCATTAGACATTCAATTAGTTCAATCTTTTTTTCAAAGTTATTTCAGTTTTGAAACTTCAAATATCTAGAATTGTACCAAAGAATGTTTTCTTTCAAGTGTGGTATTTCATCCAAGCATTACTTGCATCTGTTTTAATTGCTGACCTTGCTCACTGGGGTCTGCATTTTCCTGGAGCTAGTATTCACTCAGTGAATCTATACAGACAGATATGTGGAATCTTCAGCATCCTCTCAGGAAGGTGGTTGAAATATTTTCTTTATCTGGATAATGCTGATGGGAGGGTGATGATTCTTCAGTCAGTTCTTCTGAGTTGAATTAATCAATTTATGTGTGTGTTTCTGTATTAGTTAAAAATAGCTGAGAATTTCTTTATAGTACTTCCTCATCTTACAAGCTGATGTTAGGCATCCCAACTCAAAGAACTTATGGCAGAAGTTTTGAAAACATGGAAGAAAATCAGGTATACATCTTTTTTGCTAAGTCATTGGAATTCCTTTGTGTCTTCATGAATATTCCATCTAAATTGTAAGAGGAGCATCTCTAATAATTTTAGCTTTTCAGTAGTGACATGCAGTTCTTCTGCTTGCCTTCTACCTAAGGAGAGTTTTCAGGTGAGAGATGGTATTAAATAATAAGAAATTGAATGCTCTTAATTCAAATTGGAATGGATATAGTTTTAAAGTAAGTGTAGAGATCTTTTACTGCTTACTATAGAACTAGTGAAAATTAATGTTGTAGGAAGTCCTCTGAATCTGTTGTCTCCATCGTTATATGAATGCTTTCTTCATACACATAAACATTTGAAGAAAATGCAATCTCTGAAATAATTGTTGTAGCTGTGAGAACATTTGTGGGTTTTGGTACATTCTAGAGACCATCAAGATGAGCTAGAAGTTTACTGCGGTAGCACTGCACAAACACAATGAAACATCAATTACAGTAGGCATCTGTGTGTGGAAACAAAGCTTGTCCATTATTTTCTCTCTGTCATTCTCTAGTTAGTGCTCTCCACCATGATGATAGGAGGGGTTAGAAACAGAACCATGTGTTCTTATACAAATGTAACACAAGTGGCTAAAAATATTTAAAACCTCTTTGGGGTTGTTATCACTTGCATTACACAGCAACGTTTTACACAAGAGAGCAACAAATTTGACTTACTTTATCTTTTAATACTTATCATCTAGCTGTTTTCAAAGCCTGATCGTCTTTGAAATGAACACATGGTGGCAATGTTTGGTAATTCAAAATAGCGTTGCATCCTGACATTTACTTTCTTATCTCTCTTCTTAGACTGTGTATAAAGAAATTGAGTTTTCTTCTGACTTCCTCAGCTTTGTTATATGTCCCTTTAATTGTGGCTGCTGCTTCTGATGAAACTTTTCTCTCTTCGATTTCTCCAAAAGTGATATGAAACAAATGAACACCTCTGAAAAAATGTTTTGCAAACAGCATTCTAATAATTAGACAGAGATTAATCACTTTTACCACATTACTTGCTGAGGAGTTTTCAAATTTTCCAGAAATTCATCAAATCCCCCTCTCCTCAGGTAGTTTAAGAGAAGGAGTTTTTTGAACTTAATAGTTCGTTTTAACAAATTGTTGCTTATGACAAAACCTAAGAATGTATCGACATTCCTAAAAAATCCAGATTGTCCTTTGTTAATTGCTGTGATATCATGAAGGATCTTATCTCAAAAGCAAAACATATCTTTTGAACAAAATTAATGATTGTCAAGGAATGTGTTTATTGAGAAAATTGCTCTGAGGTCTCAGCCTTATTGCTGTGGTAATTATTTTTCAGTCTGTTAAAACTGAAATGTGCTATTCATATGCCATCCTGTGAAGAAGATATAGATGAGCACTGCTTGTTGGGTGGCCTTTGAAAACCTTGTCCACAGTAGCACTTCCAAATCATGCAGAGTGGTTGCAGTTAAAAAAGATTTTAATTCATATGAAGTAATTTTTGTACACTGTGAAATCTTGTGTAGAAATGTTGGAACATCCCCAGCAGAGCTTGTTTTTGCCTCATACTACATTAGTTCATCTGCTCCATGTATGGTATATCACCTTTTTTTCATAAACTGGTCTGCAGATGCAGAGCAGATTCCTGGCTAGCATAAGCTATTCCTGTCCCATCTACTTCAGTGCAGATCTTTTACTATACTAAGGATTTGCCCCATGCTGTTTGAGTTTCCCTTGAAATGGATTGGTTCCTATCTGTACTGCTTTTTCAGGTTTATGTATTTTCAGAGGACTGGAAGAGAGCACTATGTATTTCGAATAAAATTGCTGTGTAGCAAAGCCTAATTAATTTAGTGGCTTACTTCACAGGGGAGTTGGGATCATGTGTGGGACTTCACAGCTATATACCAAATTCTTAATTCTTTAATATTTTTATGTTTCAGAAAGAACTTCATCTAGAGTAGAAATCTGTTTTCTTTTTGAGGCTTTTTCAGAGACAATGCTGTAGGTTAGATCACCTGATTTTTGCTTTTTAAAAATTTTCAAGGATAAAAGCAGATCTTTTATTTAAGAAGTCTTTTAAGCCATATAGATTGTTCAGATAGAAATTGACTGAAAGGAAAATGCCTGTTGTTTGCCTTCCCTGGGCCCCAGGCAATAGGATGTAAATATGCGTAGTGAATACCATGTGAGATCAAACTGGCATTTTTTCTGAAGGTGAGAATCCAAGACAATATATACAATTAAAGCCAACAGCCTTGCCTACCAAAAGGAGTCCATGCCTTCTGGCATTCTTCACTGAATACCTCCTCTGTTCCTCTCCCATGTATATGCATCTCACAGTTTTCTACAAAAAAAAAAATATGCATAGTAGAACCAGCCAGCACCAGTTTCTTTTCCATGTTTTCTTTTCTCTGTAAGGGATTAGTTGTAGTAACAGATTTCATGTGCCAGAAAGTGGGTGAACATTAACTATTTTGTCAGGCACTGATCCTTCCCACAGCCCTGCAAAATTTGAAATGCAGGAATGGTTATTCATTAACATTTCTTTGTGTCTACAGGAAGTACATTTACTATGTAAACATGTTTTATATAGAACATACAGCTGTTTTGAACGAGCACTCAATGAAACATAAGAGTACAGTGCCTACACTGCCACTTCAGAAACTCTGAGATACCACAGCATTGTTTTGAAAGAGTCAACACACAAAGACTTTGCCTGGAAAAATAAATGGTGCAAGTTTCTTTTAAAAAAAAATGTATTTCCTTTAATTTGTTTGATTGTTTTGTATCTGAAATGCCTGGACACTGAACTATTGACATGCAGTCAATATTTAGAAGTGGGGTGGATAGGGGTGTGTTTCTAAAGTTCCTTATGCTGATTTTAGTAGAGATCCCACTACAGAATGAAAATTCAAGTGCCATCAGCTAGTCCACTTTTAATAGACTGTGGAGTATATTGACACTAGAAAAAAAACTTACTGCATGGAGAAAATGTGCTTAAAATAGCTAGAAGAATCAGGGGCCTCTTGTCCTGAGAATGTCAGTCTCAAATCTGGGAGGAGCTTTACTAGTAATGCTACTTCCTTCTGTAATAGGTGGAACTGTGTCTGCTACACCTCTCTGCAAGCAACTCCACTAGCTAAACTCCACCCTAAGTGCATTTTGTGGAGTGGAATGTTTTCTGAAAAAGTGAGGAATGTTTCTGTTTCCCAGAAACAGTAGTCAGGGTGTTTTGGCTGGGCTGCTGCCTCTAGGTGGCTGGAGCTGTTTTGCCCCTTCCGAGCTGTAGTATGGTGCATTCACCAAGGTACTTCTCAAACAGGCTGTACACCGCAGGCCCTTCCATGTAAAGTTTACCATTCCTAAGAACCACAGGACTGAGTAGCATGGGTGTGCTGTGGAGAGGGGCTATGTACAGCATACCAAGCCCTTGGAGAGTTCTCCACTGAACAACATGTTTGACATTGAGGTACCAAGTTAGCCAGCATTTGGACCGTGGGCTGGTGTGCTGTGGTTTTGTATTTGACCTTTAGCTGAGACAATCCTTGTTCAGAAAAGCCCAAGATGGGAGAAGGGGGTCTTAGTTGTCTAACCAGTGCACCTTCTAGGTGTAACTTTTATTCAGTGTTAAGGAAGGGAGAATGTTTCTAATTGTTTTAATGGGAAGATAATAATACTTTTAAGCTGGCATGATAGTACAATGATAGGCGATGACAATTAGATGAGCTCTTAAATTTTGGACCAACGGCCCGTGTGCAAAAGTGGGAGGTTAATTCTACACAGTAGGTAAAAAAAAGTAACCAAAAAATAAAAGCTGCAGTTGACCCTTCAGGATATAATGCACTTGTGTCAACATGGACTCTGCCCAAACATTGTTCTGCTGTGGAAGCAGCTGGATGCCCTGCCCTCTGGTTTACATAGCACCAAAGGGAAGGGGTAAGGAGAAATGATGTGAGGGTAGAGGGGGGTGGAAAAGAGGCAGGAGGGAAAATAAAGCAAACCCAGCTCACCTCTTCAACACCGTGCTCTGAACTGAAAATGTCCTGCAGCTGACCCTCTCAGCACTTATTTCTTGATAATTAGGAACCTGCATCAATGGAGAAAGAGTGCCTACCTCAAAGTCACAGGCATTGCTACAAGGAAGCAATTTTTCTGCTTCCTTTACAAATATTTTTCTTTGTGACGGAGGTGGAGGTGGGAAAAGTGGTGCAGGGGAGAGAGTAATAGCTATTTCTGTCTGGCCTGTTATATTCGAGGTCTAATTTATAGTATTCCATGTAGCATGATGGTGTCATTTTAATGGTGTATTAACACTGACGTCTGGAATATTTATTTGGTTGAAAAACGCATCTGTTACTAAATACATCTCTGGGGAGATGGCTGTGGGATGATTACAGAACTGATGGCCATCAAATTGATAGTATTTCTCTGTCCTCCTGAGTCTTCTGCTATAAAAGTGGGACAGGGCGTTTTCTGGTTAAGAATAATGGTCTCTGTGCTATCCTCAGGGGCAGATGTGACCCAGCACCTGCGCTCTGGAGCCAGGATAGACAGAGCTGCTACACAATTATCTTCCAGTTTGCTGTTAATTTCTATCCAGATTAATCAGTAGTTGCTCGGCATGAGGAACCACATTGTAAGCTTTAAAGGTTTACCACACACCATTGTTGTTTATTTATTTATAGTCTATTATTTATTCTAGAAATACTGGCCTGTTTAACCTGATTTGTAATCTTCCTTCCTTTTTTTTTTTTTTTTTTTTTCTTTTTGGCTGAAGTCTCTTATGTGATTTGCATATGTATAAAGCCAGGGGGGATAATTGGTGAGGATTTGTTTTTCTTGTTGACTATCTCTACCAGGTAATATGAGATAGTGCCCAACAGAGATTCTTAACATCCCTTACTTTAAACCAGGTTTAAACCAGGTTAATGTACTGAAGCAAGAGAGACATTACTGATCTTAGGAAAGGGACCTTTACTGAGCATTACAACAGCATTTTGTTTATTATTTGTGTTGTGGCTGTGACTGGATGTCCTAAATGAGATTAAATTATCTGATCTGAACCAGATTTCTCAGTTTCATTGTATGATGCCATCTACAGATTAGGAGTGAGCAACCACCTCTGCAAATACATGTACTTGATTCATGGAAATTAATTGAACATGGACTGTGCTGAAACTATGCTATGGATATTTTGATAGTTTATTTTCATTAGCATTCAAGCAAGGTGAAGTCCTGTCTGTGGGAAAGACGGGATGTGTGATGGAGGGAGCCCTGCGTCCCTGCGTCTGCAGCACGATGATCTATAGCTGTGGCTTCTGCGGGCTCACCGCAAACAGGGTGTGAGCACGAGTGCTCTGGTCACGTACATCGGTGGGTCTGTGACGCTGGGGATTCACTTGCCAACACCCTTGCTGAATGGCAGGGATTGCAGCTGTTAGCAATCAAGAGGAAGCTATAGTTTCCTTTTGACTTTTACAAACTGGCCTAATAAAAGTTCTATTTATTCAGGTGTTTTTATACAAATTTTCCAAAGATCCAGAGCTTGACCTTTGTATACGTAGTTTCCCCTCCAATTAGTGAAAAGCATTTAGAAATGTCAAGGATGGGATTAGAAGAGGCCTCCTAGGTGCTGTATGCTGCTGTTACAGCCAACCAGGTTGCACACTATCTTTTTCAGCTGTATCAGATAACAGAAATAATTTGCGTCTCTTACTCTTCTGTTTGCTGTACTGCTGTATCAGAACCTTGTTCAGGTTGCTTAGAAACCCTCTTCTAGAATCCAGTTTTTTTTCACGGCCCATTCATACTCATTTGTTCTCGTGCCAGTATTGTCCCTTAGTTGGGTAGCTCTTCTCTCTATCTAATGTTTACACATCACACTTCGATGTATTTGCAATAAGGAACCTTATTCTTTCTCAGCCTTCATAATTTTAGGCTAAACAAGCCCAGATTTTTTAGTGTCCACTCATAAAATAGGTTTGTTATTTCCTGGATATACCAAATAGCCTTTCCCTGCACCTGTTCTGGTTTCAGTTCCTCATCCATGGGACCAGTCTTGCAGAGGAAGATGCACCACCATTTAGCATAACAGCAGAAGTATCTGCTTGCCTGCCTGCCTGCACTGGCTTTACTTCATATGCTACACACTTAGGGGCACATCTACCTTTGCAACATCTCCTGCCAATGGGTCCTGGTTGTTCTATGATCATGTAATAAATAAAGGTCTTTTTCCTCTTGGTCTTCCTTACATAGGCATGCAGGGTTTGGTTTCTTGCTCTGGAACAATGCCATGCACTTATTAGATCTCCCTTGCTCCTTCCTCACTTGAAATGTTTGTTAAAAATATTGCCGCTGATCTTACAGCTTCCCATGATGCATTTTTTTTTTTTTTCAGGCTCATCTCCTACTCAGTTCCTTTCTTAGTTTACAGCTTTTTAGAATGCAGTGGCTTCCATCTCCACAGCCTCCTTCCCACTAGTGATCCTACTTTTGCTTCCACCTTTTACATCGCACTCCCTCGCAAGGCCTGGTGGTGAAGCCTTCATCTAGATTTCAGGTCATGCTAGAACATTTGTCATGTCTTTAATGTCAGAAGAGCCTCATTTTCTGTGGTTTTCATTATATTTAATACCTGATTTTTTTTTTTTTTAACCTTGTTTTGTTGCGTAAGGTCAAGTTCAGATCAGCTGGAATAATTTCAACTCTGGGAGCACACTTTCTTCATGTGGCTTCCTCAGAGCCCAATCCCAATTTCTAATATCTGTGTGATCTTTGTTTAATTTGATACACTTTTTGAGGTGATCATTCATCCACATGGGTTTGATGCCACCCTTATAGAGTTCTCCATTTGGCCAGAGGTTTGGCATTTCATGTAAACTTTGTCTTAAAGGCATTCCAGGTTTCTTCTGAAACCCGGGTCAATGAGATTTTCAACCCAGCTCACTACACTAACACATCCCATTAAATTCTCAGATTTAATTACATTCCCAAACTTAATCCTCATCACTTTATCCCACAGGGCAGAAGCACAAATGAGAAGTTTGTAAAAGCCTGCACAACGTTTTCGGTGTTAGCCCGGCACCCTTCTTGCGGGTAACGTGAGTGGGTAATGCAGCTCGGCTGCGGCTGCCGTGCGAGCAGGGATGGGCAGATGCAGGGCTGGGCGCTTGCTCAAAGAGGGATGGACACCCACCCTCGGCTCCGTCATGGTCCTGCAGTGGCATGTTTGAACAAGAGACAATAACGTGCTCAGTAATGGCCCGAGTAAAGTTTTGCAAGGAGGGCAGGTGTGCCTGCTTGAAAGATAAACTCTTCCCCCATGTGACGATAAGATAAATGATC